TTGAGGTGCAGCGTGAATATTTTTCTTAATGTTCAACAATGTTCTTTCCAAACAAAATTAAAGCGTAGAGCCTGTAGATCTTTTTAAATAAGTGCTTGTGATTCTCAAGTAATTGCAGAGTTACAGCTGTGAAACAGACTTTATAACCTACACCTACCCACACATTTGACCCCTCCATCTGTGGAGGTGTGTTAGCTGGTGGTGTGACGAGCAGAGCTTTCTCTTACCTGAACTGGAAAGTCTCAGGTATAGAAAAAAAAAAACGTCTCTCTGATGTTGCAGCTTTGATGTTTTGAGCCTGCTTTGCTCACTAAGTTGAATCAGGACACCTCTGACTAGATTAACCCTAGGCGACAGCTGCAGTAGCATCTTTTCAGGCCGCCCCAGTTTGCACCAGCAGGTTGGCTGAAAATTAGTTTTTGCTTTTTGGTTGAAAAATCTAATAATGTGTTTCTTTTAACTGTTAAAGCTCAAGCTCACTCAAAAAGATATTTTAATCATTAGTTCCAATTCTGAGAATTGTTTAATGATTAGATCGCTGTTTTTTGTTTTTTTTTTAAGGACAGATGTGAGATAAAGAGAAGCCAAAGGTTACTGCACATTTCTGGCATTGTGCTGGAGCTGCAGACCAAGAGGCAACGAAAGGCCCCTACACACTGGAAAAAAACAAAATCTAGATAAGTCATTTTTTCTCAAATTAAGTGCATTTGTTCTTGGATTGAGGAGGTAAAAGACACATTTTGCCAATGGAACAAGACAATTTCCAGTTAAAATAAGAAAACACAACCGCATTGTCTTATTTCAAGTGCATGTTATCTTATTATCTTATTTTAAGAATAAAAATACTCATTCCATTGGTAAATCTTCTCATTTACCTGCTCAAATTAAGGGTAAATACACTTCATTTGAGAATTTTTTACTTATTTCTAGATCGTTTTTCCAGTGTAAGGAGATTTGATAGGCAGTGATTAGGACAAACGCACAGAGTGGATGCAGGATTCAGCAGCTAGACATCTCCACAGAGGAAAAAGGAACGGGGAAAAAAGACTAGTTAATATTTAAATACCTAAATAGATTCCAGTAGCACTGAGGTTAGAATATTACACTGGGAAAACGATCTAGAAATAAGTAAAAATTTCTTCAATTAAGTGTATTTACCCTTAATTTGAGTAGGTAAATGAGAGACTTTGCCAATGGAATGAGAATTTTTACTCTTAGAATAAGATAATTGGATAAAATACACTTGAAATAAGACAATTTTAAGTGTAAATTGCCGTGCTCCATTGGCAAGATGTCTATTTTACCTCCTCAATCCAAGAACAAATACACTTATTTTAAGAAAAATGACTTATCTAGATTTCCATTTTTTTGAGTGTAAACTAAAACTAAAAATGAAGATTGTTTAGATAGGATAGTTTAAGGCCTTCATTAAGATGGGATTTTACAGCAGTCATTACATCCTGACACATTGGCACAAATCTTACCAACCAGAGCCGTGTACTTTTTGTGCTCTTTCTATTAGGTAAACAATACAGCAGCATTAAATCCGGAATAAGCTGGCTTTAAAACAGCTTTAGAAACTTCTGTGAATGCAATCGACCCTCATTCACCATCTCCCCTTCAACCACACATTCTCCCCTCAGCAAACACACATACTGTAAACTAAAACATCCTGACGGACAATCAGACTACATGGCTATGTACATTATGGTTATGGTTTTATAACAACAATAAAGATTATTGATCCTCTGCCAGGAAGGTGAGACACAAAATGACAATAACTGAAAATGGTAAATTGTCACAGGCTGCATTATGCACTCATGGTGACGGAAAGGTTGATGAAAGAAGCATTGATTAGAAAACCGAGATAACTGAAGCCTGCAACGTGCTTATAAAGCCGAGCCCCCCCTTCCATCCACCACCACCAACACAAATAGTTCTGTGGGGATTTAACAAGTCATAAACTGAGGTTAAGGTCAGTCATTTCAAAGTCGCCAGACATAGCTGTATCCAGGAAATGAGTTTTAGCTGGAGTATGAAGAAATAATTTAGCTATTTCTTATTTTCCTAAATATTAAGAAATCATGAGAAATGAATATTTAATGAATTTTTGATGCAATTCTATCAGCTGCAATAAATTCAGGCTTTCTTTACTCCTTTCTTTGCATCTTTTAATATAAGGCTTCAAAAAGCTTGGATGACTTTAATCTTCTTGGGCACTATTATTTATCTGATATTATTCAAAACAGGCTAAAAATATCAGCATACAATCCTTATTTCCTGATGATTTCAGACTTTATATCTAACAATTATCACACTTCAAATAATGCAATATTAATGCTGTGCACTATACCATTGAAATAAGCAGCTCTGTTGGCAGAGAATGAACTTTATTTGTGGTCCTGATGTGATTGGTTCATTGTTTTTGATCAAGTCTAATTTCTCTATCATGTAAAGTGCAGATGTCCTCCCTGTAATATGACAGCACTTAAAGCCTCCCTATGCTAACAAGCTTAATGAAGAATTTATGCAGGAGGAGTTGGCAATGCATTTTCTAAAAAAAATAAATAAATAAAATGTTCAAAGTTATTTGGTGAGTTAAATAGATGAAAGATGCAGCACATAGCTCTTCCTTTTTACAGCCGATTGGGGATTGAAGGTTCAAAAAGTCTGGCATTAATGCTGCATGTTGAAGGAAATTAGTTCAAGTATCTTTTGGATCTGTTAGTTTAACAAAGACTAAATATTCTTATTTTGCATAATAATAATTTGTTTAGTTAAGCTTCTAATTGGTTAGAAGATGCGACTGAACATTATGTTTTTTATATTTTTTCCCTTGAAAACGGCTGCTGCACACGTTTTAGCAAACATCAAAGCATGGTCATATTTTCATTTACAAAACCCATAAATTCATATCATTCAAAGAAGATAAACAACAATCACCATAATTCCAAACAAAGCATTAAGACATGCACACTCTCCCATTTATACCAGGCCCATCTATATATTTTTTGAAAGCAAACATACAGATTTTCATTTTTTCTTTAGCTGTTTGCATATTTTTCAGTCTCTGCTACACTTAAACTAAAAAGTCAAGTAATAATAACACTGTAACAGTCACAGACACAAGATAAAATAGGGAAAATACCACCAGTAGGAATTTAAATGCTTATTAGTAGAATCCCTCCTGCCTTAACGACACAACTATTTCCAAAAAATGCAGCAAGTGTTAATAAATAATAGGAAATCTTTTCTCTCATTACTGTTTTATAGCATTGCATCCATACAGTAACATCAATATGATAATAACAGTGTTGCTCAGATGTTCATGGAGACTGGTTCAACATGCAGAAACCAACACTGATTTACACAAACTCACAAACACATTCCTCACGTCAGAGATCCAGCGACTGTGTCTGGTTCCGGTGAGGTTATAGCTTATTATAAAAGTGTCTCTGAAGAGCCAGTGATATGTTAGGAAGAACAACACACAAACAGAGCAAAACGCACATTGTTCACCACTGCAACGGGGGAAAAAAAGAGAAAAATCCGACTCTAGAGAACAACCTGTTCAGCAGACGCTGCTTTGCAGCATTGTTACCCCTTGAATTTTCTGGCAGTACAGCCAAATGTGTTGATATTATATGACTTAATGTGATAGACTAACACCAAGTAGTGCATAAGGAAGAGAATACATGCTTTAATCTTCGATCTAAAAACCTAAAAAAAACATGCAGGGCACTCATCTTCAACCACCTTAAATCTTTTTTTCAGCTAAATTAAATAAATCCCTATTAGAAGGCACCTAATTGGTGGAAAGATTAATATTTTTTTTTTGTACCCCTGAGTCAACATTATGAAGATCCACCTTTCAGTGCTTTTCATTCTGTAAATCTTTCTACCTGTTATAAATACATGGTTTTGATATACAATAAAGAAACTGAATGGCAAAGAAGTTTTGTGATCAGAATTAATGAAAGAAAGTGGATTAAAAGCATTGCATGCAGTCAGTTTCACCATTTTATAGCTTACATTCATATCACAAATTAATAAAGAGTCTATCATGGTTTCACGATCACTGTGATGTGATCCCTGAGGAATATGGAGGAACAATATATATAATAAAGATACATAAATTGGATTTTCTGATTAAATAAATACATATACTATCCACTAAGTAGATGTAAAATGTATTTATTTAAATATTTATTTATCTAATATATATTTCACCCTGTGACATGAATAATAGTAATAAAACAGACTGGAGAATCCCTAAAAAATAATATTTACCTAATTATTTCAATCCATTTTTATCTATATTCATGTAAAGTAAAGGAATAATATTATTTAAAATATACTTTCGTTTATTTATTTCATGAGAGATTTAATCATTTATATTATTATTAAATCAATTATTGTCTTTTAGAATTTATGGTTTACTTACTTGAGTCATGTTTTAGAAAAATAAATAGATGTTAAATTTATTTGTTTCATGTTTATTTAGTTAATGGTGCATTTACATCTACAATGGAAAAAATCGAAATCTAAATAAGTAATTTTTTCTTAAAATAAGTGCATTTGTTGTGATTGAGGAGGATTGAGGAGGTAAAAGAGAAATTTTGCCAATGAAACAAGACAATTTACACTTAAAATAGGAAAACACAATTGCATTGTCTTATTTCAAGTGTATTTTATCCAATTATCTTATTTTAAGAGTAAAAATACTCATTCCATTTGGCAAACTATCTAATTTATCTACTCAAATTAAGGGTAAATACACTTAATTTAAGATATTTTTACTTATTTCTAGATTGTTTTTCTAGTCTATGCAATTAAATCAGGGGTCCCGTTATACTGATTGTTAAATGTAACCCTAAGCTTTATTAGAAAAGGTTTAGGGCAGGGGTCACCAACGCGGTGCCCTAAAGGACCACACGGGGGGGGGGGGGGGGGGGGCTCAGAGTCTTCTAAATAAAGAACAACCCACCAGTGGGCTAAGTTTGAAATGTTATTTTATTCTGTTGCTCTTCTTTTTAATCATTTATAGAGATTTCAAAATGAAAATGTCTAAATAAACTTAGAAATTAACAGAAACAATAAAAATATGTTGATAATGAGCAAAGTTTAGGCTAACGCTAACTCTTGCAGCTCATGGGTCAGTAATGGTCGCCCTTCCTAAGTCTCGGTACCCTTGAAGTGGCCCTCAGCCTTAAAAAGGTTAGTGACCCCTGGTTTAGGGAATGAAATGGTATGCAACGTACAGATATAAAAAGGGAGAGGGGAAGAGAGAGATAGACATAAAGAAAAGAGAGAAAGAATTAAAAAAAAAATGCTACTCTTTCTAATGAGCCTCTGGGGCATTTGTAGAACAACTTCCTTTATTCCTAAATTAAATTGCACACAAATGATTGCATTTATTGATAACGTTCAGAGTAATTTTTTTTAGACTGGCTTCTATTTAAGAGGTTATAAGCAAAGAGGGTCGAATCAAAATCCTCAGCCTAATTTTTTAATTTTAATTTCTATTTTTGAAATGAATTGAGCATTTTCCTTTTACAACAAAACCATGCTTGGTGTTTGTCTATCATGTAACATAATATGAATACATTTCAAGGGGTTTGAATACTGCAACGCTGCTGTGACGGTACAGCCATGGTAAGCATAGTAACGTACGGCACTCGGTGCCTTCAGTGGTGTGTTTCAGGTCTCAGACACTGTTGGGGTTGTAACAGAGCATGTTCAGCTGCAGGTTTTCATCCCAGTGTCTGAGAATTATGAAGAGCTGATTGGCAGCAGCCTTGATGGAGGCTAAATCTTTCCCCTCCGGGATGTCCTGTGCATTCAGCCACATGCTGGCTTTGGCAGCCACCAGCTCCCACTCCGTAAAATAACTGGCAGAGCTGTGCTCCAGCCAGGCCAGGGCAACTGCTGTTGCCCACACCAAATTCTCCGGATCCTGCATCCTCTTCAGTGAGCTGCTGGGTGATGCTGTTTCCGAGCCGCCGAAACCCGAGCTCCTTCCAGCATCCGCCTGGGTGAACGGGAAAAACTGGGGCTCGAAGGCGGTGGGCTGAGCAGCATCCTGCCATGCGTTTCTAGATAGATAAGAGGGGCTGTGGATGCCAGCAGTGTGCTCTGCCGCTCTCTGATAATGATCTGGCTCAAGCGGTGATCTGGACCCATCATCTGAGCTGTCAGTGCGGCGGCTGCTGGAGTGAGACAGGGGGCCCAGGCTGGAGCGGTGGCTGGTGAAGGGTGACGTCCACTTCAGCTTGTCCATTGGCACGTTAATGGCTTCACACAGAGCTGAGTCCAGGAGAAATGCACCGCAGGCTAACTGCAGCAACACCTGCACACAGGGGAGGGAAATAATTTGCCATTGTTGTTTCTACCAAAGGGAAACTTCATAAGCTGTATTGTATTCAAGCTGAAAATCAACTCCCATTTGTATTTGCTTTCAGAGCAGCAATAAAATGAGAGGAGAGAAAAGCACCTGAGCACCTGATTTGCATGCTTGCTCCTCATATATACAGTCTTAAAAGAAATACTCTTTTGCAGCATAATTCAACACCTTGTTTTGGAGGAGAAAAATCTTACTGCATATGTTCATCCTGTGTATGTTTGATAATAACATATATATTCCTTCAATTGAACTTATGCATCAATTAATTGATTGGCTAGTTTGTGATGTAAGGCGGTGCATTCCTAACCTGAGTCCGCCAGATGGATTTGCTCGGCATATCCATCTGGAAACCTTCCGTTGAAGTAATTTTGGGAAGGGGCGAAAATACTGGTTTGCTGATTGGCCTATGTTGGTGATAGACGGGCCAAATAAACCAATCAGATCAACGAAGCATATGACGTAACAGAGCGATGATGAAGAGGAGCCAATTGATAGATCAAACTCTTGCCGAAACCAGTCGGGAGAAGAGCATAAACATCTTTTCCTCTGAGAAAAGCCTCCAGAGCAGTGTTTTGCTCTTCTTTCAGTGAAGAAATACTCTGTAATTCCGATAAAACTTGCTCGATAGCCACGCTAACGCTAGCTTCATCGGCTGAAGCCGCCATGTTCTTTAGACTGAACTGTCGTGCTTCTCGTTGCGTCACACCTCAACCCTTCTCAAAGCCAACGATGATTGGACGTTCGTTTGGTGAACGGCTCCAAATTTTCTTTAACGGAGAGTCTCCAGACTGATCTGCGAGTGAAACCTTGAAAGCTCGCGAGATCAGGATGGTCTCACGAGGCTAGTGCATCTCAAGTGCCTGTATTGCTCAACATAAACAATATCTATGGCCTTTTACTTTAAAATGCATCTCTGTTTAATATGTTATGTTTAATATGTTATGGTTTTCACACTTTGAATTAAGTACTAAGGAAATACATCAGCAGTTGGAAACAAAATTGTGACCTCAACCCCCACCTATGAAAATCTAAGTTGTTGTTTTTTTTGTTTAACCCTATAATGCCAAATGTATCGTATTTGATACATACTGTTTCTGAAATGTTTTGCGTCTGACAGCTTTTGCATAATTTAATGGTAAAAACTTTGCTCAAAATCCTATTGTACACAATCAGGTATACCTGATAACAGAGGGCAGAAGACTACACAAAAAATAATCTTGACTTATCGCATAGTAATAAATTATTAATATCAAAAATGTATTTCTGTTCGTTTTTTTTTTTTTTATACATATTTTGTTAAAAGGCCAAATAAGTAATTCAAACCAAAAAAAAAAAGTAATTTTCTGTTTTGTTTTATTCTTGGATTAGGCTTTAAAGGGTTAAAAAGTTTTTGGTTTTTTCCAATTACCTTTAAATAGGGCAAAGAAAAAAAAACAACAACATGGCATTTTTTTTATTCCCTTGATACCTGCATTTATATACGTTCTTACCTCGTTAGGAGCCATTTGTAACCGAAACAAGAGCATAACAAAGGGTCAAAGGGGTTAAACACTGACATTATTTTTCCTTTGTAAAAATATACTTCAACCAAAATACAAACAGGTTCAGATTTGTTTGCTCCCCTAAAAGCTATGGGTAGGTTTTTTTCTTCCTTTTTTCTGATTTGCAGCCTTTTTCTTGCTGTTTTTTAACCACTTTCTAGCATATCTTGTTTTTCTTTGACAAAAATCTATAATTCCTTAAGGTTTATCCTTCTGAAACTGACCCTCATCTTTGGTTTAACCCACAGATATCAGCAAAATTCTAACCAGAACCACATATCCTCCTCTTTATCTGCCACTTTCATTAGTTTTCTTTTCCAGATGCACCAAAGCCTCCATCATGTTTCCCTGTGTGGAAAGTGGAATATAGATCTTTCCTGTGAATAAACATAGTTTTAGCTCATTTGGCCAAAGGACATTTCAACCTGGAGAGACTCACAAGGAGACAATTAGAAAGCTTATTGACACTAATGATTTTAAATATTCTGGTGCTCAGACCCAGACAGACAGCACAGAGCTGAGCATTGCTGATGATGATATAATGGAAGGATTATCAAAATAGAGATGTCTTTCCCTTTGGACACTGGTGTTAGAAAGGAGGTGATGGATGAAAGGAGCAGCAGGAAGACCAGAGTGGTGAAGGGGGCAGAGGAGGGATGTTGCTTGGTTGTAAAGCAGATTGGACCACAATGAGAGACTATTTGCTGCTTAGAAGAGCTATAGAAGGTTGATCCGGATGACACGGCAGTCAGGATATGCAGGTAGGGCTTGGCAGTCTTCCTGTATGGAAATATCCCATTCTTCCTCAGGTTTTTATTTAATGTTTACTCAACACTTCAGTCTATTGTAAAGTTTTCCATTTGGAACAGGTTTTTTTAATTTTTTTTCATTGTATAATACATCCCTGTAGTTCATTCACAGGATGGACCTCTGATGATAACTTCTAATTTTTCTTATTTACTCCTTAATATTTTGGCAGTTGTTCTGGAGCCTCAAAGGCATGATGGGGGGATCTTTAAATACCTTGATGATGTATTTCAATTCAGTTCTTGAATTGTCTTTAAGTCTAAAAAATAAAAATAAAATAAAATAAAAATATATATAACTGTTTTACAATCATTGAACAACTGGCTTTATCATGTTAAAACGTGTGCTGGTGTTGGTCTATGGTTAAAATCTGCCAGACAATCCGGAGTGTGAGAAGAATGTGACAGTGGCTTGTTTTCTTTTCATGTTGACTCATTGTTCACCACCTCCACCTGCACCACCCTAACCCTAACTCAACCCAATTTAAAACATTCCCACACGACTCAGAAATTGGCCCAAAAAAATCGTACAGTCTATGTCTACCCTTAAATTCATTTTTCAATATTTTAGCATCACAAAGTTACAGTCAATCACTATACATTATTTTGTACTGTTGCTAGTCGAGGGCAAGTTATTGCAAAAGCTTATAATGTGTTTCCCCTTTTGTTATATTGATGGTGCCTCCCATCCCTTTAGCAAGCCCATTTTCCCTCAGTCAATCAATTAAGTAATTACATCAAATTCATTGTCTTCATAGCATAAATATCAGTTTCAAGGTGATTTGAAATTTCTTTTTATATGTAAAGAATATATATTGTCATATAATTAGAAGAAAAAAAACAATGATCAACATCTCTGCCTCTGACAACTCTTTGCAATCTATCTGGTAAGGTTACTGCTCCAGTTTGCAGACACAGCACCAACAGATAAACACACCCATCCCAGTTGACACAGAAGGTGCCAAAAAGATGTTGCAACAACCTGTAAAAAAATATAAAACATCTGTTTATTAAATGTTCATAGAATTTTACTGTACATCAGGTAAGGTTGTACCCATAAATCTCCCACTATGGCCCTATTGATACAAAATAGCCTTTAGAAAGTGCTTTAGGCTCCACCCCTTAGGGTAAATATAACACATCCTTTGGTGACTAGTTACGATATAGCATGTACGGTGGCTGAGAAGTGCAAAACACATTTACAATTCAAAAACACATTAACAAATAAAAAACAAAATAACATTTGAAGAAACAAAATTATATTTTACGAAACAATTTATTTTTGAAAAAAAAGTTACAATTTTTAAAAACACATTTACATTTTAGCAAACAAATTTACATTAACAAATAAACAAAATAACATTTGAAGAAACAAAATTATATTTTATGAAACAAATGTATTTTTGAAAAAAAAAGTTTAAATTTTTAAAAAGACATTTACAATTCAAAAACACATTAACAAATAAAAAACAAAATAAAATTTGAAGAAACAAAATTATATTTTATGAAACAATTTATTTTTGAAAAAAAAAGTTTAAATTTTTAAAAATACATTTACATTTAAGGAAACAAATTCACATTTTAAATAAGTTAGATTTTAGGTGAGAGAAAGTTTCATTTTAGAGAAAAAAAATACATTATAGGGAAACAAATTTACATCTAAAAAAAATTGACCGTTCGGAAACACTTGTACAAGTGCAAAGACAAAACTGCAAGTGGCAAAACACATTTACATAGACAAAAACAAATTAACAAAAGACGGCTACACGGAAAGGGAATGTCCCAGTGGCCGGATGTGACGTCACGATTACCCTGACTTGTAGTACAAACAGCTCAATCTGTAGTCCTCCTGCTTCACGTGAAAAATCAGCGGCGATTTTAGATGGAAAGAATTGCACTGAAGCTGTTTTTCTTAAGTTTACGCTAACCGAACAATGTTTTCAGCCAATTTACACCATTTTGTTCTTCGTGCGGACGGTCTCTGGAACTTTTACGGGACACGGTACAAGGTGGCAGGACCAAGCAGCAGGGCCGAGCTCAATTCGTGGCAGTGGCAGAGCCTGCCATCGGAGAGGCCGATGGTGGCCGCTGCCGGCAGAGCCTGCCATCGGAGAGGCCGATGGTGGCCGCTGCCGGCAGAGACTGCCATCGGAGAGGCCGATGGTGGCCGCTGCTGGCAGAGACTGCCATCGGAGAGGCCGATGGTGGCTGCTGCCGGCCGAGGCCACTTATTCGCAGATAAAGTACTCCGTTCCATCAAGTAAATGTGACATTATAAAAGTTTTAATGCAGTTTATTAAGCACTAACATCACAATAAAAAGAAACCCATAAAGAATACATTTTAATACAGGTTATTAAGCGATAACATCACAATATATAGCCTATATATATATATATATATATATACATATATATATATATATATATATATCTATATAAAACAATCTAGTTAGAAGTACTATAAATAAGGCATTTGCCGAAAAACGGCAGGAAAAATACCCAAAAAATAATTAAATACCAAAGAAAAGTAATTAAAAAACTACATGACAAAATAATAGTGGCTCCGGCAAGTAATACGCCCGGCCCGGCTGCTTGGTCCTGCCACCTGGTCCGTGTCCCGTAAAAGTTCCAGAGACCGTCCGCACGAAGAACAAAATGGTGTAAATTGGCTGAAAACATTGTTCGGTTAGCGTAAACTTAAGAAAAACAGCTTCAGTGCAATTCTTTCCATCTAAAATCGCCGCTGACTTTTCACGTGAAGCAGGAGGACCACAGATTGAGCTGTTTGTACTACAAGTCAGGGTAATCGTGACGTCACATCCGGCCACTGGGACATTCCCTTTCCGTGTAGCCGTCTTTTGTTAATTTGTTTTTGGCTATGTAACTGTGTTTTGCCACTTGCAGTTTTGTCTTTGCACTTTGTCTTTGCACTTTGCACAAGTGTTTCCGAACGGTCGATTTTTTTTTAGATGTAAATTTGTTTCCCTATAATGTATTTTTTTTCTCTAAAATGAAACTTTCTCTCACCTAAAATCTAACTTATTTAAAATGTGAATTTGTTTCCTTAAATGTAAACGTGTTTTTAAAAATTTAAACTTTTTTTTTTCAAAAATAAATTGTTTCATAAAATATAAATTTGTTTCTTCAAATATTATTTTGTTTTTTATTTGTTAATGTGTTTTTGAATTGTAAATGTGTTTTTAAAAATTTAAACTTTTTTTTTCAAAAATACATTTGTTTCATAAAATATAATTTTGTTTCTTCAAATGTTATTTTGTTTATTTGTTAATATAAATTTGTTTGCTAAAATGTAAATGTGTTTTTAAAAATTGTAACTTTTTTTTCAAAAATAATTTGTTTCAGAAAATATAATTTTGTTTCTTCAAATGTTATTTTGTTTTTTATTTGTTAATGTGTTTTTGAATTGTAAATGTGTTTTGCACTTCACAGCCACCGTAAGCATGGCTGTCAGAGAAGAATAATATCCAAAGAATGATCTGTTAAAAAAGTAGGGAAATACTAATATAAATAATAAAGATAAAGAGATGGAGAGAAACAGACAAAGACAGCTAAAAAGAAAAATGGAAGGAAGGAAGGAAGGAAGGAAGGAAGGAAGGAAGGAAGGAAGGAAGGAAGGAAGGAAGGAAGGAAGGAAGGAAGGAAGGAAGGAAGGAAGGAAGGAAGGAAGGAAGGAAGGAAGATGTAGAAAAACTGATAAACATAAATAAAGAAATATGAGGAGAAAAAACAGCATTTTCTGATTTTTCGACTGCTGTTGTTTGAAACCATAACTTTAATGCCTACATTTATTGTTTTTTCAGATGAAGGACAAACATCCTTAACAGACTAAAGGAATGCCATGTTGAAGCCTGCATGCAGCTTTCAATAAAACGACCAGATGTCTCCCACTTTCCATCCACAGAGACGCTAGATATTTTCTTCCAGATTGGTGGCACAACAAAAGCTGCACACTTTCTCAAGAACTGATAAACATTTCAATATCTATTAAATGTCTTTATTTAACAGCATGCTGTGTTTCTATTGACTGTTGTATTGAATTCATAAAATACAATCAATTGCCATATTTCTGTTATTAAAAAAACACATAACAATCATGTCTCCTTAATGTGTGTCAGAAATAGACTGTATTCTCACCCACAACTTTCTCTCCTTCTTTCTACAAACCTTTCATTTTAAATCAAAAATCAAAAGCAAATGTGGTTTCATGGTAGTTTGATTTTGATTTCGTTCTAGATCTAAATGTTTTTCCTTTAATTGATTGAATCAGAAATGGAATGATTTGTCAAAAAAATAAGGATAAATACTTTATTCTTAAACAAGGAATGTACCTCCAGTGGAGAAACAAAAAAGCCTGTTCTGTCTGCCATCTGAAACATTTACATCTGCTGTACTGTACAAAGTAAAAAGCTTGGCTAAACTCAACCAAAGTAAAACATTTAAAGTTACAATCATCTGATAAATATGTCCAGTGAGGATAGTCTTTGCTTTTGACATGTAGAAATTAAAACTTCAACCTCTTTCTCTCTTCTCAAACTTCTAGTCCGTAATAGCAGATGGCTGCTCACACTGAGCCTGATCTCGCTCGAGGTTTCTTCCTGTTAAAGGGGAGTTTTCCCCTCTGGCGTCGCTACATGCATCCTCAGTATGAGGGATTGCTGCAAAGTAAATAACACAATGCAAGCGACCGTCTACTCTCGCTGCATGCAAGAGGAGTAGAAGCTGCAAATCAGACACTCCATGCCATCTGCTGGGTTTTATTAGATGGAAACTTTTAACACATTGGAAAAAGAAACTGAATTTGACTGTTTGATAAGAATGATTAAACCAGAATATGTACTTTACTTGGAGTCTGTCTGTTGAAGACAGAAGACAGAAGTTTGTTTTAATTTGGCATGAGACGAAAAACTAAACTGAATGCGAAAGAAATCAGCAGACGCATTTCTTCCTGTAACACTTGTAGCTTTGGAAGGTAAAAAAACATGTTAGAAAAAAAGGATTTTGAAGGCTAGGCTTTCAGTACTCAAAGCGTGCAGATACAAGGTATAAATTTGAGATCAACCGATCAAGGTTTGGATCCTTTTTATTGGGCCTGATATATTCTGCTGATACTTTGGGGCCGATTCTTAAGACTGATGTTTTTTCTTCCTCCATTTACATGATATAAATAACAAAATATTAGAAATGCTAGACAAGTTTCCATTTAAACAACAACAACAACAAAAAAGACATTTAGTAATGAATCAAACTAAACATTAACAATGGATGGCAAATGGAGCGGGCGGCAATGAATGCGCTTCATGTGATTTAAAGGCGTGGCTGCAGAATACACTAATGTAAGCCTTTCTGGCTGGGCCCCCCTTTTATGTGCAAAAAAGACTCAATGTGATTTATCACCTCAGACTAGAGTTTCTTTCTCATGTTCTCTGCCATTAATTCATATCAATCACACTCAAGTAAACCTGAATGTTAAAATAGCATTTACTAAAAACAGTATAGATCTGCTGCTCACCAGGGGAATGTAGTCTTTGTTCTCGTTTTCACTCTCTCCTATTGAATCACCGGACTTGCTGTGAGATCGACACATGAATCCTTTGGCAGCTCGGGTCAGTAGGCGAGTCCTGCTGAGGGCCAGCCTGGAAGAGGAGAGCAAGAGAGGAGTTATCTGAACACTATCTGCAACATTTTAACTCAACACATAAAGAATTCAAGACAACTTAACAGCCTTAATAAATAATTAATGCAGTAAGGGAGGGGGGGTACAATTTAAAAGGAAGGGGAAATTTTAAGACTAATAGATGTAGAACAACAAGGAAAAGATTATGTTTATCAATTTGCGGAGCTAAATTATGGAACAAACTAAATGAGAACCTAAAGCAATGTCCAAACATATTCCTTTAAGAAATTATTTTTTAAAAGGTATAGAGAAGCATTGTTTGTGTTTTTTGTTTTGTTTATTTGTATATATATATATATATATATATATATATATATATATATATATATATATATATATATATATATATATATATATATATATATATATATATATATATATATATATATATATATATATATATATATATATGAAGGTATATGTGCATATATATTAATGTATGTATATGTGTAGGTAGGTATTTATTTATATGGAGCAGCATAATTATAAATATTGTAAATTGAAGAAATACAAGAATTAAAGGGGTAGGAGTACATAAGTTTTACTTCTTCCTACTCCTTTTCGCACATGTAATAGAGGTATATTAACTCAGGAAAGAAGGGTACCTTGTTTGTTGTTTTTCTCTCCAATGTTTTTAAACATTGTTTTATTGTTTTTTTTGTTTTGTTTTTTTCTTGCATGTTCGAAATAAAAAATCCAATCTAATCCAAAAAGGTCCAAAAAATAAAAGGGACACTCTAATTTAATGAAATATTTTCATTGAATACTTTGTTCTGTGCAAGGTTGAATGTGCCGACAACAAAAATCACAAAAATCATGAGTGGAAATCAAATGTATTATCCATTGGGGGGGTGCATTTGGAGTCACACACAAAATTAAAATGGGAAAAACACACTTCAGGCTTTGATTTAATGTCCTTAAAACAGGTCAAAATGAGGTTTAGTATTGTGTTTGGCCTCCATTTCCCTGTTTGACTTCTCTACAATGCCTGTGCATGGATGGTCTCCTGTGGGATCTCCTCCTAGAGCCGGACTAAAGCCTCCACCCACTCCTGGACAGTCTGTGGTGCAATGTGACGTTGATGAACAGATCGAGACATGATGTGCCAGATGTGCTCATCGCATTCAGGTCTGAGGAAATGTAGTCCAATCCGTAGCTTCAATGCTTTAATCTTGCAGGAACTGCTGACACTCTCCAGCTACATGAGGTCTAGCATTGTCCTGCATTAGGAGGAACCCAATGCACCAGCATTTGTACAACAGTATGTGAAATTGTTAATCAGTGTTTGTTCTCAAATGAAGGGGAAAAAAAAGGAAAACTTAAAGCAGCAGATAGCACTAAAATTATCTGTTGAACAATTTTGCAAAGTCTTATTTTAAATATATCTGCTGTGTTTTTATTTATATCTACTTATGTTTGCACCGAGCAATATAGTATAAATGTTTAAAGTATTGGAAGAAAAAAAAGACCAATTTCAAGTTGGTGTTTCCATAGCAATGTTTCATCATTCCTTTTATCCCACCAACTCTATCTATCTATCTATCTATCTATCTATCTATCTATCTATCTATCTATCTATCTATCTATCTATCTATCTATCTATCTATCTATCTATCTATCTATCTATCTATCTATCTATCTATCTATCTATCTATCTATCTATCTATCTATCTATCTATCTATCTATCTATCTATCTATCTATCATCTATTCTTACCAAAACCTATAATCACATGTTTCCATAGTACATAGTTAAATATGTTATATATTCTTCATATTTTTTCTGCCCTATCTTTACACTGATGTTGGTGGCTTTAAATGTCATTTCACCGCATGTAAGGCATAAAGACATTCTGATTTAAATATATATCAGGAGAAATGAAAAAAAATGCCTTTATCTCTAATTTAAGTATGTTTTTAATATTAACTGTAAAAGTCTTCAGGAAAACTTATAAATAGATAAAGGCAGCCACTGCTCCCAGTTTCCTCTGTGTTCCTATGGTTGCTGATGACGCAGGCAGATATATATTTGCAAATACCTGACACTGTCGGATATTTAAGGACACAAGTATATTTGGCTGCAAGATGCCAGCAATGGCCAACGTTCAGACTTCCTCACAGCGCAACATCAAACTTCAGATTAAGACCTGCAAGCAAGGATTTCTCCACAGTTTTCATACAATCCTTATCTTTCTTCTGCGATGGCTGGAAAATCGCACAGGTTATAAAGTCCATTAAACTTTGTTTACGTCATTAAGACATTGAGGAAGTGGGATTTGCTGAACAGCATGACAACAGTTCAAATACAAAGACATCTTCCTAGATGCAGTGATGCTTAAATTAGACTAACATTTTTGAAATAAAACCTTGTCTTAGTAACCAGGCTCATAATATTGATTACGGTCATAAAATGTCAACGCATCCGCCTAATGGTTTAAGAGCAGATAAATAGTGAGCTGTGGCTCTGGTTTGTGTTTCTCCCGAGAGGTTTGGAGAGATTTCCAGGCTGTTGTGATGTGCTTGACGTGTGGCTTCAAAACTGGTTGTACAAAACTGTTTTATCATCGATTTAAGGGCCTCTTAAGTTTAGGAAAACATCTGACAATTTAAAAATCCATGTGAGGCAGTCTTAACTTGTACTTTCTGAAAAAGTTGTCAGGACTCCAGTTTTTGTGTTTGTCTGTTTGTCTTGTCTTTGTGTTCTCCCTTCCACCACCAGGAGGCGCCTGGTTCCGGTCCGCCTCCTCACACACCTGCAAACGGTTACCTCATTAACGGACTGCTCTTAAGCTGCTGGTTGCCACTACCTCGACGCCAGAGTGTTTGCCAGTTTGGGATACTCTAGCCAAGCCTTGTTTATTCTGAGCCTTATCTGAGTTTTTGCATTTCGAGTTTTTGTACTCTAGCCAAGCTGAGATCACATTGAGTTTGACTTAGTGCTTGTCTTGCCTGGGATTCAACTCTGTTTGTTTTCGCCTTTTCGGCAGGAGGCCTTCCTGCCAACTGGACCTTTCTGGACCGCCTTCTCCCAAGTGGGATCCACTGAGTCTTACACTGAGCGACGGATTCCAAACAGGAGGTTTCAATCCACCCAACTTTGAAGACGCTGAGATCACTCTCTGAGTAAGGAAATCATCTTCACCACGTCCCGTTCAAGTATCTCAGGAAAACTGAGTTGCAACCAGCGGCTGCATCATTCCACTCTGTCCGAGTTCTGGGTAAACCCTGTTCTGCCCTCCACCGAATCAAACAAACTCTGAAAGACCAACACACAGACTGGAGTCAAAGAGTCTCCACTTCTCTGGAAACGTGAATGGCAACAAATCCTCTCCTTCAAGATTAACAACTCCAATCTCCCACTGAGCCTGAACTTAACAGTCTGCCTAACAGTCCCTCATCTTCCAGTTTCCGGCTGAGCTGAGTTCGGAGAAACTCTAGCCTGGGTGCCATTCCGAACTTAGTCCCGCCCACAACGTTTGAGGTCAGGAAGTTCGGTCTGGCATTGCTCAATAGTAGCGCGACTATGCTCGCCCAATATCTGGTCGGGCCAATCAAATTCTCAGGGCGGGCTTATACAATGATGGACAGATGATCAACAGTAACGTAATCAACCACGTCACCAAAGCGCGCTTGGGTGACAACAACAATGGCTGCCGCTGGAGAGTTGAGGTGTGTAGATTCTGCTATTAGGTCTGTTCTAGAAGATATCTACAGCAAATTAATTTTAAAAGAGGAACAGAGAAACGCGATCAAGGCATTTGTTGAAAAGAAAGATGTTTTTGGCGTCCTTCCAACGGGATTTGGCAAAAGTTTAATTTATCAGCTGGCTCCCTTTGTCGTTTAACATACGTCACGCACTCCGTTGCTCTTATTGGTTGTAGGTCTATCCAATTGAGTGCAGAGGCATTTTTTTTCCTGGTTCGTTCGAAATACGCCCCATATTCACAGCTCTATGGAGCAGTATCAGACTCATATTCTAACTAGAATTGAGTAGGACTACGTCAGGCTTGAGAAACTCTGCACCGAACTCAAAATACATTTCAATAAAACCCATTGAACTTTTACTCAGTGTCTCTCTGTTTAGCTTCACTGCATGTGGGTCCGAGCCTCAGATAAAATCATGACAAAAGTAACCTTGGGGTTCTGACAGGATAACCTGTAGATTTAGGAAAATAACTTAAAATTCTTTCTAAAGGACATAGTAACTTCCAATAAAGCACCCCCTAGTTAAAAAAAAAAAAAAACACGTTCAATATTTTCTGAGAATGGATTCTCCAAATACCGGATGTATAATTTTTAAATTGTAAGATGGAACCATGTGTCCTAACGTGTGAGTATCAGGAACATAACCCGCACTAAGAGAGTGAGCCCTGATTTTAAGCACATTAAGTTATGATTTCTGACAATTTGGGAAATTATTTAAATAAGGTGCGTCGTTACAGGGTACGTTTTAGTGAGGGAGGTTATCATTTTGTCATGTAACTTTGTAACTGTCACGATTCTGCCCTTTTTGGACTTCTGTTGAAGTTTCTTTTTGAATTTTTAGTTATTTGTGTAATTCTGTTATGTTGGTCATTGTTTTTTTTCCACTTTGTTATATTTAAGCATTGTTATTTTTGAGTTAATGTCTGTTTGCCCCTTTGTGCCAGTCTCCTTCCCACTTGCTCTCTTCTAGTTACTTCTATCCACACCTGCTCCATATCAGCTAATTAGCCCATTTTTTGTACTGTCTCCTATATATACACCTCCTGTGCAGTTCCTCATTGCTGAATCCTCTTCATTGCTTCTCGTATGTTTCTCCTGAGCGTCTCTTATTTTTGGTTCCCAGCCTGTTATTTCTGGATTTATGTTTTGGTACTATATACTCATAGGGCCGGATCTATCAAAGGTTTGCGTGTATAAAAACGTGAGCTATTTCACTGCGCACGCTAAAAAATGTACAAACTGATCTATCAACAGCGTGCTAAAAGGATTTGGTCTTTAAAACGTGCTAAATAGCGCCTCTTATCCATTTAGTACTTTTTCTGCAATGAATATGCAATATGGGGCGTTTACACGCAAAAGTGCGTCTTGTGGGAGGAGAACATGTAAATATATTAATTTAGCACTCGCAAAGTGATTTATTAAACCTGAAAGCAATTTTGCTAACGGTATCTGACTCTATATTTAACACGTTTCAAAAGAAGGTGCAAATGGTCTGTATGCGTAATTGCGCACACATGGCAGCGGTTATAGTCGCAAGAAGAAGACATGGAAATGAAGCAAGGAGATGCAGAGAACGCATTTTTTCACTCCGTGTGAATATTTTTGGAATGAACGAGGAAACAATCATCAAAACATGTCGTTTATCCAGCATTGCCATTTTGGAGCTGGTGGGGGAACTCCGAATGGGTTTGGAGCCAGCCACAAGGAGGACCCATGCAATACCAGATATCACAAAACTCCTTGCAACGTTGCACTTTTTTGCATCTGGGTCATTCCAGCGTACGGTTGCAGCGAGAGCTGGGATCTCCCAATCTCGTTTTTCAGAAGTGCTGTCCGAAGTGCTGTCCAACGGGGTCGGGGTTCTCCCCCTGCGCCTGTGGAGCAACATGCCAATGCTGCGGGGATGCGTAATCTCATCCACAGTCACTTCTTGTGAGCCATTTGGTATGTGCATTTTTCTACAGGCCAATACAAAACACCTGTTTTTTTTTGTTTTTGTTTTTTTGTTTTTTTTACTGCAGTGAAGTAGAAATTCAGCCACATACCACCTTAGGGAATAAAGGTTGCCAAAGTTTTTTATATATATATCACTGTAAGATTTAAATTTCTTAATGCACTAGTTTGTAGAAACTACAAACTACTTTGCTGCAAACCACAAAACGCGCAAAACCATCATTTAAATAGGGCGTCTCCAACAGTTTTGCACCTGCCACCAGTTACGCAATCGCTCTTGTTAAATCACCCGCAAACCATGGTTCAGCCCCTCGCGCAAAATTCCAGTTTGCGAGCGCAAATTACTGCACGCAAAATTGGATCTTGATAAATCCGGCCCATAGGCGGATCTACTGGGGTGGCATAGGGTGGCAACTGCCACCCTAAATGACAGCCTTGCCACCCCAGCTGCCACCCCAGTTGGCGGTAGGGGTGGCGAGGCTTATAAATTATGGATCATTTGAGAATTGCGACCGCTAATTTCCAATGTCGGACTGCAGTGAATGCAGCACGAGATGACGCGAGAGCGACTGAGACTGATTGTTTTGAAAACCGAATGGGGCAAAGCGAGGGAGCCAGGGGTGATGGGGAGAGGAGACACGGGATGAAACAGGTAAATATTGATTAACTATCTATCGAGAAATGAAATCATAATGAAAGCACAATGTTGCTAGCATAGCTGCAATGCTGATTTTGAGATGATAAAAATCAGGTCGCAGAACATTATTTCTCTAACTATGATGTTAGTTAGGCCTGACGTTTCAGGCTCAGAAAGACATATTTACGGTCAATTATGACAGAAAAGAGACGATCAAGTTTGGTTGAACTCAAATCAAAACGCACAAAGGCATTGGATCTAAATAAATCTGTGAAGCGTTTTGCTGAGCAACATGGAAATCACCGCATTCAGCTGTTATAGTCATGTTAACTTTATGTTCTGCTCTCTGGTGAGCCTTTACAGAGATGTTACATTTTGTTTTGGCACCTGAGAAAATCTGATATTTCCGTTAACAAAACCACAATTGTTAAAAATGTGATACTGGTGTGAATCCTGCTTAATATGAAGCAGTGTTAATGTTTCTTTTTTTGTATATATAATATGAAACTATCCAGAAATGACCTGTATGAACCTACTCACAAGCAAAATGTATTTTTATGTTGCTTCTTTTCAGATTTGTGGAGATTTTGATGTAACATACAGAACCCGCCTTTTTGTTGATTAGTTGATACAGAAGTATGGAGGACCAACTCTGCCATATTTAAAAATAAATACAGAAATAAATAAATGCTTAATAAATAAATAAGCATACAATTAATTGCCACCAAAAATACAAACAACAAATAAATGTAAGTAGAAATTAAATTATACAGCTAGTCATAAAGGTATATAACTCTTTTAATTGTTTAATTGGCTTCTTTATTTCTTTGCCTTTTTAATATTTACCTTATTTATTTTTTTGTCATTTATTATCTTCAACTTCATTTTTAAATTACTTATATTTTTAAGTATTTATTTATGTGCATGTTATCATATTTTTGTGTGTTTTATTCTTCCTTTGTATTTTTTTACCCTAGTTATTTCTTCGCCGCTATTTCTTTCTGGCTGCCCTTTTATCATTTCTGCCTGCCATTATAATATAATTTCTAATTACATTTATTTGTTGATTGTATTTTTGGTGGCAATTAATTGTATGCTTATTTATTTATTGAGCATTTATTTATTTCTGTATTTATTTTTAAATATGGTGGAGTTGGTCCTCCATATACAGCTCTATCTACAGCATATTTACATGCATGAAATGTCCCTTTCATGTTGCCTTAACTGCTGTATGTCAAGTTACTGAGGAACAAATGGGGTAAATGTGTGTTCAGAGTAAACAATACATAGATGTCCAGTACCTTGTTCGGGTGCCTTGACCCATTTATTTCTACTGTGTAGTTCTGCTCACTTTAGTACAGCTCAGTCCATAGATCTCTGATGGGTAACTTTTTCTTTCTATAGTTTCTTCTTGTGCAAATGCTGCAAAGCTGCCTCTCTGACAGTGAATCTCACACATCTGCGACTCAGCACCTGTGTCTTACCTTAATACCTTTCCTGTCATAAGGCCCCTCTAGAAGTAGTGTTATCATTCTTCTATCTCCTATTAAGTGAGATCACATTGTACGATGTATTATTAATATGAACTGTTTCACATGAAACACTTACTCTAGATACTATTCCCACCAAACTGTGATTAAATTCTGTGTAAACAAATGCCATATGTTGCCACCCCTAAAAAAATCCTGCCCCCCTCTTGCCACCCCATAAATATTTTTCTAGATCCGCCCCTGTATATACTTTAGCATTAAAACAGCAAAAACTATCTCTACTCAGCATTTTGGATCACAACAACATCCACCAACCCTGATGGCGATATTTGCTTGGAATAAATCCTTTTGCTGTTATCTTAAAAAAAAAAAACTGGTGATTTAAAAAATATTCCCTTTATACATGAGGAGCACATTTGAAATGTCCCAACAGGCTGAAGCAGAATTAACCTCTATTTACAGTTATCTCTGGTCTGTATTTGCTTGATAAGAGGAGCTGCAGTAAAATAAGACGCCAGCTGAAGGCTAATCACCTACCTGGCAGAAAAAAGACTCTCCACTGATTTCTGTGATTGGTCAGATGTCACAGATGGACTCCTCTGTGGGGCAACTTGGAGACAAAGAGGCAGACGGACACAGAGTTAGTTAAATGAAGGAAAGAAGCAGAGGTCTGCCCATCATCTTTCACCATCTGTCAATAAATAAAACTGTGGAACAATGAGATGTAACAAGTGATGACAGAAAACGTTCACTACACTCCAGCATCTGTCTCTCTTCTCCAGGTGCTTTGCACCGACACCGTTCTCATATTACAATTCGTCAACACAAGGCCAAAGTAAAGTCTGCCAACCTCTGCAAAGAAGAGGAACTTTGATGTTAATGACCCGCTTTTCCATATTTGGTAGAAATGCAGCTGGATGAGCCTGTAAATAGTAGCACCCTCCCAGATGTTACAAACCGAATGTCTTGGTGGCGGAAAATTGAGGAATCGGTAAGGAAGTGCTTACCTTCTGTGAAGCTGCATTTCTCCCAGCCGGCAGAGGAGGGGGTGCTGCATGGAGAGACTCCATCCTCTGCATCTGAGACACAAAAGAAGATCCTTTTAAAAGAAGATATCAATGAAAATGCATTTTATTATGTTTTAAAGTTTATATCACAGGGGGGAATTAAGTGCATTGAAAAAAAATCTAGAATTAAATAAATATCTCACTTTACTTGATGCGGGCTTGGTTCTAAAAAAAGAAAAATCACTCCTATCAAAGTGAGATTTTTTTATGTTAAAGATTGGAGCAAACTTCAAGTTCTATCAGCAACAATGGTACTAAAAATGAGATTTTGTTGGATTTCATCAGATTTAAGCAACATTGAAGAAACAGGCAAATTATACCTATACTATAATTATACCTGTAGCTGAGACAAAGCAGCTGGATCAGCTGATCAGGAAGGCCAGCTCTGTGATTGGATGCCCTCTGCAGGAGGTGGGAAACAAAATGATCCTAACTAAATTAACATCTCGGCTGGATAATGTCTCCCACCCCATGCATGAAGCTGTCGCTGAACTGGAGAGCTCTTTTCAGTGACAGACCCTGCACCCTAAATGCACCAGGGAGTGTTATCACAGATCCTTCCACCCAGCATATGTAACACTTTATAATCACTGATCCTAACAACCTCAATAAGTTGTTACATTCATGCTGATTTTGCAGTTTCTACCTTAGTCAGTTAAATAACATGCTGCTGTCATTTTGTACATCTCTGATGTTGCTGCTATTTTAAAATACCCATTACTGAAAAAATGTACATAGCTGTATATTGGTTATTTGTTCTCTAGTTTCACAGTATTCATACTGTTAAAACACTTTACAGTACAGTATTTTATCTGTTTATCTCTTAACTCTTCACTATTATGTCATTCTTATAAATTTTCCTAAGGTCAAAATTTTTGTAACCATTTTATCTATAATCTTTTGGCTGCTGTAAACACCAGAATGTCCCCAATATGGGACAATGAAGGGATTTTCTATTCTATTCTATTCTATTCTATTCTATTCTATTCTATTCTATTCTATTCTATACTTAAATGTCCACAGCTGTTATTGATGTTTTGTTCTTTAGCTACTGAGTATTATAGTATAAAAATACTGCACAGTACAATACTCTATTTTTTTTATTTTTCTATCTGTTTTTTATACATTTTTCTAAGGTGCACATTGTTTGACCACTTCTACTATAACTTTTGCTTTTGTAAACACCACAATTTCACCATTGTAGGCCAATAAAGGGATTTTCTACTCTGTTATTTTCTATTCAAAATAATGTTCCAAGAAAACCTGATTAAATTTTTATTAGAAAAAGAAATAAAGAGAAACAGCATTTCCATCAATTTTGTAAGCTTCCTAAAATGATAACTGACATTCCAAGGTCAGCCAAGGCTAAATGGTAAATAAGAAATATACTGATATTATTTCTCTAGCCAGATTTTTATCATTTTGCTTTAAATCATGATGTCTTTAAAGCTCCCCCACATCCGTGCCATGTGGAGTATTTTTTTTTTACAGGCATATGCTCCAACATCGCTTGCCCACACCAGTCCGTGCTGTTGCTATGCCATCACTGAGGATACTTTTAAAATGTTTCATCCTCCTGCTGAATTTATTTTTAAAGCAGCCCTGCAAAAGTTTTCTGAGAAGTCAAAATGTCTTAAAGCTCGTAGAGTAACATTTCAGTTTCACAGAAAAATTTATTTACTCATATATATATATATATATATATATATATATATATATATATATATATATATATATATATATATATATATATATATATATATATATATATATATATATATATATATATATATATATATATATATATACACCGGTAATAGTATTATTAACAACCCAGGAAAGGACCTGAAAGGACCTGTTGGGGTATTTAAATCTGGCACTGTTTGACCACCAAATGTGATCAGTTTTATTATATTTTCATGTGAGAGATTAACACAAATTGTGCATAAATATTTGTTTTTAAAATAACTAAAATAATAACTGGGAAATAGATGGAAATTCACATTTCAAAAGGTCTTACAAGTAAAAACCCTAAAAATTTCATATGCATTCATAAGCAGTTCTAAACGAGGCCAACAGGGGTCTGTGCCCCTGGAGACCTGGTCCTAACCCCTGTGACTCATGCATTGGAGACATAATACAGTTTCTTAAAATGATGCATATTGACACAGTAACCATTAATATATATACTGTATATATATTGCTTAATCTTAATGCACCTTTTTCCTCCTTGTTTGCACCTTCTGTAACTTCTATGCCAATATGTGACGAGTGAATTTCTCCACTGTGAGATCAATAAAGCTCATCTAATTTAATGTAATCTAAATTAATTGGTCCAAGGGATTTTTGTTTTTTTTTTCGTTTCCAGTGTTGCTTTAAGAGTCATTTTTTAATGAAGGTGTTGCATTTAGTCCCATATTGAGATTGGAGCACAGCTATCAAATGCAAGATCAGGAGTCTGCATCCTGCAGCTGCAGAGCTGCTCTTTAACTCACTTATTATATTAGCTCAGAGATTTATGGTGACCAGTATGTTTTAGACGTTCCTCTGCTTCAACACACCTCAATCAAGGTCTAAGGAGGTCTGTTAGTCACCCATTTATATACTGTAATTACAATATGCTCGACAATTTACTGAAGACTTCAGTATTTAATAATAAATGCATTTCCTGTATATCTCGAATGATTTTATTTTTTCGTGCCCTTATAAAACAAACAACAACCAAAAAAACACCCTGCCCCTCCTAATAAATTTGGTCTGGAACTGCCACTGTATGCATTTCTACTTAGCATGGGCAGAAATGAATGGGGGGGTTAGAGATGGCCATGGCTACCAGTCACTGGCCATCCTCTTCAGGTGATTTGATGTTCCCATGTGGATGTAGTTCACCACCTCCAGGAGAGGCTGTTCCCATCTAAACCAGAGAGTGACAGTGGTGATGCTCTGGAGTGGAATATCTAAATTAATTTAACATTTTAATTTTCCGTTTAATGATCTGGTGATTCATATTTCTTCCTCGGCCTGATAAAATGTTAGTGTGCCGTTTCTTTGTTTCTGAATAGAAGCAATTAGTGAGAGGCTATTGTTCCATTCTTTATGCTGAGATGTAGGGAAAGGAAGGAGGTTTGAAAAGGAGCTTCCTCCCTAGGTTAGATAATGGGGAAACATAGATAAACAGGTCCTTATTGTGTTTAAGATCCTCATGTCCTGTCTTTGGTGTGAATGGAAAACAGTTGTCTGAAATGTTTATCTGAACGTATATTTATGTCTTTTGATGAAGTGTTTCTCTTGGAAAGACTGAATGTTCGTGTGTGAGAAGTCTTTATAATGCAATGGTGGGGCAGGACCTAGTCAGAATCACACTGAGAACTGTCTTTGGCTGTTCTGTGTCATTCTCCCCTCTGCAGAGCGGAATAAACTTTTTCTCCCTTGCAAAACATCTCCTGGGGCTCATTTTTTACTCCACAGATCATAAACTGATAGATAAATAAATACATTAGTGGGACCAAAGTCTTTCTGTCTGTGGCCTACAAGCGGGAAACCATTCGTGTTTAAATATGAAAGCATACCAAAGAGAAAAAATTTAATTAACTAATCACACATCTACACCTAAACAGGCTAATCAATTGGCACTCATGGGAACGGAGCTTGCTGACAACATGTGACTCCAGAACCATATGTCTTTCTCCCTGCCTCCTCACAATGATGCATTTCTTTGTGTTGATCTGGCTCATAAAATCCCAATTAATTACAATGTCTTTCAAGGAGTTTATAGACTATCAACACTTTCTAATATGAGTCATCCTGTTAGGTTCCAGATCAAGCATACATGAGGAAAAAAACACTTTCTGCATTTTATTTTTCATGAAGATAAAAAGTACGAGAGATATAAAAATGGTGCATACTGTAAGGCATATCTTCGGCTTCCTCTGACATGCCCCCTGACTGGGAGCGACCGAGCCCGATGGAGTACCCTCTGTTCTTCCTGCTCCCCGATCGAGACCTGGAGCTTCTCTTCAGTCCTGACCCTTCAAGAAAATGGAAGCCATTATAAACCTCTTTGCACCTGCAGGGCAAAATTAGGAAAAGAAAACAGTTTCCTGTGCCAAAGACTATCAAACCTTTTTATCTTACTTTTCACCTTAGAAAATACAACTTCAAAAGAATCCATCCTCTAAGCAAAGACCGGCTATCACACCTGATTTTCTGCACCAATGCTTATCTTTTCAAAAATAAATAGTGATTGTCCAATGGAAATTTGAGGCACGTAACTTACCAGTATTTATGCATTCAACACACGTTGGCAAATACTCATTGGTGTCCAAGTCAATGGGAACAAATGCTGTGTATTTGCTGAGAATATTGCAGGCTTTGCTGGTGTGAATAGCGTATACCTGGTACTTCCTGCCAGAACCTGAAATTATACAAAAAAGGAAAATATATCATAGATTGAGTCATTTTTTGTGGCTCTTTAGCTACTTTTTATGTTTACATGTGAATTATATGGTAAAAAAAAACATAAACTGAAAACATGAAATATGTTTATCAGGGATGTTAAACATCATGCTTTGATATTTACTAAAGTACGTTTCTGCAAAGCTAATTTCAAAGGGGGCTTCCTCCACTCTGCAGCTGCCTAATCTCACCTTGCTCTATCTCCGACTCTTTATCGGCCATGTGCTCAAAGTCTTGAATGATTGAACTCCCGGCCAGGTGGTGAAACGTCTCATTCCACAGCTCTTCGTGAACCTTTTCCTCTCGTTCCCGGCCGCTTAAAAAGGGTTCGATGTCAAAGACCACGTCCCACTTCATCGGCTGACCACACAGCAGTCCTGACACCACCGCTTTGCAGTTCCCTTTGTGCTGGCTGGTGCTCCCCAGATGTGAGGCATGGGTCTCCTGAGGTGTTTCTGCTTGACACAGTTGGTGCCCATATCCATCTGAGACATCAGAGCATCACAGTGATGAAAAAAAAGGGAATTTTAGGTTGTTTTTAAAATTTCTGCAATCTTACAGTATTTAAATATTTGCTTGGTCTTTTACATTTGATCCAAAATGTCATCTATTATTTGCAAATTGAGAATACTAATTCTTCACACCCATCACCTTAGAGTCCCTTTGTTCTGTCATCGCAATTTTAAATCTTTTAGCGAACCAACAACACTTTTTCCATGACTTGCTCTTGTAAAAGTGGGTGAAAAAAATGTACAACTGCTTTGAAGATGCTCTAAATTAAAGTTGTTAATAATATAGAAATTGTTTGTTTTTTTTGTTAACTGATCTTTTAACTATTAAGAGAGATAGTCAAAGAACTTCAGTCAGAGGCTTTTTAAACTTTACTCCAGAATATTCTCATGTCACAAAATAAACAAAACTGTACAGTTACCTGAAAATCGAATATTGAAAACATTTCAAAAAATAAGCCTGACCTCTTTACTGGACTAGTTTACAGTAGCTGTAACAGACAAACCTTTAATGATACAGCCATGATCTTTTCTGGCAATCATCTAGAGCTGAAAAATAACAATATAAAGTAGATTTGAGCAGATGTTTTTGGTTCCAAGCTTCAAATCAGAAGGTTGAGGCCAAAACGCGCTTTTCACAGTGAGAGAAGCTCATTTTGGCCTCTCTACAGTATTTACCACAAACATTGGGACAGGACAACCTTTGTCTGAAATATGCTGCAGTTAATGTTACATTGTTCCATAATAACAGTGGTCTTAGAAATATTTTTGTTTCTGATTTCCAAAAAAAAAAAAGGGGTTCAACAGTGTCTTCCTCTGGGAAAATATTTCGGGTTATATCACTAGTTGAATTACATTATAATCTAAAGAAGAAGATTGGGGGCAGTTTAGAAAAAAAAGTAAAACACTCCATTGAAAGAAATTTTCTGAATGATTTTTTTTTCTCTGAATTCTGAATGTAATCTTAAAAAAAATAATAAATAAATCAGAATTCAAAAAAATAAAAATTAGGAATTATGAGATCAAAGTGTGAATTCTCTTTCTTCTCTATAGTCTGTAATGTAAGATGAAATTCTACGATTAAAGGCAGAATTCTGATGACAATCAAATTCAATTTTGGTGATTTTATTTAGAAATCTGAATTTAAATCTAATTATCTGAGAAACTAGTAATTTGCTGAGACATTTTTTAAAAAGATAATAATTCTGAGATGGAAGTCAGTATTCTGGCTTTACGTTAATCTCAAATTTATGAATTTCTGATGAACAAATTAAAATAATTAAGGTTTATATAATCGCAAATTTTCCAGTACCTGCACATTTAATATGATGTTCAATCACTTTTTTATTTTATGATACATTATTTTTTAAATTAAACTTTTGATTCTTTATATTCTTTCACTGAGTCCACTGGTCTGGTATTATAACTTTACTCCAATGTATTTCAGAGTTTTAGCCACTACTATATATGCCCCTACTTTACGACATTTGCCTTTATTGGCTCCTGAGGGCCGGATGAAATGCTGTATTAAGCATTAAGCAGGCAGGCCTTGAGTTTTTGTCGTGCTTTAAAGCAATTATAATTACTTTTGTACTATTCAGTTCAGCTTTGACTCTTTTATATGTGTGTAAATATGAAATAAAATATATATATATATTTTTTTGTAATCTATTGTTTGGAAACAGAGGCTGTTAATCAGTCACCGACTTCAGCCACTCATTGTTTAAACCTTTCACAGTGTTTCCACATCAAACCAACAGAGGGGTGCTTCTCTCTCATTGCCTGGCCATGCAAATTGAATTTAAGGTGTAAAGGACGGCTGACCTTTTTTCCCCGTCACAGTCCCCTCAAGGAGTTGGACAGAAAGTTAATTTACCAACTGCCACTGTCTATGTCAACTAATAAATTGTCACTATATAGATGTCTGTAAATGCTGTCCTAAAATGACAGACGCTTACCTTTTACAGGGATGAGTCCTTGAATAAAAGTTACGTTTTTTTCATCAATTGTTTGAAATAATGAGAACTAACTGATTAATCCAGAAAGGCTGTCCTTGTGTTCTCACCTGTGTCGCCAACGCTGCCAACAGAGGGGCTGTCAGTGGACGATCTGGACCCTTCATCCCCAGCAGGAGGGCGAGCGAGAGGCGCCCCTCTGCTGTCGCTTGGCTGAGGTCCATCCTGTAGCTGTGGTTGGGGATGAAGCTCAGAGCTTTCTTCCTGCTGTGGAGGCAGCTCCTGCTGAGGAGACGGTTTGGGACAGCTGGCCGGTCGCCCTCTGAACGACATGGCCAGCTGTGGCTAAAACCATAAAGATAAAACCATAAAGTCCAGGTACCTATATTGGTTTGTTAAAGTGTAATACAACATTCACAAATTGTTATTCTGGTCGTTTCTGTTTGCTCACAAAAGCTGGGATGTTAGAGAGGGAGGCTGTTTATCATTTTAATAATGGAAGAGGTACAACAAAACATATACCCATTACTCAGAGACCCGAATTAGAGGCAGTGTTTACATCCCTTGCAAAACTATTAATAGTAATTACAATTTTTTTCTGATTTTGTTCTGTTACACCACAATTTTTAATTATTCTTGTAAGGATGTTATATGATAAAAAAACAACAAAATATAAAATTATGACCTTGAACAATAAAAATATGTTTTGTTTTATTTTCACAGGTAAAAATTGTGATATCCACTAGTTCTAAACCCCTATGTATATATGCTGTAGGTTCACTAAAGGGGCAGTGCTCATTCTGCATTGCACATCTACAAGCAGAGCATTTTGTTTGGAGGAGATTTTGTTTATTTATTATCATGAGCAAAAAATCAGATTGTTCTAAATGGAAAAAAAGCACACATTTTGTTAATTCACATAAAAAAAATGCAATCCAGAAATGCTGGTGAAGATTCTCAGTCATCCAGGCAATAGTCATTCCAAAGAAGTTAAAAAACAATCTACTGGACTTTGTTTCCAAGTTTGAAGACATTTAGCTTCCCATTCAGGAAGCTTTTTCAATTCAAACTGTCACAAATACTACTGAGTTCGAGGATTTATAGAGTGGACCAAAAACAAAGCCTTGAAAGAAAAAGAAAACGGGTCCGCCCCTTAGGAATGGGGGTCGTTTTGGGTTCTTTGTTAGCCTGCAATATCCAATACCTGTCTATGCCTCTGAAAGGGGGGTCATCAGGGGGAGATATTGGCCTTGCTAACCAGCCGATATGTTCTGTTCCCCTGTATGGGGATGGGGGTTGCGGTGATAGCTGGAAGGAAGCAATAGTGTTGACTCCTAGAAATAAAACTTCAAATCAAACAAAGGTTTAGAGATTAACTTTGCTATTTTCTCAGATTATTTTTTTTTATATTTAATTTTTTCAAAAAGCCTTTTATTGCAGATTTCTTCTAAATATATTTAGATATATTTTCCTTTTTTTCAAGTTTCTGTGTTTTCAGACTAAGATTCAGAAATTACGTTCTTTGCAAATAGCGTTTTATGGATCTCATTGGGCCAGATTTATCAAGATCCAATTTTGCGTGCAGTAATTTGCGCTCGCAAACTGGAATTTTTGCGCGAGGGACTGAACCATGGTTTGCGGGTGATTTAACAAGAGTGATTGCGTAACTGGTGGCAGGTGCAAAACTGTTGGAGACGCCCTATTTAAATGATGGTTTTGCGCGTTTTGTGGTTTGCGGCAAAGTAGTTTGTTGTTTGTGCAAACTAGTGCATTAAGAAATTTTAATCTTACAGTGACACCCCCACCCCCTCCAAAAAAAAAAAAAAAAAAAAATATATATATATATATATATATATATATATATATATATATATATATATATATATATATATATATATATATATATATATATCCCCGCAGCATTGGCATGTTGCTCCACAGGCTGGATGAGGTCGGGGTTCTCCGTTAGGGCGTCCGGGCGACATGGCATTTAAAACGTCGGACAGCACTTCTGAAAAACGAGGTTGGGAGATCCCAGATGCAAAAAAGTGCAATGTTGCAAGGAGTTTTGTGATATCTGGTATTGCGTGGGTCCTCCTTGTGGCTGGCTCCAAATCCATTCGGAGTTCCCCCAACAGTTCCAAAATGGCAATGCTGGATAAACGATATGTTTTAATGATGGTTTCCTCATTCATTCCAAAAATATTCACACGGAGTGAAAAAATGCGTTCTCTGCGTCTCCTTGCTTCATTTCGATTTCTCCTTCTTGCGGCAATAACTGCTGCCATGTGTGCGCAATTACGCATAAAGACCATTTGCACCTTCTTTTGAAACGTGTTAAATATAGAGTCAGATACCGTTAGCAAAATTGCTTTCAGGTTTAATAAATCACTTTGCGAGTGCTAAATTAATATATTTACATGTTCTCCTCCCACAAGACGCACTTTTGCGTGTAAACGCCCCATATTGCATATTTACTGCAGGAAAAAGTACTAAATGGATAAGAGGCGCTATTTAGCACGTTTTAAAGACCAAATCATTTTAGCACGCTGTTGATAGTTCAGTTTGTACATTTTTTAGTGTGCGCAGTGAAATAGCTCACGTTTTTATACACGCAAACCTTTGATAGATCCGGCCCATTGTCTTATATTTTGGAGGCGGACTCTGGAGGGAGAAACAAAGACTGGGCTGCATGTAAATTAGCAACAATTGTACTGGTCGATCTGCATGTCAAGAATGAATGTTTATATTGAACTTGAAGTGAAAACAATGTGATTAGATAAAATAAAATAAAATGCAAGAAATATATATTTGAAATAACAAAATATAAGAACACCAAAGTTACTCGCACAACCATTTTAAAAGTTTATTTTCTAGATTGTGTGTATTGTCAAATATCAATTTGCAGAACATGTTTTTTTGCTTGCAATAACTCGGTTTTGCTTATTCATCTTTGCTAAAAAGCTAAAGCTGAGTTAGAGTGGATGAAGAGTTTTAACAGCATTCCCACAGTATTATGCAGCCCTCACCGTGTTTCACATTGCAGATAGGGTATTCAGGTAGGAGTATGGAGTTAGCTTTTTACCACATATAGTGCAGAAGAAAGAATTTAAGCTGGATCTTAGGTCGCTATAGTTTCTTCTTCTGCATTAGTTATGTCTCTTACATGGCTTGTGGCAAACTTCCGACAGATTTATTTCCTTCTTACCACCTTATAAGTACCATATAAACAGATTCCCCCACCTGAGCTGCAGATCTCTGCCGCTCATCCATAGTCACAGAACTCTTGGCCTTTTTTTTTTCTTTGACAGGTGCTCTCCTTTCTCAGTGTGTCTCAGGTTTGCTGTTCTTCCATACTATGGAAGAGAATCGTTACCATACAGTATTTCAAATGAAACAGCATTTTCAGAAATGCTTTTTCATTTTAAGAATGTGGCTGCATCGTTTGACTCATAAATGAAATTAGTAATCAATCATCTTGTTTGCATTTTAATTTTCTTCTTCAAGACTGCTCATCATTTTACTTAATTAAAATGGAGAAAAAAAAGTAATTTGAGATTTATTGTTCAAAATGTACCCCAGCAAATACAAACCAAAATTCAATTTGAAATGTAAAATTTGAAAATGAAAAAGCATTTCCAGAAATGCTTTTTCATTTTAAGAATGTGGCTGCATTATTTGACTCATAAATGAAATTAGTAATCAATCATCCTATTTGCATTTGTATTTTCTTTTTTAAGACTGCACATTTTACATAATCAAGGAGAAAACACAGCGGACATTGCTTTTTCGTATTTTTGGTGGCAATTAATTGTATGCTTATTTATTTATTGAGCATTTATTTATTTCTGTATATATTTTCATATATGTCAGAGTCAGTCCTCCATAGTGCAGTCTTGAAGAAGAAAATGCAAACGCAAATAGGATGATTGATTGCTAATTTTATTTATGAGTCTAGTAATACAGCCACATTCTTAAAATGAAAAAAACATCTGGAAATGCTTTTTCATTTGAAATATGGTAACAATTCGCTTCCATACTCCTTCTGTTTTATAAAATTGGAAAGGGGTCTGTCTGTTTTCGTTTTATTCCCCAATCCAGCTGCCCAAGAGGCTCCACTTTTTCAACCTCTGGGTCTGACTCAGGGTCAGAGTTGTACAGTTGTAATATTATGGATCTTTTTGCAGCCATTTTTATGTTTATAAAGTACCAATTTAAACATTTAGTTCTGGGGGGTGCAGAGCCAAAATCAGGGAAAGCTGAGGCGGTAAGGTATTTTGTAATGAAAATTAAGTTAATATGTTTTTTTTATATATTTATAACCCATATAACTAAACTAAGTTGTTTAAAGGAAATTATAACAGACTTTCAAAGGCACCTTTTTGTTGTTTTTTTCAGGTATAAAGAGTAAAGAGGAATTAATTCAATATTTCTTTTGGTCAAAGACCTAAGACTTGGGTAGAGGTTCACCTATCAGCATGTGTGTTACTCTTTAAAAGTACAAAGTATCATTAGGAATCATAGAGAAGGTAGACAGTCTCTATACACATGAGCCTGAACTACTTTGCAAAGATGAATAGGACAAAATTATTGTAAGCAGATGTGAAACTATGGCAGAGACATGCCCAGAAGACTTTCCTTCTGCTTAACAGTTATGCACCAGTTGTGTTTCCGTTTATCGCATCACTTCCAAATGTAAAACATTTCATTGGGATTTGCACAGTATTTTATATTTTCTTGTTTTTTCTGATTACCAAAATATCCACGGTGCAAAAGTGTGTTCCAAAACCCATATTGGAGAAACAGACGTTTTCAGGAGGGATATTTATCCTGTTGACAAGTTCAATGCCCCAAGAGTTCTGTGTCTCATGAATCTCATTTTAATTAAATTAGAGATTTGCTATATGTATTCATTAAGTCCAGCTTAGACGGGGTTCTTCAGCGGGATTTACCAGAGGAGACACGGTTTCCTCCTTTTATTTCTGTTTAGTCACGGCAAATTTCTTCCTGAGTTTTCAAACCTAATTGTGATTCATTAATTTTGCCCTTAATTACAGAGAAGGACACATTAGTCTCTTATTGATTATACTCCAATCCAGACATGGGTCAGGTAGCTTTTGTAGCTGCCAACTCATTCTGGATTCAAATATCATTTTCTACTTGACAGTTAGACAACTCCCTCATTAGATAAATCCACATGCTGCTGCCTTAATTATATGCTAGTACTTAGTTTTTTTGTATTGGTGGCAGGAACCTCGAACAACCAGCATGTGCTAAATTAAAATCACATTGAGGAAAATTGGTTGGTATATTATGTAAGGGAATAAAAATAAATTTTAATAGTAAATGGCCTGTACTTATATAGCACTTTTTCAAGTCAGGAGACTTGACCAAAGCGCTTTACACTACATTCATTCACCCATTCACACACACACTCACACGCTGATGGTGGCAAGCTACATTGTAACCATAGCTCCCCTGGGGCTCACTGACAGAAGCGACGCTGCCGTACACTGGCGCCACCGGGCCCTCTGACCACCATCAGTAGACAATGCAGGTGAAGTGTCTTGCCCAAGGACACAACGACACCGAACCGTCAATCCTTCGATTTCAGGGCAAACTCCTACATCCGACGCCACTGTCGCCCTAATGGTAATTTTGCAGCGTAATCTTACCTGGTAGTCGTTCTTCCATTGCACTTCATGCTCGGGGCTCATCTGGCCTGTCAGCTCCTGGACTTTACTCCTTCTCAGAGGATTCTTGGGCACCACAGAGTTAGGGTCACTGAGAGTGAAGGTTTTCTTCCCTGGGTTGTAGTCCATCAGTTGGTTAGTGCTGTAGGCTCGTCTCCTTGGTGATGTGTCATCTAAAAATGATGTAAAGAATTCAGAGTCAACACTTTAGAAAGCAAAAATACAATGATGATGGATAATTTTATCATTGATCACGTGATATTATCCAAATAGAGAACAATAATCAACATTGGGTATAAGGCAAGGCAAATGTATTGTATAGCACAATTCAGTACAAAGACAATGCAAAGTGCTTTACATGATTAAAATACAGGAAGATAAAACCGAATCAAAGCAAGTAGGAAAAAATAAAAAAATAAATGAAATAAAATAAAAAATGCAGAAACAAAAAAGAATATTAAAAACAGTTGGACTAAAGAAAATATGTTTTAGTTGAACTGTTTAACTAGAACAGTCGAAGGCAATCCTAAACAAATGTGTTTCTAGTCTTGATTTAAAGGAACTCAGGCTTTCCGCACTTTTACAGTTTTCTGGAAGTTTGTTCCAAATAAGTGGAGCATAGGAACTAAATGCTGCTTTTCCATGTTTAGTTCTGGTTCTAGGTATGCAGAGCAGGCTGGAGCCAGAAGACCTGAGTGGTCTGGAGGGTTGATACACTGATAGCAAGTCTGTGATGTATTTAGGTGCTAAGCCATTCAGAGATTTATAGACTAACAGAAGTATTTTAAAGTCTATTCTCTGAGATACAGGGAGCCAGTGTAAGGACTTTAGAACTGGGGTGATGTGCTCTACTTTTTTATAGTCTTAGTGAGGACACGGGCAGCAGCGTTCTGGATCAGCTGCAGCTGTCTGATCCACTTTTTAGGCAGACCTGTAAAAAACCGTGGCAGTAATCATTTCGACTAAAAATAAACGCATGGATTAGTTTTTCCAGATCATGCTGAGACATTAGTCCTTTAGACTAATAAGAACAAAGTACACATTTATTACAAACCATGGGGTTAAATAACCTTTAAATGGAAGTGAAGTGTTTCTCATATATAATAATTTACGGTGATAATATCAGATTAGGACATCCCTTTACACAATGCAAGTTTTATCTCTTTATGGAAAAAAACTATTCTACTAGTCTTGCCATGGTCAAATATCTACATGCGTTTGCCTCTTTTCATATTTTCTAGATTTATGGATCTAATGGCAAAAATTACGATGGAGTATTAGGGCTAGACTAAATTGAATTTTGCTTTTGAAAGGCTGTAATATTATTAGATAACATCATTATATTACAAAAATAAAGACATAGCATTATAAAGTCGTAAAAATACGAGAATAAAGTGTCATAATATTACAATATTAAATTCGTATTATCACGAGATTGAAGCCATTATATTACCAAATTAATGTTGTAATATTGTAAGATTAAAGTCTTAATATTAAAAGAATAAAGCCAATATTATTCAATGAGAACTCTTGCTCTGTCATCCCATGCAATAAAATTAGGACTGTTGAGAATCTGCTGAAGTTATTCTTAGTTTTACAGATAAGGAAATATTAAATCTTTTAGCCCATTGCCATCAAATTATTAGTATGTTTGTAAATGGTAGTTGGGTTGTGCTCTCAGATATTGTTTGAAGATTTTGCTTCTGAAAGGACTAATAATCTGACAACTCTATTCCATCATTATTCATTATTTATTCTGGTAATATTACGATAATAAATTTATAATTTCTATGACTTTATTCTCGTTATTTGTATTTGTTTTTTTGTCTGGCCCTGATCCTTCATCGTACCGCTTTTGTGTTTGAAATTGTAAACGAGATGTAAGAGATTGTCATTGAGGATGTAAACCAGAAACTAAAAAAACCTAAAGTTCTGCACGGAACAATCTAGTTATAGATTTATGTATTTGAACAAAATATGAGCAAATCCATTCAATCTTTACTAAACTCTTCTTTAATTACCATTAAACACCTACAGTAGAGCCGTATTTTTCTTCATGGTCCAAAGACTGGCAACCATTGCTCCGACTGACGAGAAAACAACAACCAACAGAAACTAATTTGTGGTACATTCAACAGAAAACCTCTAACTGCTTTCAACGCTTCGCCAAATTAGCAGAGAGTCACAAAATGCCGGCACTGTCACCATGTACTTGTTTTCCACATACAAAGCTTCTTTTTTTATTTTTTTTTATTTATTTTTGTTAAACGTAAACAGCTGTGATCTTAAAGCTAGCACCAAATGTGGAAGAATGGGATTTAATTAGTTCAAATCCCCCCTTAGGCAATGTCATACTTTTGAGAGAGACAGGTTATCTATATCAATAATTTATCATTCCTCCAGGTTAGAGGCAGTGTAATAAAACAATATCAATATTTATATATATATATATATATCGCAATAGAAACCTAATCAATGTTAATAGTAAAAGCATCCAATAGATTGATCCATATTTGGGGTCTGCAACCTTCACAGTGCAAAAGGCCATTCCTTCCTCAGTCTAGCTGATAAAAAAAAAATACTTAAGTGTCACAAATGTTATTATGTTCTGAATAAAAGATAACATAATTTTGATAAACATTTATGCAAAGAAAATTTTATTTTTTTATTTTTTTAGGGATTAATGTTTTATTTTCTGTCGTGGACTGGTGACCTGTCCAGGGTTTACCTCGCCTTTCACCCGAAATGGCCAAGCTCCATCTGTTATCAGAGATCTGATTGTTCCTTATGTTCCTAACAGAGCACTTCGCTCTCAATCTGCAGGTTTACTAGTGGTTCCTAGAATTTCTAAACATAGAATGGGAGGCAGATCTTTTAGTTATCAGGCTCCTCTCCTGTGAAACCAACGACCAGTTTTAGTCCGTGAGGCAGACACCCTGTCTACTTTTAAGGCTAGGCTTAAAACTTTCCTTTTTGATAAATGTGGCACCTGAGAGGTGCGATCCTCTTAAAAAAAAAAAACATAAAACCAAACAGACTGCGGCAATTGTGAGCAGAGCTTTAAAAAGTTTAATTGATTAAAATCCAATAAAAAAAAGATAAAAAGAAAGATAAAAATCCAGATGGTGAAGAGCAGCAGAGTCAATGGGCCAGTCTGTTAAAAGACGCGCACTCGGCGGGTACAATGGAGGACACCGTCCACCCCAGCGCTGGATCCTCGTTCCGGCACGCTGCGCGTGTGGGCCTCTCCAGCGTAGCTGGCCTGCGAAGTCACCTCCAACACGCGCCTCTCGCCAGCGTGCCTCTGCGCCTCGCTCCATGACGGGCCTCTCTGCACCCCGCTCCGACGTGCGTCTCTGCGCCTCGCTCCATGACGGGCCTCTCTGCACCCCGCTCCGGCGTGCGTCTCTGCACCTCGCTCCGGTGCGCGTCCCTGCACCTCGCTCCGGTGCGCGTCCCTGCACCTCGTTCCGGTATGCGTCCCTGCACCTCGCTCCGGTGTGCGTCCCTGCACCTCGCTCCGGTATGCGTCCCTGCACCTCGCTCCGGTGTGCGTCTCTGCACCTCGCTCCAGTGCGGCGTCTCTGCACCTTGCTCCAGCGGCCTCCGGCCGTCAGTCCCCAAACCTCTCCCGCTGCTTCTCTCTCACCCGCTCCGTCCGGCTCCCTCCATGATCGGCCTTCCCATGTCCGGTGTCTGTCTCCAACCAAACCTTCCCATGTCCGGGTCTGTCTCTCCAACCAAACAGCTGCCTTTTTAATCAGCGTCCCAGTCGGCACGCTGCTTGGTTGATTGGGAACACCTGTGCCGTTGCTGTGGGCGTGTCCAGGTGTGAGTGGCAATGTGGCCTCCAAACAAAATCCCAAAAAAACATGCAACACACAAAATTAAAAACAAGCAAACAAGTTCAAAAACAAAGAAAATCCAAAATTAGAAAACATTCAACAACTAAACAAAAAGGCCACATTACCACATAAAGCTTATAGTTACAGTGGCTCAGGTTATCCTGAGCTATCTCTATAGTTATGCTGCTATAGGCTTAGACTGCTGGAGGACATAGGGACCCCCATTTCATCATTCTGCTTCATTCTATCTCTATTCTCCCACTCTGCAGAATCAGTTAGTTCAATCTCTAACGTTCTGCTCTCTCTGCTTTTTCTCATAGTAGCTTTGCCTCGTCTGTTCCTGTTTGGCTGTGACTTTATCCTGGAGAGAAATATCAGCTGTGTTGCTGCCATCAACACCTCTGTATATGGATGTTGGAGATCTGCCTGTTTTTCCAGAGTAGTCCTGTTTCTCTCACTGCGACTGGCTGGATGTGCTCTCTTCATCCTCAGACATGGGAGCTGGCTTGGAGCTCGTCCGCCTGGCTGTGTTTCCTTTTACAGCTGCTTTTTCTATGTCTGCTTCTGTCTCCTTGAACCCCAGTCGGCCTTAGCAGATGGCCGCTCACACTGAGCCTGGTTCTGCTGGAGGTTTATTCCTGTTAAAAGGGAGTTTTTCCTCTCCACTGTCGCTACAAGCATGCTTAGTGTGAGGGATTGTATTTGAGTCAATGAGTCGATGCAATCAACTGGTTTTCCTTAGATAGAAAACTTTTAATCAATTTGACCGTAGGATCTGGTGAACTGTAAAGTGCCTTGAGATGAAATGTGTTGTGAATTGGCGTTACATAAATAAACTTAATTTAATTAAATTGAATATTGTGATACATTTTTCTACACCCCCTACTGTCCTTGCATACAGTTTGATGATTCCTGCACATTTAAAACAATACTAATCATCAACCTTTATAAAAATAATCATGGAACTTCTTTGTCAAAGAGCAAAAACTTTACAAACGATGGGAATGCTGACCAATGAAACGTACAGTTCATTACCTGTGAAGTCTGGCTCTGTCATGACAGGGCCCCTCTCCATCATGGAGTCCTGGTAGGAGTCATGGAGCGTGCCAGAGGGTGCTTCCCGGAGGGACCCGTGACTGTCAACTCCTGTCCTCCCCGCCTCCTCTTCTTGCGAGTGGTAAAAGACCGAGCTGTCTGACTCAATGGAGCGCATCATGCTGTATCGCCTCCTTTTATCCTGTTGAGATGTGAAGCAAGTTTCTCCTTCTGACAAGTGGTCTTTTGTTTATTAGATCAAACAATTCAAACAGTTTTATGTATTTTGTTATTACATCTGAGGAAAAAAAATGTCAAGGACAGTCAGAAATAATTTTCATCAAAACAGTTAGAGGTAGTTTTGATGTCAAAAAAGCAATTTGTATACTGGAAAAGGTTATTTTTCTGAACCACACAAGCATGCGCTTAATTGTTACCCTTCATCAGGTGTCTTACAGATTTGGGGTTGTCATGGTAACGAGTGGTGTCGCACACCACACTGTAGCCAATCAGACTGTCCCCAGGAAAGAGGAAGGTGTTGCCAACGGGGGAGAGCAGCACCTCTTTGGTTTCAGGAAAGAGCCATTCAATGGAAATGTCACTGAGTACAGGGGACATGGTTTTCTTCAGTGATTTTATCATCTGTGGAGTTAAAACAGAAATAACATTGCTTCCCTTTGACAGTTTCACAGAGGAAGTGGTGTTTCATATACGATCTTGAAATGGGTATCAGTTGCAGGCTCTCAGTGTGTTTAAATGACTGCATAATGACCCTCCAGTGTCTCTCAGAGTAGCTAGATGTCATGTTATGAGAGACACTCCAGGCTGGAAACGAGTACCTTGGGCTGCAGCCTCTCTCCGTCAGACAGGAATTCAGCTGTTCCTTTGGAAACAGCCGCCAGTCCATGCACGAGCCTCCGGCAAGCATTCTGTCCTATGCCGAATGAAAAACATCTGCGCAGAAACATGAAAGGCAGCACATTCACTACAAAAAATGTAAATCTAAATAAGTAATTTCTTCTTAAAATTAGTGCATTTTTTCTTGAATTGAGGAGGGGAGACACTTTGCCAATGGAACAACACAGTTTACATTTAAAATAAGAAGGAATAATTCCAGTGTCTTATTTAAAGTGCATATTATCTAATTATGTTATTTTAAGAGTAGAATACTAATTCCATATGCAAATCATCTTATTTACCTACTCAAACACTGCAAAAACGATCTAGAAATAAGTAAAAATTTCTTAAATTAAGTGTATTCACCCTTAACTTGAGTAGGTAAATCAGATAGTTTGCTAATGAAATGGGTAATTTTACTCTTAAAATAAGATAATTAGATAATATTCACTTAAAATAAGACAATGCAATTGTGTTTTCTTATTTTAAGTGTAAATTGTCTTGTTCCATTGGCAAAATGTCTCTTTTACCTCAATTCAAGAACAAATGCACTTATTTTAAGAAAAAGTGACTTGTCTAGATTTAGATTTTTCCAGTGAATTAAGAGTAAATACACTTAATTTAAAGCTACAGTGTGTAACTTTTAGCGACATCTAGCGGTCAGACTGCAGACTGCAGCAACATGAACATCTCCCCCCCACCTCCTCTCCCTCCCAACAGTACGGCGAGCGTTACGGGACAAAATGTCTTCCACGACGTCCGCATCACCTACCTTCTCAAGTGATGAGGTTTGTTTACATAGATAATTTTACAGATAGTATTTCATTAGTTTGTGTAGGGTATAGATTTCATGTAGACTTAAGATAATAAATATACCCGGTTTTTTTTTCTACATCGTTGTTACATTTTTGCGATCTCGCAATCACTAGTTTGTTGGCTCTGCGCTGCCGTAGCGCAAAGATGTCTGCCTCCATGGCTGCGAGACCCGCTCCTATGTAATTATAAATAACGAATTCTAAGGCAACGCAAATATTAAGGTTAAGAGGCTGAGCTCGTAGATGATGATAAAATAACATAGTTATGTATAATATACAGTGACGTGCGGTCAGGGGAGGCAGGTGAGGCAGTGCCTCACCAGCCATCATGGAAAGAAAGAAAATATATAATCATAAAGTAATTTAAATTGTTATATTCATCCGGTGGTTTGTACTAAAAAATATTCATTTTTCATGTAGCTTCACCAATTTCGATTTTTATTTGTTCAAAATCGCTGAATTTTCTTATTTTCCCATTCAAATGCTTGGAAGCGATGCCGGTGAGGCAGCAGCGAGCTCTGCCTCACCTTGGATTGCGCAACCCCTGGCTCTGCGCTGGCTGCAAAGCGGAGAGAGCATGTTGCTGTACGGCGTCAATAAAATAGTTTAAACAAATGTAATATGTGAACTTATTTCTAATAATTTGGCTTATGTATATAATGTACAGAGCTTTTTGTCACCAACTGTGTTTGTGTAACGTGTTTCGTGTAATGAGCGATTATAAACGGCAGAGAACAAGTTCGAGGTGAGGCAGGCAGTTCTCTTGCCTCATGGCAGGGGGTGCTCAAGAGACTGAAAACATAAGGCAGGAACAGGACGGATCAAGGAAGGCTTTCTTCCCTGGCAGTGATCTCCATTGAGACAGAGAGACTTTTAAAACTGAAGGAAGATAAGGAGGACTTCTATTCATTTATAAGTAAAGGTAAGACAGTAATAACATTTATTTTGTTTTGTTTTTTAAGGAAATGTGTGTTTTGTGAGCTACAGTTTGTATGTGTAAGGATGCAGAAGTGAAACATAACCTGTAAACTGCTGTCAATCTATGCATCTATTTGCAAATCTGATTCTGATGACGTCAGTGCCTCACCAGCTATGAACCTCACCGCACGTCACTGATAATATATTACATTTCTGACTGTATATCCCTGTAATTATTACACACTGTAGCTTTAAGAATTTTTTGATTTTTTCTAGATCGTTTTTGCAGTGTTCAAGGATAGATCAAGAAATTTATGGGTACATACTTTACATAGAGACACGGGACATGCAGAGCTGAAAAATTGACCTCAACTCTGGATGTTTTTTAACCTTTTATTAAACTACAACCTCATTCTATAGAGTTCTTTAGTGACAAGTTATGGGGTAAGCTGTAAAATTAGACAAAATATGGAAAGTAAGAAGAAAAATTATACTTTTAGTAATACAAATAAAAATAAAAAGGCACTACAATTCAGCTGTAAGTCTTAATGTGTATGGTTTTCAGATGTATATGTCTGGGTAGTGAAAAATCTGTCCATTTCTGCTTTGTCATAATAGATCAAGGTATGCCTGCTTGACAGGGTCTCTACTCTGACACATGAATATGACTCGGATCATCTGCCTCTCAAACTCAAGCCCTCGGTTGTTCTTATTTCGCAACTTTGCATGTAACTCTGCCACAACCCACAAGAATCCAATAGCCAAGTGATTAGGACAACTGTGGAACAGAATGCCATGCTAACGGTGCATCATTAGACGTCTGTCAGTGCTTGTGCTGAAGGAACTCTAACTTATTTTCTTCCTAATAATACCCTGTATTTTACTTTTAACAAACTGACCAACTTCCTTGTCTCTGGTGAAGGAAAGTCTCTACATAAAAAGTCATAAGTTAGCCTCGTGAGACCATCCTGATCTTGCAAGCTTTCAAGGTTTCACTCGCAGATCAGTCTGGAGACTCTCCGTTAAAGAAAATTTGGAGCCGTTCACCAAACGAACGTCCAATCAGCGTTGGCTTTGAGGCGGGTTGAGGTGTGAAGCAACGAGAAGTGCGACAGTTCAGTCTAAAGAACATGGCGGCTTCAGCCGATGAAACTAGCGTTAGTGTGGCTATCGAGCAAGTTTTATCGGAATTACAGAGTATTTCTTCACTGAAAGAAGAGCAAAACACTGCTCTGGAGGCTTTTCTCAGAGGAAAAGATGTTTTTGTTCTTCTCCCAACTGGTTTCGGCAAGAGTTTGATCTATCAATTGGCTCCTCTTCGTCGTCGCTCTGTTAGTACGTCATATGCTTCCTTGATCTGATTGGTTTATTTGGCCCGTCTATCACCAACATAGGCCAATCAGCTAACCAGTATTTTCGCCCCTTCCCAAAATTACCTTAACGGAAGGTTTCCAGATGGATATGCAGCGCAAATCAAAGTAGTATGCAGTTCTTCATATATACACACATCAATTTCTGACATTTTGAATTGGAAAAAGCTTCCTGGATGGGAAGCGAAACGTCTTCAAACTTGAAAACTAAGTCCAGTAGATTTTTTTTTTCCAGCTTTTTTGGAATGCCGGTTAGAAGGGGTGTTTCATCCATCACACAGTTAAAATCCAGACTTTAGTAATAGAAAGATTCTTGTTTGATCTGGTCCCTTAGAAGCATATAGTGATAATGACCTGGTAAGTGTTGATGAGTAGACTGAGCTTTCTACACCTAATGCAATTATCCAGGGGGAAGTCATCCATTAAAAGGGAGAAGACAAAAGTAAATTAATTCCAGAACGGCTCTGGACGGGGACTTCACAGCGTGACCCTTAAATGCAGGCGGCAAAATGAAACGATTTCCTGGAGCGCGGCAGATTTGTGGTGTCACTGTCTCTCCCTCTAAGTTGACAGATGGTGTTCACATGCTGTTTTCTTATTCCCTCATTCTAGCATCTATTCACACAGCTTTGTTGTGGCTTAGAGCTGCACAGATGTTTCCCCCAGGATAGACCTGTGATGTTGAATGTTTGTAAGAGATAAAATGAGCTGCAGGTTCCGACATTTCATTTTAACAGGATCTCCACATTATAGCCATATTTACATTTTAATACCCCAATAGAGAGACATGAGAGATTATTTTGGCGGTAGCTAAGTCATTGATTTCTCTTGTAAGGCATGAAAAGTGATGAATTTAGATATGCCTTACCACAGTGTTTTTGGATGTATTATACTACATTTAAAAACCAAGAAACTAGTGCCGTGCAGATTGACCGGAGGACAGTCCATGACTAAAGCTGTCCCAGGAGATTTGACCAATCTTAGTATCTCATTAAAGAGAGTAATAAAGTGTTGCATGTGGACCGTTATCATGGTAACAATGTAGAAAGTGTAGTGGGCATGTTTATCATAAGAGCTGCGGGTGATATTTGTGACATCATAAACACAGTAGAAGAAGAACAGCTAAGCCTACAGGCTTTAAAGATCTTAGCAAAAACCTTTTAATCAAAACAATTAAAAAAGACTAAAGAAAGAGCATGCGGTTAGCTTTGGCGAAAGCGAGAGAGGGTGGACAAATCGTCACAAGATGATAGAAAAATTAAGACTTATGTTCGCCGCCAACAGTTTTAACAAAGGTTCATCCAAATTAAAATGTTTTACAAGAAACTAGTGACCTTTAGTTTATATTTTCAGAGCAAAGAGTTGAGTTGCTAATTTATTTTAGTTCTTTTCTGAGCAAAGACGTTGAGGCTTAGATGTGCTTATCTACTCAGTTTTGATATTAAAGCCTTTATGGAAAAAAAATAAATTAGTCAGTGGAAACAAAACCGGCCCCATTAATTAAAAATAATGTGGAGGGAAAGATAATCAACTGGTTAAATATGGCATTTGGCAATATGGTAGCTGTAAGAAACTAGTTAAATGTTTTATAAATTTGAAATATTTACATGTTTATACTAGAATGAGCATCAACATATAATTATAAATATATATATATATATATATATATATATATATATATATATATATATATATATATATATATATATATATATATATATATATGTATATGTATATAAAGCTATTTACTCATATTCAATTATTCATATTCAGCTATTTACTTCAACAAAAAACTAATATTATCCTATATATATATATATATATATATATTAGTATATAATAAATATAGGATAATATTAGTTTATATATATATATATATTCGTAATATATATATATATTAGTATATTATATATATATATATATATATATATATATATATATATATATATATATATATATATATATATATATATATATATATATATATATATATATATATTATATTAGTATCCTCAGAGTAGCTTTGCCTCGTCTGTTCCTGTTTGGCTGTGACGTCATCCTGGAAAGAAACATCAGCTGTGCTGCTTCCATCAACACCCTTGTTTTTAGATGCTGGAGATCTGCCTGTTTTCCAGTGTGGTCCTGTTTCTCTGACCGTGACTGGCTGGATGTGCTCTCTTCGTCCTCTGGCATGGGAGCTGCCTTGGAGCTCGTTTGCCTGGCTGTGTGTTTCCTGGACGGGGCCGCCTTTTACAGCTGCTTTTTGTATCTCTGCTTCTGTCTCCTTGAACCCCAGTCGGCCTCGGCAGATGGCCGCTCACACTGAGCCTGGTTCTGCTGGAGGTTTCTTCCTGTTAAAAGGGAGTTTTTCCTCTCCACTGTCGCTACAAGCATGCTTAGTGTGAGGGATTGTATTTGAGTCAATGAGTCAATGTAATCAACTGGTTTTCCTTAGATAGAAAACTTTGTATCAATTTGACTGTATGATCTGGTTGAACTGTAAAATGCCTTGAGATGACATGTGTTGTGAATTGGAGCTATATAAATAAACTGAATTGAAAATTGAATTGAATTATATTAGTATATAATATATATATAGGATAATATTAGTTTTTTGTTAAATTAAATAGGTGAATATGAATATGAATATGTGTAAATAGCTTTAAAAAATGAAACCCTAATGTCCCACTTTTTTATTTAATCTAATTACACTTTATTCCTTTTTATCTGAAAGATGTCCCCAGACTCTCTTGCAGAAATCCAGTCTCCTTTCTTTTATTAATTCACATTTTCTTGCATTACTGCTGAAAATGACGGGTATATTAGATAACAGGTAAGATGATTTTTGCTGTTATATTTGGGCAAGACGATGGCAGCATCATGCCCTGGGTACTGTTTAGATTTTTATTTGTAAACAATTTTAACAGTTTTTAAATTTATCATTTTACTTCCAATTTAATTTACCTTTTTTGCACAACTTGGTGCTGGTCTCTCACAAAAAAAAAAAAAAAATCAAAAACAAAATAAATTCAAAATAAACTCTATGGGAGAAAATGTTTAACGGTACAAACAAGCATAGAAACAAGCATAACCTTGATCATATGTCAAAGTGTTTACGGTCAGGGAGAGCTTTAACAAGAGAGCTTGTTGTTATTTAGTATTGACAACATGCCAAGCAACATAATTTATCGATCTGGATCACAAAAGCAGGTGGTTTGACAGTAGTTCTTGCCTGATATAGCGTGCATGGCTGCGGATCAGCTCAATAACCCTTCCCGTGTTGCTGACTGCACCGTCTGTGAGCAGGAAGAGCAGCCTGGGGTGACCGCTGAACGTGGGCTGCCTCATAATCCAGGTGAGCGGCGCCAGGATGTTGGTTCCCCCCATGTCGGCTCTCATCTTCCTGATGTAATCACAAGCTTGAGCCAGGGCCTCCTGGATGATGAGGATGAAGAGGAGTTAGGTCCCACAGTAAATCATATACCAGTCTTATATTTACATTTTATCACTGCTGCAATTTTAAAATGGAAATGTCTTGAGAGCTGTAATGAACAAAATTTCTTTTTGTATACTCTGGGTGTGTACAAAATGACAATAAAGCCTGCCTAAGTCTAGGTCTAAGTAAGTCTACACTGCAAAAAATGTATATCTAAGTAAGACTTTTTTTTCTTAAAATAAGTGCATTTTTCTTGAATTGAGCAGGTATGTGAGACACTTTGCCAATAGGATAAGACAATTTACATTTAAAATAAGACAAAACAACTGCAGTCTCTTATCTCAAGTGCATAATATCTAATTTTCTTATTTTCTGGGTAAAAACGCTAATTCCATTGGCAGATCATCGTATTTTCCTACTCAACTTTTAAGAAATATTTACTAATTTTTAGAATGTTTTTGCAGTGTAAGTTACAGAATTCTTATGCTTTTATGCAGAACATAAACCTGAAACATTTCTCCTCCTTTAAGGTAAAACCTTTTGCACTTTTTAAGGGCCTGTGTTAAATTTTCAGGTTAATAAAAGCTATTAAAGTACAACAGAACTTCAAATTTGAGAAAGACTCAGTCTTGATAACTAACCAAAAACAAAAATCATGCCTATCGATTATACGTATAACTCCATGGACGGTTCTACAGTAGATAGGGACCAACACCGATTGATGCCCCTGTAGGACTGGCCCTGGCCCCTGTTGTGGCCCCTGTACTGAAAACATAAATGAAAACATAAACAAAAATTAAACAGAAGACTTTTTTTTTTTTTAAATAGATCTTCCCTTGATTGGAGAATTTAATGAATTAGACCATTTTTCATTGGAATTAGATTATTTACATTTAAAATGGGGGAAAAATCCATTATTTCAAGTGCATAATATGTGATTATCTTATGTTTAGGAGCAAACATTAAACAACATTATTACCTGCTCAAATTAAAGGCAAAAACACTTATTTTGAGAAATATATACTTTTTTTCTTATTTTTGTTTTTCTAATTGCTAACAGACTGAAACTGATTCAGCCCCCATTAAAAAACACTGCCCCCTGTAAATTTCATCAGAAGAATTGGCACTAATAATCATTAGATGGTCCATTTTCACACCTGTTCATTAGAAAGCTAGTGTGAAGTTTTCTTCTTGCGCTGTGAAGCCAGAGTTAGATAAATTAAAAGCCATTTACTTCTAGAATCCAGCTCTGTGTTGGTTTTATTTAGCAGACAGTAAATGGGGTTACTGCCTGGAGGGAGAGGAGGCAGACATGCGGATGGGACTAAAAACCTATGAGACCCACGTTAAGGTCTGAGGCCTGCATGCACGGGTCATGAGTTTCACCTCTTTATATATGCTGCACCTCACCTGCCTTTCAAAACCTCATCAGCACGGCATGTGTGACTGGAAAGGGAAAAACCGGTGTGGCAGAGAAAACACAACCTTTTCCTCAAGCTCCCATTTCTCTATTGATTGCTCGGAAAATCTGCCCCCCGCTTTTACTCAAAACATTCTGTCAACTCGGAGTTAAGCGAAAAAAATAAATAAATAAATAAAAGCTCCTTTTGAGTAAAATGCTTTTAACTCTGGAAAAAATGACTGGGCCATTTGTTCCTGTGCAGCCAGCCATTGCTTGGCTCACACAGGTGTACCACTTATCGCTCCTTTATAGGTAGGGATGTTTTAAAGCAAAAGCATTGGAGAAAGTCCAACAATGCCAGAAGGTCTAGTTGGTTAAATGGATCGGTTGGTGCAGGGCAACTACAGCCAAGAGAAATAACACAATTCGCTTTAATGTCACTCAGTTTTATTAGGCTGTGGTGCTGCAGTCCGTTACTCAGGCACACACTGACAATCAGGAGGTCAAGATTTTTAAAAATCAACAATCAATGCTGTTCAGGTATTTCACTCAAGCCTAAAGCCCTCATATGCAAAACCATAGCAAATAAAAAAAATAAGCAAAAGAGATTAGAGCGAGAGGCCGGTTGGAGGGTAGAGAAACTGACTGATAGCGCTCATGAGCGTTTGAAACCAAAGTGAGACCCGGGGAAGCGTTAGAGAGGACCAGAGATGGGAAGTAACGAAGTACAAATACTTCGTTACTGTACTCAAGTAGATTTTTCTGATATTTTTACTTTACTTAACTACTTATTTTTATGGCGACTTTTTACTTCTACTCCTTACAATTTTACACAAATATCTGTACTTTCTACTCCTTACATTTTAAAAAATTGGCTCGTTACTTTAGTTTTGAATAATTTCAATGGAGTTACCGTTATTATTTTTCACGTCATCAATACCAAATTAAATTTAATTGGATGGGAATCTACGTTGCATTTGACGCACCACTACAAGATGAATCGACAGATTCGGCGGTATTCATTCGCGGCAAATCATTGCAGCTTGGTGGCGGTGGCGTTAGCATAGTAGCATGGACGACGAGATGATTGAAAATGAACACAACGGAGATCTAGTCCTATTAGCAGACATCCATTTAAAATGTAGGCAATGGCATTAAAAGTGGTTTCTACTTTTACTTTTATACTTTAAGTAAATTTACAAGCCTGAACTTTTTTACTTTTACTTGAGTAAAGAAGTTTAATCAGTACTTCCACATTTACCAGAGTATTTTTTAACACAAGTATCTGTACTTTTACTCAAGTACGGAAAGTGAGTACTTTTGCCATCTCTGGAGAGGACGAGTAAAACCAAGAGGAAAGCACAGATTCTCACTGTGTATCCCTCATGTTTCCTTATTTCTCACTAGGTTTTAAAACGCTCCAATGCAGTCACTTGCACCACTTCTAAACCAGTCTTGTGCAGCATTTTCTCTAAACTGTTGCTTGTCGCTTTGGCGTTTTATACAGAGGGAGAAAGTAAAGATGAAAGCAGGAGTGGAGAGGAAGCGGATTATAGAAGAGAAATTAGTGTACAGTGCTATAATGTTATATTGCAGATAAGACATAAAACTTGTGGAGATAATGTGGGGGATCAGATGCTTTGGAGGTTAGATCAAGGGCCCCCCCCCCCCCCTTCCATTAAAATATTCTATTCTCTTTCCTACTATTTTATTTTGTTTTTTTATTAAAACGGCACTGCGTTTCATTGTTAATGTTAAGCTGAACACTCATAAGAGTATATTGATAACTGTTCTGGCTGAGAGATTGAAATGAGTTTAGAAAGGGATTTGTTTTGAACAGGCATTTTAGGGCACCCTTGGGTCCAACGTTTCCTGTTGGTGAAGAAGCTCAGTAGTTGATAGCAGCCATAGTGTGTGATGCACGTCAGATATACGAATGCTGTTTGTATTTCCAGAAGAAACGGGAAAGTTAAAAGAAAGTTTGCAACCACTGCATGTCTCGACGTCACTTTGTTCGAGTGTGCAACAATAACACTAGCATCCAGCTAAGGCAAAAGCTTTATGTTTTTTCAAAGGATAATGCAAATTCTAGAATGTGGTTAAAGAAGATAGCATGGTAAAAAAATATATTTACAGCTACAAAGTCCATGATATCAGATTGAGCACTTTATAAACTTCCTAGCATATTATTTCCATATTAGACTCCTCATTTTATTAAATTAACCATTATATAACAACATAAAATCCTGTTGAGATTAAGAATACAGTTTGGGTATATTAGCACTTCCCAAGCATAGAAAGAGTTAGTTGATATATTTATATTCTTCATGTCTTCAAATGTTTACCATGCTTCATTAAGATTCATCATAAACTGTAGAGCCATGACATCACTGTGACCTTTACTCTCAGGTGGGATGGCCTTCCGTCTCTATGAGAAGGCAGGGTCACTGGTACACTTTTATTTTCAATGCCCCTCTTGGATTAATTACACAGAAAAGCATGGCTTCTTCTGCCCTGAGATCCTAAGATCAGCTGTTGCTCGCTGTTCCTTTTGCCCGCACAGAACTAGGGAAGCAACCTTTAGCTACGCAGCTCCTTGTGTGTGGAATTTCTTACAAAGAAACTGGAAGTTGACTGAGTTTTTATCTTTAAATGCTTTTAAGTTGAAAGTGAAAGAATTTGAAGCAGCCTCAATGATCTGTAATGGTTTTATTTGATATGTTTTTTTATGTACCTGTCATTTATTTTAATGTATCTCTGTTTATTATGTAACTTTGCTGCCTCTTGGCCAGGACTCCCTTGAAAAAGATGGGGTTTTTTAATCTCAATGGGATTTTTTTTTTCCCTCGTTAAATAAAGGTTAAATAAAAATATTGATGGCAAATGAGATCGCTTTTGGATTTGTTTGTTTTTTTACAGAATTGGAAAAGAAAGACGCACAGAGTCAGAGCGGGAACCTTTAGGTACACTTTCTGAGCAAAACACTTCAACTTGTTGCATGCTTTAATTGGGAAAAATAGGGAGATTTTTTTTTCATCAGTGTATCGGCTCAAGGGCTAATTTGTTATTTACTGTGTTGTATTTTATACCTTATTCTGACTATTTTTTTTTTTTTTTACATTCACATAATGAATTTAAGGAAAAGAAAAAAGGTTTAATTGTTGGAATCAGCACCAGAAGGATAAATAATAAGACAGTTGCACTGCAGAGCGTTTAGTATGCAGTATTACAGATCAAATTAAAGAGTTTGTAACACTGTCTGCCGCCACTAATAGGAATAATTGGCTGTTGCCATGAGGAAAAGTGGCCACAACTACTAAATAAGAACATCAAATTCATGAGTGAAGAAAACTATCAAAATTATAACCTAACAAACAAGTTGTGTAATTTGATACCAGCAGAGATACAAAGGAGCGCACAGAAAATTAAACATGTGGGGGATTTATTCCACAGCATCTGGCAACAGACATTTATCTCCCACAAGGTTGCTTTTTTTCTTTCACAGAAAAATTTGGAGATAAGCGGGAGAAATTACTGATTCATAGCTCGGCTGAGATATCTTAAAAAATAGTGAGTGTCCCGCGTATATCGGGAGAGTTGGCAACTATGCTGTTGTCTTTCAAGATCTGCATCACAAAGCATACATCCGTATATATTTGCTATGTCCCCCAGGGTAAAGTATTATAGGGAAAACAGCAGCATTGCAAGAAATTCAACAGACTATCACCAACAATGCAAAAATTGAAATCTAAATATTTCTAAAAATATATACACATTATAAATATTCATTTATTCTTAAAACAAGTGCTTTTTTTATTGGGAAGGTGAGACTGTTTACCAATGGAACAAGATAAATCAAAAAAGCATTGCATTATCTTGTTTCAACTGCATATGATCTAATTATCTTATCTTAAGAGTAAAATACTAATTTCATTGGCAGACCATCTTATCTAGCTACACAAATTAAGGGTAAATACACTTTATTCAAGACATTTTTACTTATTTCTAGATCATTTTTGCCATAAAACCTAAGTTATTAGAACATTTATGTGTGCATTTTTTTTTTTTTTTTTTTTATATACATATCTTTTTTAACAGCAACTCGTTATGTTTTTTTAGAATGATAGAAAATTCAATTCAATGCAATTTAGTTTATTTATGGAGCACCAACTCACAACACATGTCATCTCAGGATACTTTACAGAAACAGTCCAGTTAGATTGTTTAAAAGTTTCTGTCAGTAACTGAGGTATTTTTTTGAGTGAGGTAACTGTAACTAGTTACTGTTTTAAAGCTACAGTGTATAATTTTTAGCGACATCTAACGTCCAGACTGCAGACCGCAGCAACATGAACATCCCCCCCCACCGCTTCTCCCCCCCAACAGTACGGCGAGCGTTGCGGGACAAAATGTCTTCCACGACGTCCGCATCACCTACCTTCTCAAGTGATGAGGTTTGTTTACATAGATAATTTTACAGATAGTATTCTCAGGCATAATACTGCCATCTATTGTTCAGTACCGTCTGAGTTCATATCTCTCAACTTGCCGTAGTTACTTTCGAGCGTAATGGGCAATCTCAAATCGCTAGTTTGTTGGCTCTGCGCTGCCGTAGCGCAAAGATGTCTGCCTCCATGGCTGCGAGACCCGCTCCTATGTAATTATAAATAACGAATTCTAAGGCAACGCAAATATTAAGGTTAAGAGGCTGAGCTCGTAGATGATGATAAATAACATAGTTATGTATAAAAGATTACATTTCTGACTGTATATCCCTGTAAATATTACACACTGTAGCTTTAAAGTAACTTTCACAAGACATCTTATCGCACAGGTTGGAAACACTTGGTTCCAATCTCATTGGTACCAACTTTGTACAAGTTTCTATTGGGAGTGTCCATCAGATGTTTCCATAGGACCAGATGATTCCAATATTCAACATGTGGTGATAAAACTAAGACCTTTATGCTTCCCAAGCAAGACAGAGTTGATTATATTTAGTTCAATGAATCAAACTTTATCCCTGCTTATTCATTAAAATTAGCTAATTAGCCACTGAGCTAATTACTGAGCTGTTGAACCATGGATTTTTTTTTTTTTTGAGGGACAAACCTGCGGTGAAGGTCATGTTATTTTGTGATTATTATTATCTCCCTTTTATCTCCTCTTTCTTTCATAATCTGTAAAACTCCCTGCATAATTATAATAAAGCAATTTATATGCATGAAATAAGCGGAACACTATGGCAATAGCCCTACTGCTCCACTTGTGAAAGTAAAATCTGTTGGGATCTTATTGGCATCAAGACAATTATTCTTATTGCCACATTGCCAAGACAGTACACATAAAAAAAAAAAAAAAGAAGGTCATATGATTTTAATTTTACTTCATATTGGTTTGTTAATTGGTTAAAACAAAAGCTTAAGTAAGACTGTCAGACTTCAGGTTATTAAAGTACATGCCTGAATTGTTTACTTTTACCTCCTCGTAGTTTTGGCTGGTGGCAAAGAGTGACTTAAAAGTGGATCCAAATCCAACAATGTTGAAAAGGCAGCCAGGCATCAGACTCTTGAGAATAACCACCATGGCATCCTGAACAAAGGAAATCGAGAAAATTGAGAGCATAAATCAAATAGGGTCATAGCTGCAAATGGCTGGCTGTGAGACGAGTGAGCAGCATCACACATTATCATTTCACCAATCACTGCCTCTTCACCAGCTCAAGGGCAGTTTCTAAAATAATACCACTTATCTCCATTCTGATTTGGGTGAGCAGTGCTAAGGCTGCCATGACTAAAACTAGTAGGACTCAAAAATGCTGTTCACACATAGAAATAAAATAAAAAAATCCTTTGAGTAAGGTTCTAGTTTTGCTGAAGAATTTCTTTAAAAGATTTGTGCCAACCCCTATCAAGCTCACACTGGCCTTAAACCAAACTCCACAGAGTCAGACACATTCATTAAAAGATCAAACAAGAGTCTACAAAAAGCTAATGGCATGACTCATTAAAAACCATACTTCAAAGAAAGTGATATAAATAAATCAAACCTTTAGAAGTGGATGGATGGATGGATGGATGGATGGATGGATGGATGGATGGATGGATGGATGGATGGATGGATGGATGGATGGATGGATGGATGGATGGATGGATGGATGGATGGATGGATGGATGAAGGATGGATGGATGCATGGATGGATGCATGGATGGTTGGATGTATGGATAGATGGGTGGTAGATGGATGGATGGATGGATGGATGGATGGATGGATGGATGGATGGATGGATGGATGGATGGATGGATGGATGGATGGATGGATGGATGGATGGATGGATGGATGGATGCATGGATGCATGGATGGATAGATGAATGAAGGGTGAATGCATGGATGCATGGATGGATGGTGGATGGATGGATGGATGGATGGATGGATGGATGGATGGATGGATGGATGGATGGATGGATGGATGCATGGATGCATGGATGGATGGATGGATGGATGGATGGATGGATGGATGGATGGATGCATGGATGGATGGATAGATGAATGAAGGGTGAATGCATGGATGCATGGATGCATGGATGCATGGATGGATGGATGGATGGATGAAGGATGGATGGATGCATGGATGGATGCATGGATGGATGGATGGATGGATGGATGGATGGATGGATGGATGGATGGATGGATGGATGGATGCATGGATGGATGGATGCATGGATGCATGGATGGATGTATGGATGGATGGATGCATGGATGGATGCATGGATGGATGCATGGATGGATAGATGAATGAAGGGTGAATGCATGGATGCATGGATGGATGGATGGATGGATGGATGGATGGATGGATGGATGGATGGATGGATGGATGGATGGATGGATGGATGGAAGGATGGATGGATGGATGGATGAAGGATGGATGGATGCATGGATGGAAGGATGGATCAATGGATGGATGAATGAAGGATGGATGGATGCATGGATGGATGGATGGATGGTTAGTTGGATGGATGGATAGTTGGATGGATGGATGGATGGATGGATGGATGGATGGATGGATGGATGGATGGATGGATGGATGGATGGACGAACGGATGGATGGAGCAACTATGCAATGCTTAATAAGGCCACTAAAGCACTCAATTATCCTTCCAGTTTAACTGGTTTCAAATTTATGATGCGTTCATGAAATGTCTAAACATAACAGCCTCCATAAACCAGTGCTATATATACCTGGGATAAAAACATATAAATCAGAATGTGCCCATCCATTTGCAGAGAAACTGATCAAAAGAAACGTAAAAGATAAAGAGGACATGGCTTGCTGAGGTAATAATACCTTCACACGGTGGATGTTGGGTCCACTCATGCTGCCGCTTCGGTCAATAAGGAAAATGAATTCACCGTGAACTTTCCTCAGGTCCGAGCAGATAGATTTGAGGTCAGGACAAAAGTTTAACATGACCACAGGGTTGTGAAGGATGTCCTTATGCAGCCGTCTGTGAATGACATCTACCTGGATAGATAAACAGAGCGGAATCAGAAATAAATACCAAGGGATTCAGATTCAGGAGATAATAAACTAAAGGCTATCTGCAGGGTATTCAATTTAACATTCAAAACTCTGACGCACAAAAGGGACAAGTGATCAGATTAGACAAAACACTTCAATTATTGAAAATGTGCAGGAAAAGATCAGGCAGAATAAGCCTCGCCTTTGGAGTGTTTCCATGGAAACCCATTTTTATGGCTAAGTGCTCTCTCCTCCAGTTTAGGTCTGCTGGTCACTTAATAACCTCATCATAGCTGGATGTGCCTGGCCCCGTGCAGCGGTGTAATCGAAAACTTGAACCTAAGCCCAAAGCAGCCTTCTGTCCTTTGTTATCAGAGCGTGTTTGCAAACAGCAGAGCGGTTTATTAACAGGTGTATAATTTGATAACTGTGCATAGTGTATACTATACTGTCAATATACAGTATAATAAAGTAATGCCTGAAAAAACAAAATCAATAGCTCCTCATCTTAGAGTAAATCAAAGCTGCTTCTCTTGTCTCTTTCTGATTAAAAGTCTTCACTTTAGGTCCTGTCCCCTCAAGGCCCCCTCCCAAAAGAGCCATTTTATCTGATTGAAGAAGCCTGGACAACAACCAAGACACTTCAGGCAGTGGAGGATGTCCCATGTGTTCCAGCAAATCACTTACTCCATCAATGCTACTTAGCAATTCAGCAATGTCACAAAGAATTGGCTCCTGGTTTTTTGCTTTTGTATAGAGCATATTTAAAAGTATCATTCCCCTACACCGAAACAACTGAGTATATTCTTGCTACAACATCATCAATAGTATATATATATATATATATATATATATATATATATATATATATATATATATATATATATATATATATATATATATATATATATATATATATATATATATATATATATGTGTGTGTGTGTGTGTGTGTGTGTGTGTGTGTGTGTGTGTGTGTGTGTGTGTGTGTGTGTGGGGCAACTCTTTAATTTAGCAATATTTCAAGGTTTTGTTTGTTTTGGCATGAAAATTCAGATCATACTGTAGCATTTCAATCAGTTTATGGTTGGGACCAGGGGCAGATCTACGAGGGGTCAATGGGGGGACAACTGCCCCACCGTGCCTACCCCCTACTTGTATGTCACTGGAATAACTTTGATTTTTAAGCCACCGTTTTCGTCATTATCATGTGTGCGTTTTCTCATCCTTCTTCTCAGTTTCTCCCTGTGTTTTCTGCGAGTCCTTTATTAGAGTAGTTTGGTCCGGTTCGACCCAGTTAAAACAACTAAAAGATACTTCACCGTCACTTAATACCCTTATTCATTATCTTTCAATTTGATTTTGAATTAACTTCTGCTAATAGTGTTAGCTCTATCAATCACTAGATCTCAAGCCTATTATGTTTGTTTTTTTCCAGCAGCTATCTCATGTATAAAGGTTCATGAAAACTTTGAAGTGATGACATAGTGTGGCATTCTCTACTTTTACCAATCAATAACAGTACAATAAAAAAAAAAAAACATTCTGATAAAATAATAATAAAAACTGCGCCTGGGGAGCAGTGTGGGGTTAAGGGTCTTGCTCAGAGACCCAGAGTTCAGGCTGTTGGGATGAAACCGCCTACTTGCAACCTTCTCAGAGCACAAGTACACTGCTCTAACCACTAGGCCAACACTCCCCCCCAATGCAATGATAATGTTAGCCTTCCTATGTTCCCAGTAAGAACTACACTCCAAAAACCATCTAGTAATTAGTATAAAAATGTATTAAATTAAGTGTATTTCCCCTTAATTTGAGTAGAAAAATAAGATGATTTGTCAATGGAATGAGTATTTTTCCTCTTAAAAGAAGATAATTAGATAATATACGCTTAAAAAAAGATAATGTAATTGTTTTTCCTTATTTTAAATGTAAATTGTCTTGTTCCATTGGCTAAGTGTCCCATTTATCTACCTAATTAAAGAATAAACGCACTGATTTTAAGTAAAAAACAACTTATTTAGATTTCCATTTTTTGCAGTGTAATCGCATCATCAATCCCACATTTTCAGGTGAAAAATTCACCACAGTGAGCGAAAAATATAACAAAGGACATATAATTTTTGAAGTAATTATTGGTTTTTACGTATCACAAAGGGATATTTTTAGGCTAATAAAAAAATTAAAACATTTAGACCAACATGTTCAGCTGGTTGTGGATCCCTTTAAAAGATAATGGGTATAATATTAACAGAATTAATGTCTGCGCCTCACTCACTTTCCTCTGATTGCTGGAGTCCTTTTTGGTTGCTTTGATGAAATCACTCCGACTGTGAAGGTACTCATCGTATTCCTCCTGCGTCATGTCTCCATTCTCGACGAGCACGTGGGGCACATGGGGCTCTGATACGGCACAGCGATTAAGAAAAAAGACATCAGGATAATTATTGTCAGTTTCTGACTCATAGCTTAACAGGGAAGTGGGGGGTACTCCAAAGCACAGGATTACGCCCACATTGATTGTAGATGTAATTCTATCACAGTGGGACTAAAGAAAGAAATATGAAGAGAAAGGATTAAGTTCTAACCAGGATCAAGGATCATAGTAGAAAGAAAATCCTTATACCAAGACAAATCGACCCAAAATAATAATAATAATAAAAGTTCAAATCTTTACCAGGTTCTAAAACTCTTCAAGTTTAGAAAAAAAAAAAACACACTACCACTTGACCTTTAAAGCATGATGAAAATTGTGTTTAAAGATAAGTAATTTACCAGCTTGCAGCAGAAATAACTTGAAACGATTAATTTTCTGCATCACTTTATAACCCTCCCACATTATTTTAAAGTAATTTTGGATAACTCCTGACTTTAGTTTATTAAGGTATGAAGGCATTTCTATCAGCAGAGCTCAATAGGGTATCACCCTAGCATTTGAATCAGCATTACAAGGTTTTATAATGGTAGTATTAATATTTGTGTTGTGTTTTATCCATACAAATAATATTTACCATCAAATGTGTTTGGTTACACAGCTTTTAGAATAATAATAAAAGGTTGCTGCTGAGTTTTACATTATAGATACTGCTGGTTTTCTAAAACACGTCCTTTTGAGATCACCCAATATGCAGAAAAAATGTTTTTAAGTCCCGTGTAATCTGCTTGAAAACCACAGTTTATCATTTTCTATCTTTATAGAGGTTCTGCAATATTATTGATATAGTAAAAATGCAGAGGTGGAAAGAGTACTAAAAAATTGTAATTGAGTAAAAGTATTTTTACTAAATTTTACTCAGAGTAAAGGTAAAATTACCCATCTCAAAATTTACTCAAGTGAAAGTACAAAATTACTTCATTTAAAATGTAATTTGAGTAAAAGTTACTTGGTTACTTTGAGTTATTTAATGCAAAAAAAAGGATGAGTCATGAATCGAATTGAGCACAAGGTGTTTTAATCGATTTCAAGGCGTATTTCAGTAACCTGACTCCGCCAGATGGATTTGCTCCGCATATCCATCTGGAAACCTTCCGTTGAAGTAATTCTGGGAAGTGGCGAAAATACTGGTTAGCTGATTGGCCTATGTTGGTGATAGACGGGCCAAATAAACCAATCAGATCAACGAAGCATATGACGTACTAACAGAGCGACGACGAAAACACAACCACAAGCCAGGCTACTCTTGCTGAAACCAGTCGGGTGAAGAGCAAAAACATATTTTCCTCTGAGAAAAGCCTCGGGAGCAGTGTTTTGCTCTTCTTTCAGTGAAGAAATACTCTGTAATTCCGATAAAACTTGCTCGATAGCCACGCTAATGCTAGTTTCAGCTAACCTGACAACAGCCAGATGCATGTCTCGCTCCGCCTAGCTCCACTCACATACATCTGGGAACCCGCTCATTGAAAGTGATTTCCCCAACGGAATTTATGGTCTGTCCAATCAGGACGCAGGGTGGGTGTGTCCTGGAGTGGAGAAGCGACCGTGAGATTCCAACAACAATGGCGGCTCGCATTGAGGAAGCAAGCTTTAGCATTGATGCTGCTATTTCTTCTGTGTTGTCCAATCTATCTGATATTGTTTCATTAAAAGAACATCAGAGAACGGCTTTGAAGGCTTTTGTTGGTGGAAACGATGTTTTCCCCCTTCTCCCGACCGGATTTGGCAAGAGCTTGATCTACCAAATGGCTCCTCCTCTCACAGCGTCACGGGTTAGCTTCGGTGTGAGTGGTTGAAATAGCACGTCAATAAAGATGACAGACAAGTGGCTTATCCAAAATATATGCAAGGAGTTTTGATAAGGCCCAGCCTTCAGTAAAGGCAATTCCTATGGCGGGTTCCCAGATGTATGTGAGTGGAGCTAGGCGGAGCGAGACATGCATCTGGCTGTTGTCAGGTTAAGTTTCAGCGGCTGAAGCCGCCATGTTCTTTAGACTGAACTGTCGCGCTTCTCGTTGCGTCACACCTCAACCCACCTCAAAGCCAACGCTGATTGGACGTTCGTTTGGTGAACGGCTCCAAATTTTCTTCAACGGAGAGTCTCCAGACTGATTAGCGAGTAAAACCTTGAAAGCTCGCGAGATCAGGATGGTCTCACGAGGCTAGTATTTCAGTGAACATCCACACTTGCAAAAGATCAGCTGGGCTAAGGAACATACTTCCTCACAGCACAAGGACAGTGACAACCTGTACCATAAAGTGCCAACAATTTTCAACCCTACTGTCCAACAGACAACACCATGATAGGAATAAAGAAATTTAAACTACGTTTTAAAGTTTTCAAAATGCACACAAAATTAAATGCCCAAAAGGTACCAAGAATCAAACTCAAACACAACAGGATGCCACTGTTATTAACAAGCTCCTCATTTAATGATTTTAACTGACACTTGTTTTACTTTAGTAGTGATTTTTAGCTGTCACTTATTTTTACATCAATTGTTTATATGTTTGAATTGTGTAAATAAAGTGCTGTTAAAAGTCAAAAGTCTCCTTCTATTTTTTAATGGCGATTAAGTGTCGGTTCCGTGACACAGGGGTTTAAATTTCCGGCTGCATTTAATTATTTCATCAGCAGTATTTTTATTTTTTTTTACTCAGTAACGTGAGGGGGTTTTAAATGTAGTGAAGTAAAACTACTTAGGTTAAAATTTACTCGAGTAAAAGTAAAAATTGCATATTTCAAAAACTACTCAGAAAATTACAAATTACTCATAGAAAGTACTCAATTACAGTAACGTGAGTAAATGTAATTCGTTACTTTCCACCCCTGTAAAAAAGTCATTCAGTAACAGATGCAGCGAAGGTGCCTGTTTCCAGAGCAGATCTCGATTATATTCAACTGTTTCTGAGCAGAGCCTGCTGCTGCGGCAGACATAACTTTATTTAGTTGTCATTATTGTTTAAAAAAAAAGAAAGTACAGGTTGTTTTACATTTAAACACAAATGAATATCAAACATTAGTAAATTTGGTCATTTGATCTGTCACATTTAAAATGGGAAAATATTGTTATCACATTCGAATAATAATTTATAAAGTAAATTCCTTTGAATGTCTTGTTTTTCACAGCTTTTCGTAAAAATATGTCAAGAGCAACTGAAACCCAATGCTGTATTGCAGCTAAAAGCAGGGATACCTTCATCTCCTGAATGTCTGAAATGCAGCTCTTTCTCCTCAGTTCCTTGGCTTATGCTGAGCGTCCATGTTGCGACAGAAACAACAGCTCAAGTTTGCTTTGAATTAGGTTGCCCTACACTGACCTCACGTCTGCATGTGAACAAAATTCTCAAAAGAGGCCCATCAGCTCAGTTTGTCCATAGTTCATACCTGCCTCAGGGAGACCACCAGCCCACACAGGCTACAGATCAGACAGCATCGAGGGACAAAAAGAGCACCCGAGAAGAAATACCTTGGCAATCCACTCCTACACTATGGAGAGGGACTCTGCAGGCATTTATTGCAACTAAGGAGGCTTTTTTCCTCAGTAAGACACTCATACTCTAAGTAGTGAGTCACCTCATAGCTGATCTGATTACAGGCCACCTATTGTGTTGAGGAAAAAAAAAAACCAAGAAGCAATTTCAAGATATTTTACTTGTAGAAAGAATAAAAGTTTAATTGCAGGCTGGGCTGCAAAAGAGTTTTAAGCTGTAGACCTACCGCTGGGGTAGATAAGTATTTCCACAGGGCAGTCGTAAGTGTACTTGTCAGCCAGTGTGATGACGACGCTGGTTGCCGAGCGAGCAAGAGGGTCTGCATCAGCTCGGATGGCATGAGAAGGGCTCTCCACTCCTACACAGAGCAAATGATAAGTGGATCTAAAACACCAGCAATTACTTCAGGTATGATCATACCTATACACACAGAAAAATCGAAAGTGTTGTATGCTGAAAGTACAGTTTTAACATTTGTTTAGTCTAATTCAACTATGTGAGTTAGTTGCTCCAAAGAGTTTGTGTTAATCTGCAGAGTTAAACTCAAACAAATCAGTTAAGTGTTGCTTTTGAAATAAAAAATGTGCAAAGTTTTTTTCTGAAATGCCAACCCATCTGGGAAGGCATGAGCTAACAACAACATCAGGGGAGCAATATGCTGATGAAGGTTCTCAGTCATCCAGGTCATAGTAATTCCGTAAAAATTCAAAAAATATCCACTGGACTTGGTTTCCAAGATTTGAAGACGTTTCTCCATCTCTCCAGGAAGCTTTCTCAATTCAAATGTCTGGATCTGCAGTGAGTTTGAGTCTTATATAGACAAGGCCCTGTATCGCTTGGAAACATGCAAATGGTAACCGATGAATGGGTCGTTTGGTTCCATTGTTAGCCTGTAATATCGGAAACCTGTCTATGATTGTTAAGAGTCAGTCGTTGAGAAGGTATCTTTATATTGGAGAAAGCGAATAACCTCTCCACAGACGCATGGTCCAACACAGAGAGCGCCCTCCTCTGGACAAGACTCCGCAGTACACCTACACCTTGTGGACAAAGGACATTCTTTTGAGGACCAGAATGCTCACATTCTGGACAAAGAAAATAGGTGGTTTGAGAGGGGCGTGAAGGAAGCCATCTATGTTAAGAGAGAAAAACCAACTTTAAACAGAGGTAGTGGACTCAGATTCCAGCTTCCAAAAACGTACACTTCAATCATAGACATGATCCCTTCCAGATATCACCAAACCCCCCACCCCATCACAGAGGAACGAGGGACCTACCTGCTCCAGCCAGTGAACAATACCTCCTCAACGACCGACTCTTAACAATCATAGACAGATTTCAGGTATTACAGGAGACAATCCCCCCCTTAACGGCAATCCCCCCGTTTCACGACCGACCCTCAGAATCATAGACAGGTTTCAGATATTACAGGCTAACGATGGAACCAAACGACCCATTCATCGGTTACCATTTGTATGTTTCCAAGCGATACAAGGCTTTATCTATATAGGACTCAAACTCACTGCAGATCCAGACATTTGAATTGAGAAAGCTCCCTGGAGAGGTGGCGAAACGTCTTCAAATCTTGGAAACTAAGTCCAGTGGACATTTTTTGAATTTTTATGGAACATCAGGGGATTTTGGAGTTGTGATGGATACAAAGTTGCATCCTATGTCACAATGCAAGTTTGTCCTGCGCCTAGAGGGTCGCAAGTGTGAACCTCAGCTCTGTTGTTGTGTCCTTGGGCAAGTCACGTGACTTTGTGAAGTGTTGTTTGTTTCCATAAGGCCTGGTAGCACCTGTTTACAGAAGTTTTGCTTCCATAAGCATGCCCCAGGGCAGCTGTGGCTACAGTGTGTCAGAAAGTATGGAATTAATTACCACTGTTATGCTGATGATACTCTGCTAATTGCTAACACTAGTGTGTGGTGTTAACTGTTGACACTATACCCTAGTTTTAGAATAATTCAACCCTGATAAGTGTTGAATTTAAACTATCAAGGGTATTGTTCCAAATCCCCTGTTTAACACTTTTAACTAGAGTAGTGTGGAGCAATATAGATACTTGGTAATAATAATGGTTGATAATAATAATATTTTAACTTTATTGTTCTCACATAAATTTACCTCTGCATTTAACCCATCCCCTTGGGGAGCAGTCGCCTACCAAAAGTAAAGTGAGTAAAGAGTAAAGTGTTAAATTTATTTCCCTGGATGTTGAATTAACACTTAGGAATTTGCTGTGCAGGTAAATTTATATATAAAGAGTAGGCAAGGTATACAACCAACAATTTGGAATTCAGATAAAATGCTATAGAAATTTAATCAATCTAACTTATGTCTAAAGCTGTAGAGTTACAGTGAAGCCACATAGACATTAACTACAGTCATTATTGTGATAAAGTGTGTGGTATTTGTGAAATTAGCATAGGACTACCTATAAAACACTGAAAAAAATAATGAAACCATTTTTTGTGTCTACTTAATCATATTTAGTTACTTTAACAAAATTGTTATACCATGTTTGTCCTACCATGTTAACATGAAAAAAAATCTGTTAAAGTAACTAAATATGATGAACTAGATACCAAAAATGGTTGCATTATTTTTTTCAGTGAATGTACTGATTCTCTGCATAAATAGATTCTATTATTTTCACCAATGCTTTTAAAGCTCAGTCACACCAGACTAAGGCCACATCTGGTGAAGATTCTCAGTCATCCAGGTCATTGTCGTTCCAAACAAAAAGAATGTTAAAAACAATCCACTGGACTTTGTTTTATTTCCTGGATGGGAAGCGAAACATCTTCAAACTTGGAAACAAAGTGGGTTGTTTTTATCTTTCTTTTTTTTTTTTTTTTGGTAAAGCCACATCACAGAATAACAAATCAGCCAGAATGCATATAATCAACAGAATAGCACAACAAACTTGCCTTGAGAAGTTTCTTTACATACAAATATAATTTGCACTGTGGCCCCTATGAAATAGTGCTCCAGGTATTGGTGAAGTACACACCACTTCAAATTGCATGTATGAGGCTGAGAGAAATGTACAACTCTTTAACTTTCAGTTTAAACAGTGTTTGCCATGCTGTTTAAGGGAATCCCCGAGATTGAGTTAATTAATGAGGAGAAAAAAAAGGGGCAGAGTGTTTTAACTATAGCTGGTAGATTTAAAGACGCAAGCTTCAGGGTTCAGATCCACAGTGATCAGTTTGGATTTGGTGGCATGATTGCCTCTGGTTGCACTTCTCGAGAGAAAGAGCTTATTTTGGCTTTGCATTTGTTCACAAAACCAAACCGCTGGATTTTGTCTTGCAGCGTATAAGAAGAGTTAAATCACTGATATCTTTTTCTATGCAGTAACTGATGGCAGATGTGAAGAAATCTCTCATATATTAAAAAGAAAAATGTTACAGATTATAAGAAAGCTTCTTTGTATGTGCAGAAATGTCCTGAAATTAGGGTGAAAGAGAACACAGGAAAGAAAAACTTGTGCTACAAAGCAGGGACATAGAAGCCGTTTTGGTGATGGTAGAGAATACAAGGTAAACTTTAACTAGTGTGACAGCGGGATTAAATTGAAATCTTTTAATACAATTAGCTTTATTCTACATTCAAGCTGCTCATTTCAGACAAACTATACATATATTTCTATATTGTGGTAGTTTTGTTTCACAGATTTTAAAGCCTCCAATAACAGAATATCATATACATTAACACAGGGAGTTAAATCTTCTTACCTGCGAGGAGATACGGAGCCCGGATCTCCAGCTGGAAGTTAAATTCATAGTCCATGGAGTTTATGGCCTCATCCTCCAGCAGCACTGCTAGCCACAGCGGAGAGGTGTTTGGATTATGATCATGAGGGCTTGAAGCACAAGTGGGTTTTTCACGCCTAAAAATAGAATTTGTTTTATAATTTTGACAGTGAGCATCATATAATTTTATTCAAAAATACAGTGTCATACAATAGTCTTTTATTTTAGTAACTCAGTTTACTTAGTGAAATACTTTTTCATTAATCGCACACAGACTGATGTTGTCATATAATAATTAGACCAATAACAGCATTGTGAAACCATTAAGCCCGGCGGCTCCGGTACAGGGCCCAACTAACACCTGCTCACATTTATCTGTTTATAGAAATGGCCAAAACACAGTCACATGGTGTTTCCTCCACACAGCTTTCAAATGGGGCTTTAAAATTTCTAAAACATGTTTCAAAATATTTTTTTCACTCTTTTGTTTTATAGCTGTGTAAAAAAATAAAATGAAATTTAAAATTCCACCTGAAATGTGTGACTCTGCAGGAGTAATGCAACAGCAGGTATTCATTTTTAGCCACACCCCCTAATGGTTGACATCATTGGAAACTAGAGGCTAAGACCTTTCAACACTGCAAAAAAATTAAATTTCAAGTCTTTTTTTTTCTTAAAATAAGTGATTTTTTCATGAATTAAGGAGGTAAGTCAGACACTTTGCCAATGGAACGAGACAATTTACATTTAAAATAAGAAAAAAATAATTATATTGTCTTATTACATCTGGATATTATGTAATTATCTTATTTTAAGAGTAAAAATATGCATTCCATTGGCAAATCATCTTATTTACCTGCTAAAATTCAGGGTAAACACACTAATTTAATATATTTTTACACATTTTTAGATTAGATTTTTTGCAGTGAAGGAGGGGTCAGAGGTATTCGTGCAACCATTTCAGGTAATGCAACTGGAATGCCTTACATAAGCTCGCTCTTTTTATTCTTATTTTCTATTCAGTTTGGAGATATTATTGGTCAATTTCAATTAAACAATGGCTAGATCTTAAGAGCAAAGGCTTTGCCTTATGCAGAAGGTCTAAAATAATGTAAATCAGCATATTTGTCTAACCAGATACCATTTTATGTGTGGAAAAATGAATTCACTGCCTGCAAAAATCTTATGTGGAATAAACATGCTTTAGCTTATTCAGTCCAAATTTGCTTGAGTTATAGTCAAGATATGGCTCCATAAATTTGGAGGGTTCATCTAGAGTTTAAAATGGGTTTTCATGGTTTTTGCAGTGTTTATTTTGGCGAGTTCAAATATTTGTCATTTTTTCTTTGTTTAATCACCTATAAACCAGACATGGTGACATTGAAAACACTGTTTCCACCTGAAAAAGATTCCTCAATGCCTTTCTGTCATATAAATACAAACAATTGAATTTCCAATTTATAGTTTGTGAGCTGTCCAGCAGAATTTGTTCCTAAGACTTAGGCTTAAGGGGTGCAGAAATGTGGGCTTAAAGAGAAGTATGTTTAATACATGCTTAATAGTTGCTATTTTCAAAAGTTGCTTTAAATCTGACAAATTAGCGGCATTAGAAGGCAGATCTAATTTACTTATTACAACTGTCGAAAAGGGAAGTGTGGATTTCTATAAATTTAAGCTCAAACACAAATTTTTCATGTTGATTTCTTACGTTCTAGAAAAGTTTGGAGACAACCCCTGCTCCTCGTTGATGGTCCTTTGCACCCGAGGTGTGCAAACTGGTGGGGATGAGACCCTGATACCCCCGCTGGGCAGGGTGGTGAGCTCAGAGGATGTGCTGACCAGGATGTGAACGGTCTCCATCGGAGGGATAATTCCAAGATTAACCACAAGCACAGTCCTCTCAAAATCCTCATCCAGCAGTATGTTTCCTGTAACTGCAGGGCAGAACATTTTTAATATTTGGCGATGTAAAATTCTCCTAAAGTAACTTTCAACAATGTGTTATTTGGTCAGTTCTTCTATTCATGATTCAAAACATTTAAAACAGATTTTTTTTTTCTTTTTTTTATAAGACCAATAAAGAAAATGGGCCCTTTAAAGCTTTTAGCAAATTGGTATTTAATGACATGCCTAATGCTTCAAAATAGTTGCTGGATGAATTTTTAGAAACCCTTCGGGGCTGCATTGTCAATGATGCTTGCAGTTCTAGGCCTCCTCTCAAAATGAATCCAATATTTGCCATTTAGATTCTTTGTAATAATGTAATTACGGACAGAAAAAAAAAGATTTGTGCTTGTCAATATTTTTCTCAGTAAATTGATTCAGGATTGTGTATATTAGGCAGTGTTGTAGTACTCTAGATCGGTTTTTTGATGGTCTCGGTCTCGTCTCGGACTTGATCACATTTGGTCTCGGTCTTGTCTCGGTCTCGGGCGCTGAGGACTCGGCATTTTATTTCAAGACCGGTCAAGACCACAACTGTGGAAATGACGCTAATCATCAGAATATTATCAGTTTCTTTCAGATCCTTCTTTTTATTGGATGCTTGGATTCAAATTCAAGCAATAACCTGTCTCATTGGTAAATGCATGTTTTTTTGTTTGTTTGTTTTTTTGTTTTTGTTTTACCGCTGACACGCCCGCCCTCTTTCACCTGCGCACGGGCTGCAGCACTTCGATTGAAAGTCACAAGTGGTTGTCTGAGAACGGTATAAGATATCGGCCAAATCATCTGTTATAAAATTCGGCTATTTAAATCACAAGGAATATATTTGTAAAGCAACATTGAGAACAAAGCATACAGCGCAATGTAAGTTCTGCAGTGCTTCGCTATCAGAGACGGTAGAGACTTATTACTTAAAAGATGTTTATGTTAATTCCAGTTCTGTGTGTTAAATATCTAGGTGTTTTTATGTGAATGTGGGTCTTTTAGATCAGTTTTAGTGATTTTGATCATTTTTCACATTTTATTGTCACATACTGGCGCTGGTCTTGGTCTTGACTTGGTCTCGGGTTAGGTGGTCTTGACCACAACACTGATATTAGGCATAACATTTTTAGCATAAGCCTCTTGGGTTTGTAACAACCAAAAATATCAGTGCAAAGCAATAACAGTTCATAAAGTACATAAAGGTATTTTATATATAATATAATATAATATAAAAAAAGTTTCTGTCTTTCTGGCAAAACACATTTTATGCCATTTTTGAACTATGGTAAAGGGCCAACCAAATGTCCTCCAAGGCACGCAAATGGCTCCTGGGCCAACCTTTGGACATTATTTAGAATTAATGAGCTATGAGCTCTCAAAACATTCTCAGATTTTAGCTTTATATTAGCTTTATAAGTAATCTTAAAAATGTTTCTGTATGGCTCTAATTCTTGTCGTTCCTATCATCCTACATTATTACATATAAGGATATTTATTAGGCTTATTGCTTGATTTTTTATATATATGTATATATATATATATATATATATATATATATATATATATATATATATATATATATATATATATATATATATATATATATATATATATATATATATATATATGTGTGTAAACATTGTTAACTGGGTTATCTGATTTTACTGTCATGTCAAAAGCCTCATCAAAATAAGAGTGTGATACAAATGTACCCTGCTGTATTCTCAATGCTTCCCTGTCTGCATTGAATATGAAGAATACCCATGTCTCTCTGTATGTTTATTAGATTACAACCTGGCTGCTGAAAGACATTAAGCAAGACAGTTCAGGGATAAGTCTAAAACCAGAATGCAGTGCTGAATTATCCAGTGACCCTTCGCAGAGCTGGAAAACATCTGCAATCTTCGATTTTGCTGCTCTTTCCTTTTATCAAAACAAACCCCCTATAGCCTACACAAATAGAGGCCTTTGGACCAGAAGCTCATAAAACAATATTGATCTGAGTCACTTCAGCCTTACCAGTGCTGCTATGCAGCGCTCCGTTAGATGTGTGGCAGCTGTCCTGATAGCAATCATCAAGTTTTGCCTTGCCCTTAATTTGCAGCGTTATAATTTGACTGGATATCATCGCCTCAAACCCTACAACAATGGAATTTTCCTCCAGTGGATATATGAAGATGCCTGCAGGAAAAAAATGAGACAAGACATAAAATCAAAGGTGTTAAAAAAGGATTTTAACCCCTGCTTTATGAGGCACGGAGTGGAGAACCGAATCAACATGGTTATGCAATGCAACAGTCTCACTTACCCTCAATGGCATGATCTTCAATATTCTCATAGGTCATAGAGGCCGTCAGGGCCAGAGTGTAACCCCTGACGCAGCAGGTGATGTCAGACACACTGAGAGGCAGAGCACACCGGGTCTCCTTGTTAATGAGTCCTGGCATTCTGCTGGCTTTAAGATTCTGGTTTGAAAAGCAAAAAAAGTCAAAATCAGTTCATTTTACCAATACTGCATGGGGGTCACAAAAAAGTTTCTGTTGATTTCTGTTTCATATTTCCCCCTGCAAATTATTCCACTAATTGAAATGTCTTTAAATATACATTTACATGAATTCAACGCACTGAAGTAAGCAGATAAATGGAGGCAGATGATGTATTTCAGTCATCAATGCACAGATTCAGCGACACACAGGAGCTCTTTTAAGCTGGGCACTGTTTCATTCACAACACCTGTCTCATCAACCAGGAATCAGAATCAACAATACTTTAATAATCCCAGGGAGAAATTACTTTAGTTACATTGTCATTTTGACAATGACAATAAATTCTTGAATTGAATTGAATTGAATTACTCCATCTGTAATAGATTGACTATAGGACCAGTTTGATATAATACAATTTCATACAATATATATTATTAGGGGGTCCCTGCTCCATCTCACCATCAGTTTGGGGGTCCTTGGCCTGGAAAACGTTGAAGACCCCTATATACCCCTATGGCAAAAAAAGGAAATATTTTCCACTCTCAAAGGTAAGAGATGGGAGATTACTAGTTACTCAGTTACATTTACTTGACAATAAAAAATTACTTTGAGGAGTAGCTTTACTGCACTATACTTTCTAATTATTAGTGGTGTAATTTTTTTATGAAGTATCACTACTCTTACTTGAGTCAAATTCTTGGCTTCTTCACTTGCCTGTGTAAATTCATCATTCAATTTAGCACTCTTAAATTGGAAGGCAACTAAACTTTTGTTCAGGATGTTTCAACACTAATTGAGGACTCTTTGATAGTTGTAGCATTGATGTATAGAAGCAAAATTATTACAAGTATTTAGGGAAAGAAATGACATAAGGGGCCCAGAGGGCACCATGAGAGAGATCCCTCAGATTCTATAAATTAACATCTTGAATAAAACTGCAGCAACGTAGACCCAAATCATTTGCAGAATATTTGTTCCACAAAGATTTTATTGGGATGGAGTTGTCTTCTGGTACAATTTGGCAAATCTAGCCAAATGTGCAAAACTTGAGTCAAACGACTTCATCTCATAAAAGTGAAGCTAACTAAAAACAGGGCAGATATCCATCAGATGACTTCCTTTGTATATTTCATATCCTTTGGTTATTACGTTTACCCTGTGTGTCGGCAAAATGTACCATGAGTCATGTCAACATTAGTCATTTGTTTACATGCACCCAAAGGAGACTGAAACTGATGTAAGCTACTAAACACATATTCACTACACTGATATTACTGCCTCAGAGATGTTGTGCCATCTGCCATGATCATAGTTTTTGGACATTGGGAACCAGTGTCCATGTTACATCTTGACATGATGACCAGAGAAGAAGTCACAGCGTTGGCGAATAAACAGCTGTGGAATCTCTGCAACCCGCCCTTTTCAGCCAAGGCCTCCAAAAGCAGTCACAGGACCTCCCACAGAGGTGTGACTTGCCAGACCCTCTCTGTGTGGACAGAGAAAACCAAAGACCCAACCAGATTCTTTCTCTTTTTCCTGCTCTCTTGCCCATGAAGCTGGGGTCCGCTTCAGCAGGATTCCCAGCGAGATGGAATTCCAAGGCCCAGGGATACCCAGATCAGAATCCTCAAGGATAAGTTATTATGGTGACCATTCAGAACCAGACTGCTGCAAAAAAGACCTTTTGCAACACATTTCTCTTTAGTTTCAGAACTTATAGAGCCAGACTTGACGAGAAAGCCGCCTTGATGTGAACCACTGAGATAAAGAGAGAGACTGCCTTGCTGTGGCCTGACTGCTGAGCTGCAGCTGGATAAAACTCAACCTTTCCTAATGGAAATGGGAAAAAAAAAAAGGTTTGCAGGTCTGGCATAGTTAGGGACAGAACAAACAATATGTCTTTTGATGAACTTGATCATTTCATGTGTTTACTGATGAGTAAGGACAAAGCTAACAGAATGGACTGTATGCTATGCTATGCAGAAACATGTGTTGAGCTGTTACTAAAGCTTGGACAAGCTTTATTCACTAAGGGTTTAAACACTGATATAACATTAGTGTTCATGTGTTCCTTTAATGCTCATTACATTTCCATTACCAAGTATGACCAAGAGTCATTTAGTGGAATCCTGATGTCTATTCACTGCTAGCTATTTCAAAGAGGGTAGAATCATTAAAGGTTACTGGATCTTGATTAAGCAAATCATTTAATTAAACATTATTTGGCAAAATAATGTATTATTCACCTCATAGATTTGCGTTATGAATTGGTCTGAAAACATTCAAATTGCTCTAAATCAGTGAAAAGCTAATTTTATCATATCCCTAATTCTTCCAGAGAAAGTTTGGTTTTCAAACTCAAGCTCCATCTTAAACTGTTCTATGGTTTTAACCATGTTTCCCTTCCTCTTTGTACATAATAGTTTAGTTTAGTTTTACTAGTCTTAGTTGAGAGGGTTAAACTGAAATATGTTTGACTTAGAGTTGAATGATTTTTGTTAATAAACTCTTATATTTTGAACAGAAGTTGTGGTGAGTTTATTCCATGTACAGTATGTGCAGAATTAACTATTTGACCATTAGTACTCGAATCACTCTTTCGTTTATTGTTCTAACACACAGCTAGTAGGGTGTGTGTCATAAACAGTATATAACGGCTTAAATAATATCTGATTAAATAAGATAATTTCCACCCCAACCGGGGAGGGCAATAAAAGTCTTAAAGTATCAGAAATATAACTTCCCAACTGGCTGGGATTTGAATAGAATATAAATCCACAACATTAATGTGGCATCCAACCTGGATGAGCATTTAACATAAAATCACAACAGAGATGGTGCTCCAAGAACATGATATTTATTAAACTTGATTACTTTAGTTTTGTATATTTAGATGGGTTTGAGCAAGCAATGTGTGTCCTCTGTGTTACATTGAGTCAAATTATAAATTTGACTCTAAATCATAAATATTTTTGTTCAGCTATGTTTCACAGGTCTTTAGCTGATCCAGAATGCTGCTGCCTGCATCCTCACTAGAGCTAAGAAAGTGGAGAATATCAGCCCAGTTCTTAAGACCTGGCAAAGGCTCCACAGATGTCAGAGAATAGACTTTAAAATACTCCAGTTAGTCTATAAATCACTGAATGGCTGAGCTCTATAATGCATTTCAGATCATATCAGTTGATCAACCACCCTGACACCTCAGGTCTTTGTGCTCGAATCAAACCCAGAACCAGAAGCATACAGAAAAACTGTAAAAGCACATAACTCTATGTTTATTTAAATTTATAGCTTTATTATTTGTATTGCCATTTTGCTGCTGCAATGTGCTTTGCTTTTTTCTTGTGTACAAATGCGTTATATTGAAAAATTTGGCTGTGGTTTACAGTTAATATATATATTTTAGCCTTTCATAATTCTAACCCTGTTCTTAAGGAAATCAAAATCCAGAATTTAAAGTTTTTCAAGTCGTATAAAGAGAATGGTGAGCAAATTTATTCCCAGTCAAGCAGGCAATGAGAGTTTTTTTTTTCCAATAAAAGAAATGAGTAGACATTCCAACCTTCTCTGGTTCAAAACTTTTTTAATATCTTTCGGCATTGTTGGGGACATCACAGATGGGCAAGTGGATCATTTCAAAATCACCATTTGGACTTTTAATAACAAAAGCAGATGTTGGCTTTCATATTATGCTCCAATAACAAGCTCAGCAACATGTCTTTTAAGCTCAAATACCACAGTATCTCATTTCAAAAGGAATGCAACTTTATTTATTACACCACTCAGATTTGTTTTCACTCGTCTCTGGCCTTTCTGGGATGCTGTTTTTCACATTTACTCGTTTCCATTAAAAGTAGTGAAAAGTGAAATGTACCCGCTCTTTTGATCCCTTTCCAAACCGTGTTTTTTTGCTAAAAAGAACATGCTTTTAAAATTGCAGTTTAAAATTAGGCTTAAATCTTATTTAAGAGTTTTAAAAGCATCCTTGTTCAAATTGAGCACAATTTCACTTTTGGTAGCCAGCAGTAATAACTTCAAATTCACAGCAGGGCCACTTTTACTCATCTTTTTTACTCATCAGTATCATGTAAAACCTGGATGTCTATGGTAAGGTGACACCAGTTTTACGAGCATTAAGGATAAAAGTCATGGTGATAAAAAAAAAAAAAAAAGGTTTTAAAGTGATATTGTTATTAAAGCACAGCAAGAGATTTGCAGGTTTTTGCAACACATTAGAGCTATCTGGCAGAAAATATGGATCTTCAAACACATTAAATAGATTAAAAGAGCAGTAATTCGCTTTTAATGGATTTAATAAATACACTGTTTGAATTAATTATTGGCATACCTAGTAGACATTAGGAAAAAAAGAATGTTGGGATAGACTGTTATTTTTTGCATTAGCGTCAGCTCACACTAAGAACTTTAGGAAAAAAAATGTATTGTATTCCACTTTGTCGCATCCCTCTTGTTACAAATAAAAAAACAAATGGGACATCACTTAGTCTCTTAGACACAGGAATGTTTAACCAAACCATGAATATTTTGGTTCTTACTTTTGTTTGTTCTTATTCCTGGACGGAGCCGCCTTTTACAGCTGCTTTTTGTGTCTCTGCTTCTGTCTCCTTGAACCCCAGTCGGCCTCGGCAGATGGCCGCTCACACTGAGCCTGGTTCTGCTGGAGGTTTCTTCCTGTTAAAAGGGAGTTTTTCCTCTCCACTGTCGCTACAAGCATGCTTAGTGTGAGGGATTGCATTCGAGTCAATGAGTCGATGCAATCAACTGGTTTCCTTAGATAGAAAACTTTGAATTTCCTTAGATTCAAACTTTGAAAACTATAGCTCCTTGTTATTCTCCTTGTTTTTTATGATGTTCTGCATTCTTGCTGTAATCGTTATTCCTCTGTGTTTTTGTTTGTTGTTGTGTTCCATTTCCTGTGTATTTTAGCTCTTCCTCTGCTTATTTTGCTTTTCCCTTGGATTTAATGTTTCCGTGCACATCGCAGTTTTCACCTCTGCTATATGGTTACCCTCCTCGATCTCCCCGTTTATGTTTTTGCTAGCCACTCTGCATCATTCAATCACACTTAATAAGAGGCTGGAGATACAATGAGGCAAATTTAGGAGGTTGAAGAGGGCCTCAAGTTCCTGAGGGACTCATAGGACTCCTCATACAGATTTGGTTCATACAGTTAATATTTGTGCACATTAGTTATGTTTTTGATTATATCCTTTCGCTAAAATTCAAGCAAAACATTCACTGTGTTACGGGACACCCCCCCCCCCCCTTTCAGTCTCCACTGCATTGGATCAGTCCTTCTTACTGAGCATATGCAGAAAAGATTTAGCAAGACAGCAGCGACACATATTAGCAAACAAATCGTAATGAAGAGGCAAGACGAGACAAGAAGAGGAGTGAAAAAAGAGAAAAAGAAGAGGAAACGAAGCCATCCCAGTAGTGCAGAAAAGAGGGGAACGAAAGAGCACAACAGAACGCTGCTTTCAAAGTTACCAAAAGCGACTGCTGCCCCGGAAAAAAAGGTTTTACGAGAGCAGAAGTGACAAAATACAAAGACGGGGAACAAAGTAAACATGGAGAGGAAGAAAATAAGTTGTGCATTTATGATCTATTTATTATCTACACCAGTAGGAGTAGTAAGTATGCTATTTAATCAAATAATATTCAGACTGTCATATACTGTTCTGTAAATGCACGCCCAACTGGTTGAGTTTTAGAACAACAAATGAAAGTGTGAATCGAGCTCAAATCATGGTCAAACAGAAAACTCTCCACATGTATGGAATAAATTCACCACAACTTCCATAAAAAATACGTCCATTGAGAGACCGATGGACTACAGATCTTTGCAAAGGTTACTGGCAAGTATCTTTGGAACCCTCATGTCCTTTTTGCACTTTGTTAGTTCACTGCCATGCCATTTGCATTTTGGGAGTGGTGGCATAGTGGTTAAGGCATAGAGCTTGGAATCCTGAGGTTCTGAGTTTGAGCCCCATTCTTACAAACTGGCCACTCTGGTAACCTGACTCCGCCAGATGGATTTGCACCGCATATCCATCTGGAAACCTTCCGTTGAAGTAATTTTGGGAAGGGGCGAAAATACTGGTTAGCTGATTGGCCTATGTTGGTGATAGACGGGCCAAATAAACCAATCAGATCACTGAAGCATATGACGTACTAACAGAGCGACGACGAAGAGGAGCCAATTGATAGATCAAACTCTTGCCGAAACCAGTCGGGAGAAGAGCAAAAACATCTTTTCCTCTGAGAAAAGCCTCCAGAGCAGTGTTTTGCTCTTCTTTCAGTGAAGAAATACTCTGTAATTCCGATAAAACTTGCTCGTTAGCCACGCTAACGCTAGTTTCATCGGCTGAAGCCGCCATGTTCTTTAGACTGAACTGTCGCGCTTCTCGTTGCGTCACACCTCAACCCGCCTCAAAGCCAACGCTGATTGGACGTTCGTTTGGTGAACGGCTCCAAATTTTCTTTAACGGAGAGTCTCCAGACTGATTAGCGAGTGAAACCTTGAAAGCTCGCAAGATCAGGACGGTCTCACGAGGCTACCACTCTGGGTCTCTGAGCAAGACCCTTAACCCCATACTGCTCCGTTGGCGCCACACAAGGGCAGCCCACTGCTCCCCAAGGGGATGGGTTAAATGCAGATAAATGGTAAATTTCAGGTAAATTTCTGCAATGTTAGATTAATAAAGTTCAGTTATTATCAATACGCATTGAAAAAAATAATGCAGCTGTTTTTGGCATTTACTTAATCATATTTAGTTACCGTAACACAATTGTTTTATGTCCTACCTTGCTAACATGAAACAATTGTGTTAAAGTAACTACATGTTATAAAGTAAATGCCAAATATGGTCAGAGCCAGCACAAAATAATAGGGATGCACAATATTGGGATTTTGGTCGATATCCGATATGCCGATATTTTAAAACTCATGTAGCCGATAACCGATATCGATACTGATGTTAAAGCTGGACAAAAATAAGTCAAACAAGTTTCAAATCATTGAAAATAGCAGTTTTGTTATCCATTTGTGTGCATATGTGTGTAGATGTAAATATTGGTATGTAAATGGGTATGTATATGTATGTATGTGGGTGTGAAAAATAAATAAATAAATAAATAAATAAAAATAAATAAAAAAATAACAACATAACATAGATGTTAAACAAGAAGGTACTTTTAGGTTGCTTTCAGTGCAACTAGAGGGAGAAGGGGTATGAAAAATAAGTTCTACTTCTTTATACCCCTTTTCAGACAATTTACAGTAAGAAAAAATCAATGACAGACATTAGGGTAAATATAATGCTTGTTAATGGTAAACATTGTTTAGTGCATTTCTATTTATGTTCAAACTTTTAAATCGAATCGGAGCAAGAAATTTAAATTAATGTTTACCATTCACTTTTTATGTGATACACATTTGTTAGTATTTCTGAAATTGATTTAATTATTGTTATTATTTGATCATTTCTGAAATTGGAATTGTTTTATTTATTATTATTTGTTCTTTTGATTCATTTCTATTATTTGTTAATTTGATTTCTTTATTTTATTTTTTTGTTACTATTATTATTGTCTGAAATAAATAAATATTCATTCATTCATTCATTTCTGACACTTTGAAAAATAATAAACTCAAATATATTTTCATATGCTGATATCAAATTGATTTTTAAAAACGCGGTATCGATCTATTTTACTTTCAAAATCTCGGGAAATTTCATCGTTCTGTTACAAACTCTCGTGATATTTTGTAAATTTTTGTGAGATTTTGTTAGTAAAATAGATCGATACTGTGTCAATATATCAACATATAAAAATATGGCAAAATGTCATGGATTTTCGGGGGATTTCGTAGCATAATGATGACATATAGCAATATTTCATTAGTAAAAGAGATTGATATGGTGTTTTTAAATGGCAACATATCAGCATATGAAGATATTGTGATATTTTAATGTATCAATATTTTTTCCCTCGTCTTTAGAAGTTTTTAAGTCTGTAAAAAAGACGTTTTTGAAGAAGAAGAAGAAGTAGTATTTTTTTTTTTTTTTTAGACTTTAGAAACTCAGAAGCACATCAAATATCGGGTTAAATATCGGTGGGGTGGCCGATGTCCGATATTCAGTTTTAAGGCCGATACCGATAGGGGGCCGATTATATCGTGCATCCCTACAAAATATTATATTTTCTTAGTTATATTTAGGTGAATATTTTTCCATCTAAAGTAAAAGCTCAGCTACCAGTTGAGCTAAAAGAGCATTTTTTATTAAGGAAAATATTTTTGACCTTGGAAAATGTTATAATGATTGAAGCATTGGCTTTGAAAAAAAAAAAAACAATTTTAAGTAGGAATTAAGATCTTTTTTTATTATTATTTTAAATGTAGCTTGATATTTTTCTACTGCCATTTGAAATTATTTTAAATTAGTGCAGAGTGTGCTATCTGTTAAAACAAAATTAACTGATGCAATAACCCAGTGGTTTATTGGTTATGCCTTCACCTGCACAAGTAATCTGTTTTCTGCTGTCAAGGGGTCTGCGTCGGCTGCACAAGCAGAGCCCCTCTGTACTAGCTAGATGGGATGACGAAAGCAATATCCATAGAGACAGCTCTGCTCACTTGCTTACCTGCATACTGACCAGCAGCATCGTCAAACTGTGCACATTAATCTGACAGTGAAACCAATAAGACTTTACCTCAAGCATTGGTTAGTTTCCTCTTTAAAGAAAATATATATATATATAAATATATATATATAAATAAATAAAACTTCAGCTGCACATTCCATATTTAGAGCCAACAGATAACAGACTGGTCTTTTTTTCTGGTTTTAAGGAAAGGGCATGTCAATGCAGCCACAGATTTCTTCTATCTCAATAGTGCCATCAAGTGTCCAATCAAACACACATTGAAAACAAGACCGGAAAGCTTTAGCTGGACATAATCAACACTTCGATAAAGGAAGCAAACAAGCACAGCTGTAATAGGAAACATCCCCCATCATGCTGCATAGAAGTGGAAAACAAATCAAAATGTTTTATTCCTAGAAAAGTTTTGCTTCTTTAATATCTTTTGGTAGTTTTGGAGTATTAAAAGTGGGTACGGTCATATGAATCCCCCAGCTACCCTCTGGGATCTACTAAAAAAGCATCAACTCTGAACCCAGACAGCCTTCTTCTGCACTCATTCATTGGTGTCAGAGCCGACGGCAGCTGCTATGTCACCACCTGTTGAGGTAAACCTGTTTACATCCACTGACTGATTCAGTGATTGACCTTTTTTTTCCTCATGTAGTTAAAACTACTGAGACTGATGTCAAAAGCAGACGTCGCCAGACAGACGCAAAGCAGCAATAAAATGCATTAGTGTTTCCCTCCCATTGTCTTACCTTTCATTTGTGTCAAGTGCAGCGTGGCTCTCTCTCAGTCAGAAGTCCACTTAACATGAAAGAACACCTCCCCTTCGCCCAGCCTCTCCTTTTCTCTTCTCTTCACTGCTGTTTTCTTTTTTTTATTATAATTATTTTTCCTTGCGTTTAGGTTATAGGATTGCTGCCACAGGTGGCAGGAACTACACACGCAGACGCACAATGCAAGGAGGGGAGCGGGGTAGAGGCTGCTGCAGCAGCAGTGCTTCAGTCAAACCCAGCAACATGTGGTTACAGAAACTGTTTCATTTATTTCTTCCACTGCCCCCTCCTCCTCATCCTCCTCCTAGAGTGGATGCTGGAGTTTGAGGTTCAAAAAGGAGGGCTAAGCATCCAAAGCATCATCTCCACCTATCCCTATTCAAAGCTTTATCCCCACCCACTCATTGTACGCTCTTTGTTGACAGTATCAACAATTCAAATGTCCTTTTAATAGCAGGGGATCAGCGAGCATGTCATGCAGTGTAACACCAGCAGCAGATGGGTGGGAGACAGCATCCAGCCTGCCTACTGAGAGACTGAAAGAGAAGCCGCATGCAGACGGACAGGAGCGTTTTCCTCCTAAGTGGGTGGCTTGGTTGTCACAGGGTTGTTTGATCACTTTGATACATCTGCTTTCTGCTTTGCAAAGGTTTCCATGACAATTAATGTGTGTTTGAAAATCATTTTGGTGCTGTTGTGAATTTGGAGATGATGTCTGTCAGTGTGTGTGTTGGTGGGTGGATGGGTAGGTAGCTTGGACCCAGCATCCGCCTTTAAATTGGATTAACCTGCAGCCAATAGAGCTCTCCCCCTCTCCTCCCCCTCTTTCTTCCCCCAGTGTCCCTATCCGTTTCTCATCCAAACACGAAGCCTGACTTCTGCCTCGTTTTCTCAAAACCAAAAGGACCAACAATGGGAAATGTAAATATTGGAATAAAAGTAATTTGCTGTTTAAATAATTTCTTAAATGATTTCCATAATTCAATAAAAGGGAATATCTACAAAAAAAAGAGAAATCCTCACGCTTCAGATAAATTAAAGAAAATATTTGCATTTTTTTTGCTTTTAAGTACGCAGTCTCTCCTTCAGTCCCTGTTCTTTTGTGGGAACAATATTTCCCAAAGTCTTTAAGGATTTTTCTGCTTTGCACATCTGGTGACAATTTGAACAGAACCATTGATATCTAAAACTGAATATGAATTAATTTTGGCTTTTCCATCTTTGCAAATCACAGGTTTAAATGTAAATGGGAAATAATTCACATTCAGGGGTGGAGCTAGATGGGGGGCCAGGGGTGGCTTTGGCCACCCTTAGCCAATCATTGGCCACCCTTGAGGCCCCCCCTACCATTTTTTCCCCTCTAATACAGATTGTGGCAACAGTAATAGTGGAATATTCAACATTTTTAAAATCTTCCTATATTAACAATTATTCGACAACAAAAACACTGTGGTTAATTATGCACATTAATATACTAACATTAAAGATGATAAATACAGAATTCATGCTCTTTTCAGAACTAGATTTTGTGTTTTGGGGTAAAAAGAAAATTATGTCTCTGCAAGTCATCTAGTCTTCAGTGAAATCATAGATAAATACTTAAATACAAACTTAATAATTAATCAATTTATGTAGATAATAGTACATGTAAATATACATTTTATGCAGAATGATTATTGAAAAAAGTAGGTAAGTAATGACAATGGAAAAGGTGTTCAACCAGAATTCAAACCTGAAATAATTTTATCCACTATAACTTTTATCTAGAAAGCACAGATGTTTAAATATATATGTCTGTTTGTTTGGAAAGGCTTTAGGGAAGTATAGTTTGTCTTTCTTTAGAAAATGTTGATTTTAATTAAAATTTTTCTGTTTAAACAGTGTAGATTGACCATGAGGTTCTGGCAACGATCCATTATCGGCCACCCCTCAGGTTACAGTGGTTATTGCCTGGCCACCCGTATAAAAATGTTCTGGCTACACCTCTGTTCACATTTTGGACAAAGAAGACAGGTGGTTTGAGAGGGTTGTGAAGGAAGCCATCTTTGTTAAGAAAGAAAAACAATCTAAAACAGAGGGGGTGGACTCAGCCATCAAAAACCTACAATGCAGTGATAGAGTTGATTCCTTCCACCTATCATCGCAACTCCCGCCCCCCTACAGGGGAACAGAACATCCCGTGTGTTGAGCAAGGCCAACAATTCCCCCTAACGACCCCCATTTTAGAGTCATAGTCAGGTATTGGGTATTACAGACTAACAAAGAACCCAAACTACTCCCATTCCCAAGGGGCGGACCGGTTCATCCTGCTCAATTTGCATGTTTTCTAAGCCAAAACAAGGCTTTGTTTTTTGTCCACTCTATAAAGCCTGAAACTCAACGCTATTTCCGACACTATGAATGGAAAAAGCTTCCTGGATGGGAAGCGAAACGTCTTCAAACTTTTTTTAAAAAGTCCAGTGGATTGTTTTTTAACTTGTTTTTTAAGTAATTCAGTTCACTAGTGGTATTTTGCGAATATGCAGCACTTTTCTTAAGCAGTTTTATTTCCGTCATGTAGCCTACTTATAGAGCAGAGGAAGGATACGATGTTGTATGGAGAATAAAAGATATGCATGATTTATGTAGAAATTAGAGAAACTTGCTCATATTTTTATTAATTTCCAATCATTGCAAATTTAATTTAAGGCAAGAAACAAAACTTTACTTGCAAACATTTAAAGACTGTTTATTGAAAGGAAAAAGCTCATTTGATTTGTGTTTATCTGACTGTTAATCACGATTCCTTCAATAGATAAAAAAAACTAATAATTTATTATTATCTAGAAACTATTAATACTAGGAAGTGAAATGCAGCTCCAGACTAGCTTTGAATGTAGTGAACAATTATGCTTCTTTTCCAACAGACCCAGATTTATTCTGCGTGCACCGTCCTCACTGAGTCCATACTTTCCTGTGTTCTTTTCAAGAATATACATGGAGAGAACACAAGTCCATATTCCTGTTCTTGTGAATTGATAAATGGCATATACATTTCAGTTCAATTCAGTTTATTTCTATAGCGCCAATTCACAACACATGTCATCTCAAGGCACTTTACAGTTCAACCAGATCATACAGTCAAATTGATTCAAAGTTTTCTATCTAAGGAAAACCAGTTCATTGCATCCACTCATTGACTCTTCGCAACCCTCACACTAAGCATGCTTGTAGCGACAGTGGAGAGGAAAAACTCCCTTTTAACAGGAAGAAACCTCCAGCAGAACCAGGCTCAGTGTGAGCGGCCATCTGCCGAGGCCGACTGGGGTTCAAGGAGACAGAAGCAGAGCACTGGAAAAAATCAAAATCTAGATGAGTCATTTTTTCTTAAAATAAGTCCATTTGTTCTCTGATTGAGGAGATAAAAGAGACATTTTACCAATGGAACAAGACAATTTAGACTTAAAATAAGAAAACACAATTGCATTGTCTTATTTCAGGTGCATATTATCTAATTATCTTATATTAGGGTTAAAAATACTCATTCAATTGACAAACTATCTCATTTACCTACTCATATTAAGTGTAAATACACTTAATTTAAGACATTTTTGCTTATTTCTAGATAGTGTTTTCCAGTGAGATACAAAAAGCAGCTGTAGAAGGCTGCCCCGTCCAGGAGACACACAGCCAGGCAGACGAGCTCCGAGCCAGCTCCCATGCCAGAGGACGAAGAGAGCACATCCAGCCAGTCACGGTCAGAGAAACAGGACTACACTGGAAAACAGGCGGATCTCCAGCATCTATAAACAAGGGTGTTGTTGGAAGCAGCACAGCTAATGTTTCTCTCCAGGATGGAGTCACAGCCAAACAGGAACAGACGAGGCAAAGCTACTCTGAGGAAAAGCAGAGAGAGCATAACTATAGAGACTATTAATAACAGGAGGTGAAATGCTGCTCCAGACTAGCATTGTAAACAATTATGCTTTTGTTCCAACAGACCCAGATTTATTCTGCGTGCTCCGTCCATACTTTCCTGTGTTGTTTTCCAGAATGTACTTGTGGAGAACACAAGTCCATATTCCTGCTCTTGTGAATTGATAAATGGCATTTATATTTCAATTCAATTCAGTTTATTTCTATAGCGCCAATTCACAACACACGTCATCTCAAGGCACTTTACAGTTCAACCAGATCACCACTGGGGTTCGAGGAGACAGAAGCAGAGACACAAAAAGCAGCTATAAAAGGCGGCCCAGTCCAGGAAACACACAGCCAGGCAGACGAGCTCCGAGCCAGCTCCCATGTCAGGGGATGAAGAGAGCACATCCAGTCAGTCACAATCAGAGAAACAGGACTACACTGAAAAACAGGCAGGTCTCCACTATCTATAAACAAAGGTGTTGATTGCAGCAGCACAGCTTCAATTTCTCTCCAGTATGGTGTCACAGCCAAACAGCAACAGACAAATATTTGTGTGTGTTCTAAATGACAGAGGGCATTTAGAACACACTATTCAATATGAATTTTATTTAACCATTGTTATGATTAATGTGATATCAGGTTTTACTGTTAGAAACTGTAAAAATAAAAAAAAAATAAAAAACTGGATGATTAATGGATAAATGAATTCCATTTGGCAGGTGAATAAAGCGCTTTGAATGAATATCCGTTCCAAAATTATTAAACTTAATTCCATTCCCGGGGGGGGGGGGGGGGGGGGGGGGGGGGGCACCAGGGATGGGGCCCCATGAAAGACAGTGATATTGCGCCACACACAAATAAAATGTATGTAAGCTTTTAAACTGCTATAAAGATGCATTGATTTCTTTCATTCATTATCTTTAAGTAAAATTACGCGCACATGGCACTTATTTTGCCCCGGTACGAGCAAACTGCCGTGGACAGACGGGGAGACCTGATGTGATGCAAGATGGGGATATTAGTGAATATATTCCTGCATTGTTTTACTGTTTACTTCTTAAAAATGAGAATCAGAATCAGAAATACTTTAATAATCCCAGAGGGAAATTGCTTTTGTTACACGCTCCAGTTACAGTTTTATATATATATATATATATATATATATATATATATATATATATATATATATATATATATATATATATATATATATATATATATATACAAAATAATGTATAACAGTGCTGGAATTTCTTTTTATATTTTAAAAATATATAATCATTTCTAATCTATAATCATTTATAATCATTTCTTTTTCTGGTTGCCCCCTGTCCATTCCATTCAAGCCTCTGTAGAAATTCTGAATTATAAAAAATTAGAAATTCTAATGTGCTTCAGCCAACACAAGGGGGAGACTGTGGCGGCGTGCAACTTCCCGCCCAAATAATGCACTGAGCAAAACTTTGTGATGCCTTCATGTATCCCAATAAAGTAAGAAAATATCAGTCTGGACAAAAGTGTCTGGCCTTTAAAATATAATCTAAAAAAAGGTAATGATTTCGGTATATGTGTTAAATACTAAAACTCATTTTCAAATCTTATGTGATTTAAGTCACCCAGTAAAATATTAGAGAATTATTTAGAAAAAAAAATAATCAAAGAATGAAAATAAATGTTGCACAAAAAGGGTTTATATATATAGTTCTTTAAAAATTTCTTTTAACTCACAGAAACACCTTATGATCGCATAAGTGAAACTGAATTTAAAATCTATATTTGAGTAATTAAATGCGGATTTTGATAGAAACTTGAAATTACTACATGGGCTGCACTTGTAAAGGCAACAACAGAATTTAAGCAGTAACGGTCCCCTCCGGTCTAAAGGACGCAGGCGGCAAAAATCAGTTCGTTTTTTACTGGATTATAAATATATTTCAAGAGAATGGCAGAGGATTCTTGGGCGTTAGCAGTCGATGTTCAGGAGACCACAACTCCGTCCCGTTTGGTTGGTTTTTTTAAATATCTGTCGGTCAGAAACACCTGTTGATTGCTCGTTAGCTCATTAGCATATCCTGTTAGCTGAAGCTAACCACGCCCGTTGGAACTGATTTCCTTTTGTTGTTTTTTGACTGTTTCAGTTTCCCAAACATATCACATCAACACTTCATCAACTGAAGGAGGACGTTAATGGTATTTTTTCAATCCTTTTTGTTCTTATTTTGAATTTGAACCGCTTTAATTGTGTCTGTGGTGTTTGACCCTGCAGCTAACCTAGAGCCAAAATGGAGCCAGGATGAAGAAAATGACGCGGGGGGTGATCGAGTTAACAAAGCGGAGCAGTCTCTGCTTAATAAACTGATCCGCTGCTCTCTGGTGAAGAACGGGAACCAGGTCGAAGTCCAGCAGGCAGACCCCAAGTCCCCTCTGTTCTCTGCCAAAACCTTTGAGGAACTCAGACTGTATGTTCTGCATGGTAGCCATTTTTATTTTATTTTTTCCAGCTGTTGAATGTGCAAACTCATCCTGACTGGTTTTTATGTTAGGAAACCTGAACTGTTGAAAGGTGTCTTCACAATGGGATTCAACAGACCATCCAGGATCCAGGAAAATGCTTTGCCTATGATGCTCGCAGAACCGTAAGTAACAACTAAATTGGAGGAAGAATCATTGGAAAAGTTTATTCCTTTAAAGTCATAGGGAAGTCATATTTAAATGTCAAATAAAATTGTTTAAAAATTATGTAAATGTACTCTTTATCAGACGATATTGTCTCAAAATTTTGAAAAGTTCTTAAAAAAAAAAAATCCTTTATTAAAATCTGTTTTTGTGACAGTGAAGCATCTTTCAATTGTTGTAACATGGATCTAATATATGTGAGAAACTGTTATTATCCTGATGCTAACCATAAGGCAAGGCAGTTTTCCAAGGAATATAGAAATAGAAGTTTAATGCAAAGCCTAGGATGCCAAAACATGTTTAAGTTTATTATGGGGTATATATGACATTTTGCAGATGAACTAAGGTTTACATTTAAAATATGAAAAAAAAAAAAACTGTTATCTTATTTCCAGTGCATAATAATTACTAAAAAAAAAAACTCTCATTCTTCTTACAGATTATCTTTTTTTCCTGTTCGGATCAGGGAGAATCAGTTATTTTTTAGAAAATTTTATATATTTTTAGGTCATTTTTTTACAGTCCAGATTATGGAGGACTAACTCTGCCATATTTAAAAAATAAAAATAAATACAGAAATAAATGCTCAATAAATATACAGGTGCTGGTCATAAAATTAGAATATCATGAAAAAGTAGATTGATTTCAGTAATTCCATTTAAAAAGTGAAACTTGTATATTATATTCATACATTACATACAAACTCATATATTTCAGATGTTTATTTTGTTTAATTTTGATGATTACAAATGACAACAAATGAAAATCTCAAATTCATCATATCAGAAAATTAGAATATTGTGAAAAGGTTCAAAATTGATGGCCCCTGGTGCCACACTCTAATCAGCTAATTAACTCAAACCACCTGCAAAAGCCTTTAAATGGTCTTTCAGTCTAGTTCTATAGGCTACACAATCATGGGGAAGTATGCTGACTTGACAGTTGTCCAAAAGACGACCATCGACACCTTGCACAAGGAGGGCAAGACACAAAAGGTCATCGCTAAAGAGGCTGGCTGTTCACAGAGCTCAGTGTCCAAGCACATTAATAGAGAGGCGAAGGGAAGGAAAAGATGTGGTCGAAAAAAGTGTACAAGCAAGAGAGATAACCGCACCCTGGAGAGGATTGTGAAACAAAACCCATTCAAAAATGTGGGGGAGATTCACAAAGAGTGGACTGCAGCTGGAGTGAGTGCTTCAAGAACCACCACACACAGACGTATGAAAGACATGGGTTTCTGCTGTCGCATTCCTTGTGTCAAGCCACTCTTGAACCACAGACAGCGTCAGAAGCGTCTTGCCTGGGCTAAAGAGAAACAGGACTGGACTGCTGGTGAGTGGTCCAAAGTCATGTTCTCTGATGAAAGTAAATTTTGCATTTCCTTTGGAAATCTAGGTCCCAGAGTCTGGAGGAAAAGAAGAGAGGCACTTCATCCACGTTGCTTGAAGTCCAGTGTAAAGTTTCCACAGTCAGTGATGGTTTGGGGTGCCATGTCATCTGCTGGTGTTGGTCCATTGTGTTTTCTGAGGTCCAGGGTCAACGCAGCCACATACCAGGAAGTTTTAGAGCACTTCATGCTTCCTGCAGCTGACCAACTTTTTGGAGATGCAGATTTCATTTTCCAACAGGACTTGGCACCTGCACACAGTGCCAAAGCTACCAGTACCTGGTTGAAGGACCATGGTATCCCTGTTCTTAATTGGCCAGCAAACTCTCCTGACCTTAACCCCATAGAAAATCTATGGGGTATTGTGAAGAAGAAGATGCAATACACCAGACCCAACAATTCAGAAGAGCTAAAAGCCACTATTAGAGCAACCTGGGCTATCATAACACCTGAGCAGTGCCACAGACTGATCGACTCCATGCCACGCCGCATTGCTGCAGTAATACAGGCCAAAGGAGGCCCAACTAAATACTGAGTGCTGTACATGCTCATACTTTTCATGTTCATACTTTTCAGTTGGCCAACATTTCTATAAATCCTTTGTTTTTATTGGTCTTCAGTAATATTCTAATTTTCTGATATGATGAATTTGAGATTTTCATTTGTTGTCATTTGTAATCATCAAAATTAAACAAAATAAACATCTGAAATATATGAGTTTGTATGTAATGTATGAATATAATATACAAGTTTCACTTTTTAAATGGAATTACTGAAATCAATCTACTTTTTCATGATATTCTAATTTTATGACCAGCACCTGTATAAGCATTAGGGCTGCAACAACGAATCGATAAAATCGATAAAAATCGACTTTTAAAAGCGTTGGCAACGAATTTCATCATCGATTAGTTGTGTCGCGCGATTAATGCGTCATCCGCCGCCGCCGTCATCACTGCCACTTGACTGAAGCGGGGGAAGAAGAAAAAATACGGCAGAGCGAGCCAGCGCTGCAGGTGCAGTGTTTCCAACTCAACGACTTTTCAGACCCATCCAGCGACTATTTTTCAAAAAAGCGACTAGCGACAAATCTGGCGACTTTTTACGGTGTCACTGGCGGCTTTTGGAGACTCTTACGTGAAAGCATGTATCATTCCTACTCTGCCGTGGAGTGCCTCCCCCCACTCCCGCAGGAGTCCCTCTCAGCGCTGCAGTCAGAGCAGCAGGATTTTTACCCTCAGCGTCCAGACTGCAAATGAAGCGCGCATGCACCGGGATTGACGGCGCAAATTGATCACAATAATTAAAATAGCCTGCGCTTTGTATAGTGAAAAAAGTCGTAACATGCAACTTTTGTCAAAACAAATTAACATGGCACGGAACCACCATGTTTGTTTCGTTTTAAAGTGGGGAAACGTAACGTTAGTTTCTCAGGTAGCTCATCTGATGCTTTCCTTACCGTGTTAGTAGGTTACAGACAGTGATAAGGTTGGCTACTTATTTTACTTTTAATTTCATTTGAATTAGCTTAAGCAGCGTTTATATTTTCTTTATAAATAAATTAACTTGCAAATTATGAGGGCAAGGCTTTTAAAGTTTAAATCTTCTGGCAAAAATAAAGTAAAGATCCTGCAATTTATGGAAGTAAAGCAGAATAAAATCCAGAAAGATCAGTAATATGTCAATTAATTATATGCCACATTCCCATGTAAATATCTGTTTTTGGAGGATGTGTTTTTTAGCACCCCTAGTTCTCATTTTTATTCCAAATACAATTTATAATTTGAATCACAGGGCTATTTTTATCTCTATGGTTCAGTATTTTCTCAAGTAGCAACTTTAACTGCTATACTTTCCTGTCTTAAAAGGCAGAACTCTATTAGTCTAAAAAAACCTCATTTGTTGAAATGGGGGGGCCTATTGTTTGAACCCCTTAGGGGCTTTAAAAAACTAAAATGTCTTTTTTTGCGCTTTATGAAACAAAGTACCCTATATTTTGTGGATGTACAGCTACATTTCTCATGTAAGTTTGCGTAGTTTTAACACAAACATTTATTTTTCATATTGCACCAGTACAGTTAATGAGCAACCTGTACTTGTGTGCTTGTTTGTTCTGTCTAAAATGTTTATTTTGGAATAAAGAGTATAAAATATAAAAAATATTTTTTGTCCGATTCATCGGTTAATCGAAAAAATAATCGGCCGATTCATCGATTTTTTTTTTTTTTTTTTTTTTTTTTTTTTTTTTTTTTTTAAATAATCGTTAGTTGCAGCCCTAATAAGCATACAATTAATTGCCAACAAAAATACAATAAACAAATAAATGTAAGTAGAAATTAAATTATACAGACATAAATGTATATGTCTTTTAATTAGCTTCTTTATTTATTTCCCTTTGTAATATTTACCTTATTTATTTTTTTGTCCTTTATATTTTTTTTACATTCCTGCCTGCATTTCTGTTTCATTATGCAAATGAGGAGGGGGTGTGTCCTAGAGAGTCAACTTATGCACATTAGTTGGCCTGTAAATGTAGGGCAGGCAGAAATGTAAAAAAAAAATATAAAGGACAAAAAATAAATAAGGTAAATATTAAAAAGGCACATAAAGAAGCTAATTAAGAGTTATATACATTTATGTCTCACTGTATAATTTAATTTCTACTTACATTTATTTGTTTATTGTATTTTTGTTGGCAATTAATGGTATGCTTATATATTTATTGAGCATTTATTTATTTCTGTATTTATTTTTAAATATGGCAGAGTTGGTCCTCCATACCAGATGTCTGTCAATAAACACAGCAATTAAAAATGCAACTTAATCTACACTCCACTCTTTAACTAGATAAAGCTTTATTAAAGTTGTTTTTACAATTGTGATCATTTGGCCTTATATTTGCTTTTAAACTAAATACTTGGCAGACAAAAGGTAACTTGTGCTAGTTGTCATAAAAAAGGTATGAGTCATCAATGAGATGCTTTAAATCAGAGGTCTTCAACAGGGGGGTCCGCGACCCCTAGGGGTTCCGCGGAGGTACTGCAATTTTTTGCACTAATTCAAATGTCTTTAAATCCAAATTAACATAAATTCAACAGACTGTAGTAAACACATAAAAGGAAGCAGAAGATGTCTTTCAGTCATCAACGAACACATTCAGCGACACACAGGAGCTCTTTCAAACCAGGGCACCGTTTCATTCACAACACCTGTCCCATCAACCAGGAATCAGAAATACTTTAATAAATACAGAAATAACTTTCGTTACATGACTCCATCTGTAATAGAGTGACTATAGGACAAGTTTGATATAACACAATTTCATACAATAAATATAATTAGGGGGTCCCCGCTCCATCTCGCAATCAGTTTGGGGGGTCCTTGGCTATGAAAACGTTGAAGACCCCTGCTTTAAATTATATATTTTTTTCTAATTTAATTAGTTGCATTTTAAGTCGTTTAACACCTACTGGAGGCCATTAAATACTAGGGGTGAGTATTGGCATGGGTGCTTGGATCACGATACAATATTATCACGATATTGCAGTCTCACTATTTATTGTGATAGTTTTTCCATCTATCAAAATTAAATGTATAGATAAAGCGGCAAGTGCTATATATGTTAATGAAAAGATATTGATCATTTGGTTATTTTGGTATCCATGTTGTTTGGGGTCTGAGTCAGTCCATGTCTTCCACTGTGACTGCCTCAGCTACAGATATGGTGCTGTGCTGCACAGCAAAGGGGCTCCACAGCATCATCTGCAAGAGCAGTGGTGCAGAGGTAGCCCATTTTCCCTTATCGTTTTAGGTAAAAATGTTTTGTTTTTTGGGAGTGCAGCTGGCACAGCGGTAAGCGGCACGACCAGTGTATGGAGGCCTTAGCCCTCGGTGCGGCCGACCTGGGTTCGAATCCGATTTGTGGTCCTTTGCTGCATGTCTCTCCCCTTCTCGTACCCCCTTTCCTGTCAGCCTACTGTCAAAATAACAAGCCACTGGTGCTGTAAAAACAAAAAAAAAAATAAGTTTTTTGTTTTTTATCAATACTAGGAACTGAATAATCAATATTTATATCGGGCAGCCAAAAATCACAATATATTGCCAAAATAGATTTTTTTTTTTTTTTTTTCACTAAAAACTAAATAAACTAACCAGTTTTTGAAGGATGTAAATGCGCTTTAGTTATTTGCAGAGCTAGCTGGCCCTTCACCAGGGCAAGGCTCTATTGAGGTGGTGCTACACGTCTCATGAAGCAAAAATTACAAGAATCTAGACTCTTGGTTTGATAGGCTTTTAAATTCATAATTAGTATTTTGGACCAAAGCACCACCTAGTTTCTATCTGTGCACATCCCTGTAAATAATGTGATTGTGATATCAGTGTGAAATATATATTCTGTATAATCCTGTACAAGGAGAAAAATCCTTTATTTTTGCACAATTTCACTAACAATTGGGATTAAATATCCAGCATTATTCAGTAAATAGGAATGTTATTAATTTCAGTAAATCGGTTCATTAATGAAACCACAGTCCTCCAGGGCCGGATCATTTGGAAGCTGTGGGCATTCCTGCATCATTATGAATCAAACGATTATTAAAATAATTTTATATAGGACAAATTTAGAAAAAGAATAAAAGGAATGTGAGCTTAAGATTCTGTCCTTTTATCAATGTTATTGATAAAATTGACATTTATATATATATTTTTTCAGGTATATTTCCTTGTTCAATTATTGGTGTTTTCCATTTAAAATAAGATGGGGGGAGGTTTATCTGTATTATAACTGATGATGTCATTCTGTATTTACTCCATCGGATGAGCGATGGGTTCAGTTCATGTAAGCTGTCTTTACTTCTAGACGTCAGAATCTGATCGCTCAGTCGCAGTCTGGCACCGGTAAAACTGCAGCGTTCTCTCTGGCCATGCTGAGTCACGTCAACCCTGAAAATAACTGGACTCATGTGAGCAAAAGATCTTTTACCCCATTTACACTACCATAAAAAAAAACCGTGTCGAGACCGGTCCGAGCTCAGTAACTGAGATAACTTATCGTGTGTAAATGGAAAGCAAACTGAACTGAACCGAGCTAGACACAACCGAACCGAGATAACTGCAGACCAGTTCCAGAGGTGGGCTCTGTTTTGCCCTGGCTCGGTTCTCTGATAACAAGAGCGCATGAGCAGAACGCGTCATCTCTGTCTGGCTGTACGTCCCGATTCACACTCCATTCCAGTAGTTGGTGGTAATGCCCCTCCGGAAGTTGCTTGCTAACCAACACAAAACAGAAGAAGGAGAACTATAAACAACTATAAACATCCACGAAAGGTTGCCGTCTTCGCTTGACCCTCCGCAAACACCGAAGTACAGCAATAATCAAGCATAACTTTCTGAATGTGACGGGCGCCGCCATTTTGATTTGCTTGATTCCCTCCTTCGTCATCTTCTTGTGTTTTATGGCGGTTGGCAAACAACTTTTGGTGCATTACCGCCACCAACTGCTTGTTTTCCTCCTTCAATACTGGCAGTAATACCGCAGATCGTCACTAGGAGGCGAAGAGTCGAGGAACCGAGATAGCGTGATGTGTAAACGGTCGTCAGAACCGAGCTCGGCCTGGTTAACTGATCCGAGCTCGGACCGGTCTAGACATGGATCGGTTTTTCAAGGGTAGTGTAAATGGGGTCTTTGTTAGTCTCTGGTAGCATTCTCTCTCATTTTAATAATAAAATTTCTTTTAGTGTCTGTGTGTTGCACCAACTTATGAGCTGGCGTTGCAGATTGGCCAAGTGATCGAACAAATGGGCAAATTCTGTTCAAATGTGAAACTGGCCTACGCCATACGAGGGAGCCGAGGTAAGAACCTGAAATGATCTTTTTTGTGGTTGGAGGATTTGTTTGTACATGTTTACGTGAGCATCAGAAGCCATTCTTTCATTATCTGTAGTCAGTCAAATAAATTTATCCTTAAACTTTTCAGGAGCATCATTAGCTACGTTTACATGCGCAAAATTTCCCCGATCCGATCCAAACCTTGGTTGATCGGAAATTCAAAATCTCTGTTTACATGGACACTAAATGAAATGATCCGATCATGACGTGTGTATACATGTACCAAGCGTTGGATCAGATTAAATATTTTAAGCATGCGCAGAACTTCCTGCCAAACTTGGCAGATCTGTCTGCGTCTGGTTTTTGGGAGGCCTGACAAACGATGCGCTCGGAGCGAGCGGAAAGAAAAACGGAGAGAGGAGGAAAAAAGCGCTTGGCGGCGAAATGTCCGAGAGAAAATGTAGAGAATGAGCGATTGAACCGGCGTGGGAGAGCGAGTGGGCTGTGGAGAGAGAAAAGAGGAAGAGGAGGAGGATAAATTCCTGCTTCCTGCAGCTTTAAATGAACTTGAGTGTATAAGTCGGCGTTCCTAGACTCCTCCCGCCATGTTGTTCACAACAAGATCAAGAGCGACCGGTGGTTTCCTGTTGTTGACAAGGCGGAAAAACGTCACGCTGACGTCGCACACATGCGCAGTGAAGATTATTTTACTCTTAAGATCCGAATGGGTGTTCCGAATGGACGCCAATCAGAATGGCGATCGGCAAAAACCACCTCTCTCTTTCGGAATTAAATTTATTTCCGATCGGACCGAATCGGATTAGAATCTTCAGTCTGACATGTTTACACAAAACATTTTTGATCTGATCAGGCCTTCAATCCGATTATTTGTGTCCATGTAAACGTAGCTAGTGTCATACTTTATAAGAAGAAACGAGAAGGAGAGAATATTTGGGGGAATAAATGTTTGAGATATCTAAATTGATTAAAGGTGTTTTTATTGTCTGAAGTTCACACCTTTTTGTTAAGCGAGTTTAGAAGGTCTGTACTTTGAAATCCAGCAGTGGTGTTTTTATGTCTGCATGCCTGTGTTTAGTGGAGCGAGGCATTAAGCGGCAGGAGCAGATCGTCATTGGAACCCCAGGAACGGTCCTAGACTGGTGCACCAAGTACAAGCTTATCGACCCCAAGAAGATCACCATGTTTGTTCTGGATGAAGCTGACGTGATGATCGCCAGGCAGGGCCATCGGGAACAGAGCATCCGTATCCAAAGGTGGGAACCTATTCAATTAATGACGGATTTAAAATAAAAAAAACATCTCTGATCCCTGCCTTCACTCTTATCCAGGCTGCTCAACAAAAGCTGTCAGATGCTGCTCTTCTCCGCAACCTTTGAGGATTCTGTGATGACGTTTGCTGAGCGAGTGATTTCACAGCCGAATATCATCCGACTCAAACGGGTGGAAGAGACGCTGGAAACCATCAAACAGTTTTACGTTCTTTGTAGGAGGAAGGAGGACAAGTTCATTGCGCTCTGCGACCTGTACGGGTGCCTGACTATTGCACAGGCAATGATCTTCTGCCATGTAAGCTGAAATGTTTCTAAAGATTTTTTTTGTGTGCATTTTGTCAGTTAAATTTACGACATGAAGACTAGAGGGGAGAGAAATGATCCATTTATAGTCCCCTAGAGGGGAAAGTGTCCCCTTTGTTTGACCCCCTCCTATAGGGCGCAGTGGGAGGCCCAGGGAGCGCTCTTCCTCAGACACCCACAGGGACGCGCTGAGCTTCCAACAGCATTTTGCAGCACAGCGTGTCAAACTGTCAGATGGACAGAAATACTTTCGATTCATCAAGAAAAGTCGAATTATTTTATAGCCTGAACCTTTTCCAGTAGTTTACGTTTCTGAGCATTTCCTTTTTAACATGTAAGACAAAGACATTAGTCTTCCTCTTATCTTTAGTCCTGCTTGTCCAGAGTCCATCTCTAGTTGGATTTGGACGTGTTGCTGCTTCAGCTTGGCTGATTTAAAGAGGCCTTCAGCAACCTGATGCTTATTCTGTTAAACTGAGGTTTAACTTGACAATATCTATCTTTTTCTACAGCAGCATTTACTTTTCAAAGAATTGTTTTCGGTCACGCTTATCGGGTGCTGGTGCCTATCTCCAGCTGTCTAGGGCGAGAGGCGGGGTCCACCCTGGACAGGTCGGCAGTCTGCCGCAGGGCAACAATTTCCATTATTAAATATATCAAATTGAATTTACATCATCTATAATTTATTAATATTTTCCATGAAATAAATTGTTCCTGCAAATTACTAAATAGAGCTGATCGTTTTGGATTTAATAGAATTATACTAAACTAGATGTCATTCTGCATTCATTAAAGAAGCAATAAGTAATACTAACGCCAAGCGCCCCACCCCCACCTGTTGCTTCTCCCTGATGATGAATGAACAGTTATTTTTCTAATTGTTTATTTCAACTTCTTTTTTATAAATAATTTTTCAGATGGAAAATGGATGTTAATAGATTTTTTTATTTCTTTAAAGGCACACTATGCAAAATTTTTCAGTTAATGAATGTGTTCCATAACGTTTTGGATGATTAAATGAGTCATTTCAGGTTGAACAAAGGTTTTCTCGGCAGCCCTGGTGGTCTGTGGGGGAAATACCGCACTTGCAATTGCAGGAGCCCTCGGCCCGCACCCACAGGCTCAGAAGTCTTGCGAGAGTCGGTCTTGCTTTACGGCGAGAACTGCTACACGCCCCCAGTTAAAAGCATGCTAGTTGCTAGCACAGTGGCGATCTTTGTGCAGTGCTGCTTTCACACCGGACGCAGCAAAAGCAGCAAAATCGCGTGTGCTGCTTCATTTTTACTGCTTGTACCAGTTAGTTCTGATGCGCGGCTGAAGCAGCTTTGCTGCTCTGGCTGCGTGGTGCAAAAGTGTGTCTGACGCGCGTTGGGCGGAGCTTCACTATCAGTGGGAATAAAGTAGTTTTAATATGTTTTTAAGTGAGAAAATACACCTAAAAACGTAATCGGTGCAGTCAGTTCATTCAGATTATCATCCTGACTTAGAATATTTTTTCTCTCGGAGCCGCTCTGACCCCCACATACCAGCGGTGCGCCGACAGTAGGAATCCCTTCATCAGCAGCTTCTGGCCGGGTCGCCTCCTCGCGGTTCACCGCGGCATCTGGTAGGTGTTTTTCATCTAAATAATCCAAACTGCAGGCAACAGGATAATGCATTTTAAGTTAATTTAGGCGTCAATAAACTGTTTAAGAGTGATCATAGCGCTCTGATCATCAGCGCTGTGTCTCTCTCCCTTCCAGCTCCCAGATCAGCTTCTCTGATTGGTTGACGCGGTGCGTCGAGCAGCAAAGATTCAATTTTTCCATCTCGAGCAGCAGCGCGTTTGCGGCGCGTCACGCGCGTCAGGTGCTTAGTCATTCGTTGCGTTCGCCTGTCTGCTAAGCTCAAAACAACCGCGCCTGGCTTGACGGAGAAACCAGGAGAACAGCTGTGCATATTTACGACAGTGCACTTTTACTTTCGCCCTCTGGGGGGAGCTTCGCTGGAAAATCAACATCGGTTGCATAGTGTACTTTTAAGGAGAATTGGAACAAGTTGAAGCTAAAATTTGGCCACTTGAGGATAAAAAATTTACCCAAAAAATGTGTCTTGAATGCAAAATATTTTTTCTCATTCTTAGGCCTGTTTTCTCCTGTGGTTGGGTGGTTTATTTAGCAAAGTACAATTTATAGTCTGAATACTCCATTTATTAGAACATTTGGTAATAATTGGTTTAGATGACCAGGAGACTGTTGGGCCTATCAATGATTAGTAGGGCTTTTTTTCCCAGCTTTTTAATTATAATTACACTGTTACAAGAACATCGCAATGAAATTCACTGGGCTGCCATCATGGGGCGCCCGGGAGTAGTGTGGGATTAAGGGTCTTGCTCCGAGAGCCCGAGTGGCAGTCTGTGGCTGTGGGTTGCAAACTCCCTTCTGGATTCCAAGCCCCATGCCCTAACCACTCCCTTCCATTATTTTCTTTTTTTTTTCTTTTTTTTTGGTTTTAGACTCGGAAGATGGCTGCTTGGCTGGCTTCACAGCTGATTGAAGAAGGCCACCGGGTGGCTCTGCTGAGCGGAGAAATGACTGTGGAGCAGAGGGCTGCTGTCATTGAACGCTTCAGAAATGGCAACGAGAAAGTGCTGGTGACCACTAACGTTTGTTCCAGAGGTAAGCAGGCCTGCATATAGTAGGGGTGGAACGGTTCACAAAATCCCCAGTTCGGTTCACGGTTTCGTGGTCACGGTTTTCGGTTGGGTATATGTTTATTGTTACACCGAAAAATAAAAAAATTAATGAAAATTATAAAAATTAATGACATTTTTTTTTTTTACGAAATTCATGAAAAAATCCAAAAAAATTAATGAATTGTAATTATTTTTAATGATTCGCAGAAACCATGGATCATTTCTGCATGTTTTGCTGCTTTGAATTTAATCATCTGGCGCATACTCTCTACGATCCCCAAGGAACTCAGAGCGGAGCGGACGGGAGCCACAGTGGAGGCTGTAGGCTTTGCTTTGCGCAGGCGGTCTGGAGCGCAGTGGGGCGGAGCGCTGATGGAGTATGTGGGATTTGCGGGGTTAGCATGACATGTTGGTAATGTTGCTGTTAGCGTAAACAAAACGTGTTGCACAATGCTTGCACACTGTTGCACTTTTATCCACAACTTTCTTTCCGCCGTCATCGTAGGTCACTCTAAATGCAAAGTGGTCCCATACAGCGGACCTATAAAGTGCTGCTGGCGCGCCTTCCAACTCTTGTTCTTTCCCACTCGCCATACCCACACAATTCTCCACAACAACTGATTTTTTTCTGCTACACCCGGCTACGCTGCTTCGCTTCTTCTTCTTGTTTACTACTGGTGGCTGGCTTTGGTCACAGTACCGCCACCTTCTGCTCTGGAGTGTAAACGCTTCGCCTATGAGAAAATGGAGCAGTGCATGAATCGAACGCAACACACGCGAATTGAACAGAGACAGTCGAACCGAACGGTTCAGATGGTTTTCATAAACCGTCCCATCCCTAGTATATAGAACATTTCAACACTAATAACTGAACATTGGTATTTAAAAAAATATATAATTCAAAGAAATCCCCTGGACTTTCTTTCCAAATTTTAAGACGTTTCGCTTCCCATTGAAGAAGCTTTTTGAATTTAAAATGTCAGGAGTAGCATTGAGTTGGAGGTTTTATACAGTAGCCCAACAGATGTTACCTCCACACCTGGTTCTGCCTGTTTGCAGGTATTGATGTGGAGCAGGTGTCTCTCGTGGTCAATTTTGACCTCCCAGTGGATATGCAAGGGAATGCTGACAACGAGACGTACCTGCATAGGATCGGCCGAACAGGACGCTTTGGGCGAAGAGGATTCGCTGTCAACATGGTGGACAGTGACCACAGCATGGACATAATCAGACAAATTGAAAAGCATTTCGGTACGTTTTTGATCATTTTGATTATAGTCTAATGAGATGTATAATCTGATCCTAATTCTTTTTTTTTTTTTCTTTTTCTTCCAGACAAGAAAATCACAAAACTTGATACCAGCAACCTTGAGGAAATGGAGGAGATGACGATCTGATGTTCCAACTGTTTTCTAGTGATTTGAGTTTAAGCTTTAAACTGAGTGTTCTTTGAGGTTTGCATGTTTATATTTTGTTAAATATCTAATCGTTTTTGTGTTGTGTGTATATTGTTTTGCATAAGATGCTTGCGCTTGATTTGTAATTCATGCATGTATGATGTACATTTCTTCTCCTTTGCACACTTTGTTAAAGTAAAGTTTTTCAGACTGACCAGGAAATGTCTGAAGTTCAGAGGATATTGTTTTTTGTTCATTTTTGTTTTTTTGCAGTGCTGTAAGCAATCAAACAATTCTGGTCTGTTTAGCAAGCCAAAATGAAAAGGCATTTAACGCATGTATGGAGTGAATTTTGATCCATTATTGCTGCAAGCAAAGAACTCATTTGGTAAATGTAACTTTGAAGAGAAAAATAAAAAAAAATTACAAACCTATTAATCACAAAAACATTGTTGAGTGATGTTGCTGTTTATTTTTTATATTTTGATGTTATTTTCAAACTTTTTTTTTTCTATCTTTAAGATTATTTCTTTCACTGATATTTAGAAGTTGCATTTTTTTTTTAAGTATCGTTAATAGATTACATTCCCACTTTTAGCCCAATGCAAACACTCTAGACCGGAGTTGATAGGCTTTTTTTTTTTTTTTTTATGTTCCCCCTGCAAAAAACGGTCCTCTTCTTCCAGAAGCATCTCGGCTTAGCTTAAAGAGACAGTAACTGCAACAGCACCTACCGGTAGCCTATCACAGATCATTAAATCATATTTATGGATTGTATTTTTTATGTTTTCCATTTATAAAGCATATTCTTTTAAATAAAATTGATTTTATTCCATACATCTTTAAATTTGAGCTAATCATCTTTATTTAGGATGATGATTCAACTCTTGGTCAGCCCATTTAAAGGCTCTGGTCTAAAACAACAGCATGCAACACTCAAAAATGGCTTAATACATGGCGCACATTACCTAGCCTTAAAGTAGCTGTTAAACTTAAAATGGTGTTTTTTTCAAAATGTCAAACTTCAAATTAAAGTGGCCTTGTACATTAGGTGCTGTGAACAAAACCTTTTTATTTTATGGATTAAACTATGAACTGCAATAACCTAATACCGCCTTAAGGTCTTTTAATTATTACTGAAATCTGAAGCTTTGATTTCTTTTCAAAGTAAATCAAAAATGAGAACAAAAACTCTCCTAGTTGTGAATCCCTGTGGGTCTAACAGTCTGACTTTTAGTAAAACAAATCAATTTGTTTTCTGCCAAGGGTGGTTCATTGGTAGAATGGTTTTACACATAGCAGGAAAGTAAGTTGAAGATCGTATATTTTATGTATCAAAAACGACGATTTTTATTTAAAAGTTATAAACTTTGTATCTTTTTTATGGAGTTTGCATGTTTTGTCTGATTTGCTTCAGTCCAAAACAAGCATTGTGGATTAACTGGCGAGTTTATATCTGCAATGTTTTATATTTTGTCAGATACTCCATCACAGGCATGACTTTCTGAAGGACTGGTGTGGACATGTCCCCAGCACCTCTCTGCTCATTTACTTTAGCCAACTATAATGGGTTGGGTGCAGCTATCTGTGTTCAGAGCCTTTTGAGTTTTTTCCTAACATGTTTTCTTATTGTACAGACAGAATCAGACTACAGAGTTTCCACATATCTTGAAATTTTGTTTCTGGCATATTAGTAAAGAGGTTCATAAATCTTTTTAAACAGAACAGAGAGAAGTAGGGAGAGCTGCAGATTTAAAGGTGAAACAGATTTACTGGGATATGCAACATGCAATAAAATAAGTTTACCACAAAGTTTACATGAAAAATATGCTATTCTATATTTAAAATGCAGAATATCCAGATTTTTCTGGATGGATGGAATTGAATTTGTATTTCCAGGGATGCATGATATATCGATTTAGAAACTGGCTGTTATTCATGATTTTTTTCATACATTGTTTTTGGGCCCTATATTTGTAATGCACCAAAAGGCATCTCTCTAACATCTATACATAATATTAGTGCTATGGTATGGAGGTAGAACGAACGATTCATATACCGGCTGTCGCAGGTTCGAGTCCCAGCCTTGCTGACCTTTGCTGAATCTCTCTCCCCTCTCTTTTAACCCACTTTCCAGTCTCCATTAGGGCTGAAGCAATTAATCGATTGTTGAAATAATCTTAAACTAATGGATTAATTGACAACTGGAATACAGAGACTGTAAGAGCGACCTACTCCGAGCAGTAATTATATCAAAATTATAAAAGAAAATATATAAACATTTTGCATTTAAGTTTTCATCTGTTAATATGCTGTATCCAGAACTCCTCCAGTGGAAAACCTTTAGCTACACATGGCTTAATTTAATAAAAAATCTTAAAGGAACTTTTATCAGATTATTAATAAAAAAAATAGTCAATTTGCAAAATAATATCTAGTTGCAGCCCTACTCTCCATACTTTCTAAAATAACAATAAAGGCAACTAGAGCCTTAAAATAACCTTTAAAAGAAATAGGTGCATATTACATTGATTTAAGCAGGTAGATTAGACAACCTACAGATGAAATAAGCTGATTTGTTTTAAAAAAAGAAAAACAATGTTTGATCAATTACCATATTTCAAGAGCATGGTATCTATTTACCTTGTTTTAAGGGCAACTTTTTCCTCCTTTTAGGAGATCAAATATGGGGAAAGTGCACTGAAATTTAAGAGACTTAACAGATGTTGTCTAATTTGCCGCTAGAAAGAATAATGTATATTCAGAAATCCAAACGGTATCTTTTCGAGAGGATTTGGGGGCCTTTCATTAATTTTATTAAGGACTTAAACTTGACTGAAGGTCTGTTTGAGTTATAATTTACTGGAACCTGTGGTGTGCCAAGTTGTATAGATATGTATATCCATACCTGACCAATTAGTACTTTCTTACATACCCCCGTTTTTGAGAAGCCGTGTGTGTTTTTTTGTTTTTTTTTGTTTGTTTTTTTTTTTTCTCTTTTTTTCCCCTGAGTTGAGTAAAATAACTGCTGTCATGCCATAACTACAAAGAGAACTTGTTCAGATAATGACATGTTTGTATTTTCAAAATGAAAAAAAGACTTACTTTTTTAGATCAGTTTTTGTGAGTGTGGAGGTGTTGCAGCTGTCCAGAGGAACTCCATCTGAAGTTAAGTTATTTTCTCTGTGATATCTCTGTATCTGAGTAACTCTAACTGACTACTTTAAAACATAGCACCTTCTGCTGCACTTTTCTACTGAGCACTTGTCAGTTTCACACGGTTTTATTTCTGATAGCAAGGAGTAGCTAGCCTAGGCTAGCGCTAGCTTAGCATTGCTATGGCTTCTCTCTCTCCCTCCCTCTCTTTTCCAACTCTTCCTTCTTCCTCTCCTCTCTCCTGCTCTCTGTGTCAGATGTTCAGTTATTCCTCTGCCTCCTTTAGTGATAATGGGATGTGTAATAAGTGTAGTATTTTTGTAGCTTTGGAGGCGAGGGTGTCAGAGTTAGAATCCAGGCTTCAGGCTGTTGAACATCCAGGAGTTAAAGTAGGCCCCCCACGTAGCTGTCCTCCAAAAGTGCCTGAGCAGCCAGGCGATTGGGTAACTGTACGCAGAAAGTGTAGTCGTGGATCTCTGCCCACTGGTCACCACCAACCCGTTCACGTTTCTAACCGGTTTTCCCCACTCAGTGACACACCCACTGAGAAGCCCACTCTGGTGATTGACAGCTCCATAGTCAGAAACGTGGCATTAGAGACACCACGGACCATAGTCAAATGTTTGCCGGGGGCCAGAACGGGTGACATCAAATCCTACCTGAAACTACTGGCTAAGGATAAGGTTAAATACGGTAAGATTGTTATTCACGCTGGTGGTAATGACACCCGGTTACGCCGATCGGAGGTCACTAAAATTAGTGTTGCTTCGGTGTGTAAGTTTGCCAAAAAAAATGTCGGACTCCGTAATTTTCTCTGGTCCCCTCCCTGATCTGACCAGTGATGACATGTTTAGCCGCATGTCGTCATTCAACCGCTGGTTGTCTAGGTGGTGTCCTGAAAACAACGTGGGCTACATTGATAATTGGCAATCCTTTTGGGGAAAGCCTGGTCTGATTCGGAGAGACGGCATCCATCCCACTTTGGATGGTGCAGGTCTTCTTTCTAGGAATCTGGCCACATTTATTAGTCCTCCAAAACCCTGACCACCCAGGGTGCAGACCAGGAAGCAGAGTTGTAGTTTAACACACATCTCTGCAGCTTCTCTACTGTTACCCACTCTTTACTCCATCCAGACAGTGTCTTGCCCACGACCAAAATCTAATAAATTAGCAAAGATTCCCAAAGGAGTAAATCATGATAATCTAATTAAAATCAAAATAACTTCAATTGGGGAAAAAGTTAAAACAATTAAATGCGGTCTGTTTAACATAAGATCGCTTTCCTCTAAAAGTCTGCTAGTTAATGACTTGATTTGTGATAATCACATTGACTTGTTTTGCCTTACAGAAACCTGGCTGCAGCAAGAGGATTATGTGAGCATAAATGAGGCAACTCCTTCAAGCTATTTAAATTTTCACATACCCAGAAGTTCTGGGCGAGGAGGAGGAGTAGCAACAATCTTCCAGTCTGACTTACTGATTACTCCCAAAACAGTTAATACCTACAACTCTTTTGAACATTTAACCCTTAATTTCCCTGATCCAAATTTCAAGGCAAGAAAACCTATTCTTTTTGTAACTTTGTATCGTCCACCAGGTCCCTACTCTGAATTTTTAAATGAGTTTTCAGAGTTCCTTTCTGATTTGGTATTAAATACTGACAGGGTCATCATAGTGGGAGATTTTAACATCCATGCTGACATTGAAGGCGATAGCTTAAGAGCAGCCTTTAATGCTATCTTAGACACTATTGGCTTTGTTCAAAATGTGAATAGTCCCACACATTCTCATCTTCATACTTTGGATCTTGTGCTGACATACGGCATAGAATGTGAAGAAATAACAGTATTTCCTCACAACCCTGTCCTCTCTGACCACTTTCTAATAACCTTCAGGATTACTTTAACAGAGTTCTCCTCCCCCAAAAAAAGGTTCAATTTTAGTAGATCTTTATCAGATAGTGCAGTTATAAATTTTAAAGAATCTGCTTCACTTTCTCTCTCCTCTGTGTCACTGAGCAGTGCTGCAGAGTGCATAAGCATAGCTTATTCCCCTTCACAGGTTGATGATTTTGTTGATGGGGTTGCTAGTTCTCTGCGTATTGCCTTAGAAAACGCAGCTCCTTTGAAAATGAAAACCGTTAAAAATAGAAAGCTTGCTCCTTG